TTGATGAAGAACTCATTTATAAGCTTTAAAAATAAACGTTCATCCTTTATTCCTCACTGTCGTCCGTAGCTAAGTTATAGTCATCTAATCTTATTATGGGGATGCCTTACTGCACCTGAATGGCAAAGCAACAATCCCTCATAAATCCAATAAGTGGCTTTGGTACATTTTCAGTTGCTAGTTCAATAGGTCCTTTAACAGACAATTTGTATGTTATTGGAGCAGTAGATGTTTGACCTTGCTGGAAGCAAAAGTCCACTTCTGTTGGAAAACCACATAAGAAATGTGTGTTGTCATAGCTATCCCATTTATGTTCCACACTACCATCATCCACCAATGACCTCATAACATCTTCATTAAATCCTATCATATCATTGTTTGTATTGCAGGCGTTCGCAACCATTTCATAAAATACAGGTCCATATGATTTTTCGGGTTCTGCAGGCATATTTCCATAAGCTCCCATGGAAAGCTGAAGATATTTAAACTTAGGGTTCTCAAAATTAACATAATAGTTGTCTTTCTTTCTAAATAGTGCCCAAATACTTTTAACATTAATAGGCGTATAAGCTGCTGTAGAAGTTGCACTTGAACTATCTGTATTCTTTGAGAATGAACCGTCCATAGGAATCCAATCCATAACTTTAACAGGAAAACATAAAGCCTCGTTTGTATAATGTTCTACAAGTTCTGTATAAATGTTAGGGTCTAAAGAGAATGACTTTGGATGAATAAAACATTCATTAAAATCCATCTTTGTTCGAAATAGTTGCTGGGTTACAGTTGTAATAGTAACTGTTCCACTAGCTTCTACTGCCTTCGTTATCATAGTGAATGGTTCATTCCATGGAACAAATTTATTTGTCGGTGGATTTGAATCTGAAGCAAATGCAACTTTAAGAGTTGGATTGAAAGCAATGATATCATTTACAGATATAGATGTGCATTGTAAGCGTCGCTACTGAACTTTACTTTAAGCTGAATGTTTCCTGCAAAAGCTGGAATAAATCGAATAGCTTCTAATGGAAGGAATCTTCTAACAGGAATTCTTAAACGAAGCTTAAAATCAAATGATTTTCCTGCTGTAATTGGACCACTAACAATTTGTCCTGTTCTGCATGTTCTCGAATGACTCCATACATCTTCATGTCGAGTCTTTGAGAAAACATCTACTTTCTTTATTTGTTCGGTAGTTTGTGAGTTTGAAGTTATATATGCTTCTTCTCTTGCGTTGTCTTGAGAATATACGATACGACCATTTGCAAGGATTTGATATCCAACAACTGCATAGAAAGCGTCATCGAAACCAATCCAAAATCCTGGTGGGTTTGTTTTATTGGAACCTGAACCAATTTCTTTATCTACAATAAATTGACCTTCCATTTTATACGTAATGAATGTATTGTAAAGGTCCAACATATTTTCACCAGGAGGTGAGAGATTGAATGTTACCCATGTGTTATCTTTAGCAGTTCCAGGTTGTGATGGAATCTTTGCGTCAGAATATTTTCTATTAGTGTCACCAATTTGAACTGCATTGTCTATGATATCGAAATATGAGCGAATCTGATGAATATGCTCTGCTGGAGTAAATTCGTTTAGCTGTTCGTTCTGCATGTATTTACTTCAGATAAAAATATCTATTTACTTCATTATTCTCACTCTTCTTCTTGGCATTCGTGGTGGAAGTTGTTTCTTGACATTTTCAATGAACTGTACATTCTCTTTTGTCTCAACTTCTTTCACTGGCGGGTCAGGATTCTTTGACTCGGTTTGTTTTTCAATGAAATTCACGAACTTTGCAATAAGCTCTTGGTTCGTTATTGAAAGTACATCTGGCTTCTTTTCTTCTGGTTCTATTGACTTTTCAGTTTGAATAGAAGGCTTAACATGGACTTCGTGGACTTCACCCTTGCCATACACCTTAATGTTGTCGCTTTCTGCATTCGCTAATGGAACCTTTCTTTTTCTTACGTATATTTTACCATCTTTACTCTGACTTACGTAATAGAAAGGATGTTGTATTCCTCTTGCGTCATTTAATATAATAGACTCTCGCTCTGATTTTGACAAGCTCATTTTACATCGGTTAAAGTTTTAATTTTGTTTTTTATCTGCAGTCAAATGACTCAGACAAGCCCTACGGACAAGACCCAAGGGGTCATAGATGTTGAAGCATTGAAGAAAGAAATTCGTGAGCAAATTTTATCCGAACTGAAGGAACAAAAAAAGAACAAAAGCCAGAGAGACCAAAGAGAAAACTTAGTGAAAAACAACTTGCTGCATTAGCTGCTGGAAGACAAAAGAACCCAAGACTACTGGCGAAAAAAGCTAGAGAAGAAGCTGAAGCAAAAGCTAAAGAAGCTGAAGCAAAGAAAGAGTAAATGGTTTATTTTTATCCGAATTAAATGTATAGACAAATACCTTTATCTGTTGCGTTCAGTAGTGAAAACCCTGACGTCAAAATAAAGGGGAACAGAGTAACGTTTAAGTTTCCAACAGACTGGATTGTGAACATAAATGAAGAGAAGTACATTGGCATAACATCTATGTATATAACACGTGCTTTCAGAAAGGTTGACTTTATACTTCAAGTCGAGATAGAAAATGACGAACAGTCTTTAAGCGCCCAAAACATTCACATATACAAATACTTTAAAGACGATACAACATTGCAACAATGTATGATTTCATTTAATGAGATGTTCGAGAAAAAGTTCAACATTGAAGTACAAACTTTACAGCCTTTACGTGAGTTTCTTGCACAACTGAAAGAAGAAGGTAGTCAGCCACAACTTATAGACTTTCATTATGAATTTAATGAAAATGAAGATGGAACTCATGACTGTCAATTCATTGTATTCTCACCATTCAATGAAGTCGCTAAAAAGAAAGAAAATCCATTACGTATAAGATTTCAAATCTCTGAACCAAGTGATGATTTCAAGAATGTTTTCAATTATGATGCAATGCTTCCGAGGAAAAATGAATTTTCAAAGATTGTAACACCTGGCATTTGGGATAGAAAGCAAGCTATATTATATTCAAACTTAAGTAAGGGAGTTGAAAATGAGTTCATTGGTCATACAAGAACTTCACCACTTCCTAACCCTAAATACTATAAATTAACTGGCTTCAATCGTGAGTTTTGGATAGACATGTTCTCCACTCATGACCATAACTGCCCAGTGTTCTTACCTCCAGACCATAAGGACTGTCTCTACATTGAAGCACAACTCTTAAACTCTACCATCGCAGTATTGTAAATGACCACATGGGCTTCACCCTTGCCGCTAGCGGCTTATTTTTATCATGAATGGTCTCACTGCTGACAAAAATAAATGACCTCATTATTTTTCTCATTCATGACCTCAGAACTTAAGCTTTCTTATGAATGAAGTCTTAGTCTGAATAGAAAAGTTAAACTTTCAGCAAAGCAAGGTTGACAGACTTACATAAGTCAATCAATCTCTTGACCGTCATAAAGTGCTTTATATAACTTCATTAAACTGAACTCAGAGTCTTTGTCAAATTTTCAATGCGGAACCATTAAACCTTTATCTTCATCATAGAAACACTGAACAGAGTCAGGAAACATTTCATTAGCGGTTAAAGCAATAACATCTTGCTTCACGCCTTTCATTCTGCAGTGAAATGCAACTTCATTTAAATCATTCGTGAGTAAGTCTATGTAAGTCTTCTTTCCACAAAATATTGACTTGTATGCTAAACTTTGTTTATCTTTTGTGATTTCTGCAAAGTCGCTATGAAATTGACCAAGGTTTTTACCAATGAGAACTCTTCCATAACGTTTCTCAAACTCTTCAGCTAAACGAGGGATATCTTCATTGTAGAGATGCATACTGTCCGTATCGCTATAAAAGATGTCCATTCCTAAGTCCTCAGCAGTACAGAATACTTCACACATTATTCTCTTCGACATAGACAGAATGTTAACACCAAGTGGACAGAAGTTAAAGTGTCTGCAAATGCTTTTCGTTAGCTTGAAAATAGTTTTATCTGAACCATCCAAACCTTCGAACTTCACTATATGGTTGTAGTTTCTGATGGCATATCTTATAGCATCTTTGTCATTACTATGGTTATTTTTGACTCAATAGGAGATAGAATAGTTTTGCCATAAATACTGTTCAGAATGAGCTTTATATTTTCTTGCAAAGGATTTCCTTCTTTCTTATACTTTAACCTTAACTCAAACAACTTCTTTACTTCATCTCTTATTCTAATATCTCTGTTTCCATCGTAATAGTATCCTTGCAACACTTCACATTTGACACCTTGATATTTTATGAGGTCTTGTAATGTTATATGGTCAACATACATTAAACAGCAAGTGTTTGAACTTCTGGGAACGTTAAGTTCTGGATTTAGTTCAGGGTCACAAACTATTAAAGGAAAGTGTCTATGTATTCCAATCTCTGTTATCTTAATGAGAACAAAGAAGCCAGACATAAACTTTTCACCAATGGGTTCCTTTTGGTCGTCATCGAATAAATGTCTCATGAGATACTCTGTGCTTAACATTTCTTTCTTCATAACCTTTGGAATACCTTCTAAAGTATAAAGTCTTGCTATAGCTGATGGATATAATGAAACAGCGTCGAAGTCAGCAATGAGTTTCTTTTCGCTCTTTTGTTTCATGTTATCTGACAACATACATCTTCCACCTTGAATACAGCGTGAAATAAATTCTCTTGGTTTATTTGAGAGGTCATATAAATTTCCATTCGGGAAGTACACTCTGTTCTCAAATAATTTGTTAGCAATTGAACAAATACTAACGTAGTCATAAACGTTTAAATCAAATTCTTTCAATATGTCATTGCGGAACTTAACAAAACCTTCTCTTAAAATTCTTACATCTTGTTTGCAATAAAATGTGCTATACTTTTCTAAGTCGAAGTGGTTCTCATCTATTCTGCAACCTTTGATGGAATCTATGTTTTTCATGAATGTATCTGCATCCCGGATAAACTTACATGCTTCAGAAATGACACCAGTTCTGTTGTCATTTGCTAACAAAACACTGCTGTAGTAGTTGTATGGAAATACTTCTTTCGGTCCTGTTTGTAAGTTAAACATAGCAGGAAATAGTTTAAGCTTCTTATTTATAACACTGTAAGAGTCTTTTATAATAATTGCCCTTCCTTTATATAAGCCAGTTATTTGCATTGTTCGTGAACCTTTAATGATGGGAGTTCCTTTCACTTCTGTCATGTGTCTTAAGATGAAGTTTATATCATAACTGAGGTTATGGAAATATATTAAACTCTTGTCAGGAAGTCGCTCCAAAAATTCTGTTGCACAGTTCTGACCCCAAATGCTTTCACTCACTGAACCATCTTCACTGTCGTAACATATGTTAAAAGCTTTATGAAAGCCATCGGTACTGCACTCAAAGTCAGCAAAGAAAACGTGCTCAGGAATGAACTTGCACTTATTTTTATTTACTTCTTTTGACTCGGCTTTCTTCTTCAGTTGTACACAATACTTTGGAGCATATGTCAAATCTTTAAATGGTGCAAGGTTCTGTTTATATAAGTCAGTAGTATATGTGAAAAGTTCTCCATAAGAAATAGGTTCGAAATATTTGCACTCCCACAATGTTTTCATAACATCCCATAACGGTGTTGTTCTATCATAACGAACTACATATTTATCTTCTCTCTTTGTATAAATCTTCATTTGTTTCTCAATGTTCATTCCACCACACTCCTTCAAGATTTCTATATAGTTGCGAATGAAATATGTTGTCATTGGTAATCTTTCATTTAGCATGTAGTGGTCTTCAACAAGAAGTAAGTCAATAGTTCTAACAGTTTCACATTCTTTTGGTATGTATCTCTTTATTTCATTATGTCTTGAGTCATTGAAATAACCAATGGTAACATTAAATGCTATACCTGTTGCGTCAGAAATTTCTTGTACTTTACTTTGAGGAAAGTCTCTAACACGAATGACTTCTCTCATGTGGTCAATAGTCTCTCATCTACTCCAGCCTGAATGCAAGCATAAACGAAACAATTGTCTTCTGTCATAAGTGTGCAGTTCTTTTGTTCAATTCATTGAAGATTTGGTAGCGTTCAAGATTTATAGGTAATGTGCAAAGATACTTCCAGAACTGACCGCTTCTCTTCTTATAAAACTTCTTTTCACCATTATCTTTCCAAAAGCTTTCTATAAGTGCTGGGTTTCCTGTTTGCTTAAGAGCTTCCAAAATGGCTTTCTGGTCATTTGTCAGTGTGCTTTCATCTCTATATGGTCTCTTTTTTGGTTTGCCTTTCTTTACATCTGACATCGTTAAGCCTTCATATTCTGTTAAATCATACATCTTTATTTCGTAAGATTCTTTATGTTTGTCAAGAAGAAGTCATAGTGCATTTCAACAATACCTGCAGCATTTGCTTCTATCTCTGATATAAAGTTCTCCTTCAAGAGCTGATGTAGTAATGTTCCAATATTATTGAGGTTTAACGTAGAACATTCATACTTTCCACCAAGTTTATACATACCATCCATCTCTGTTGTGAGTTTATTTTAATTTTCTCTAAGAGTCTCATGAAAACCTTACCGAAATGTTTGTGTAAGTAGTCTCTGTTTGGTTCATCTAAAGCTTCGATGTTAAAGTCAATGAGTCTATTGCCTGACTTCACATTTCTCTTCCTATTCTCTTCATCTTTCTTTCACCATCTCTCACCTTCTTTTGGTTTGTCGTCAATGGAACGAATGACATCGTTAGCTTTGCGAACTTGTTCTATAGCGCTCTTAAACATCTCTCTTCTCTGTTGTTTCAGTGTGTCGTCTCTTCTTCTTGTTTCACCAACGTTTGCATTTGTTATGTCAAACATTTCTCTTCTTACTTCATGAGGTACTGAACGTCTATGATATAAGTCAATAGCAACGTCATTTAAAGGAAATGCTATTGCATGGACTTTGTCCTTGCTGCGTTGCGGCTTTATGAACTCATGAATTCTATCATAACTTATTGCATCATTATAGTCATTGAGGATGTCAGCGAGTGCCTTTTTGTTTGTTGCGTAATGCTTTGCAACATCTATATTAGCTTCTGTAAGAAGTTGTTTTATTTCCGAGTGTTCTAACTTAGACAACTTCCGATACATCTTTAGTAGGAAATAAAAAATATTTTTTGAAAAAAATTAGATTAGATTTTTTTAAGTTATTTTTCAAAATAATTTAATATTTTTTATTTTAATGAAACACATGCAAGATTGCAAGTTCTTTTCATACAATGCTCTCGCTACTGCCATCAAGAATGAGTTCAATAATGCTTCAAATGTTAATGTTATCTTTAACAAGAAGTTTGTGAAAGAATCTAAGTTTGGTCAGTATGTCAGACCATTAGCTATCGTCATTGACCGCAAACGTTATACTTCACAAGAGTTAGCAGTAGTTTTGAAACAAAAGAGTTTCTTTGTGAATGTCAAAGATACTCATTATACTGTTATAAAGAACTCTAATATTGACTTCTTCAGTATTGTTTTAAATCTTTCCGAACAGAAAGAATATAAGAAGGGTGAAACAAATGTGAAATATTATCCTTCATCTCTGAAGACAATAACGAACAAAGATGTTATACAGAAATTCTTACCAAAGGTTGAAGAAGCTTCTATTGACATTGACGAAGGAAGTGAAATGGTTGAAGAAATAGACCCTGAAGCTATTTAAGCAAAAATATATTTTTGGTGAAGAGGTGAGATCTCACCCGTTTTTTCACCTCTTTTTTCACCTCATTCTCTCTTCGTTAATGTTGTCGTGACTTTATTCTTCCTCTTTGAAGTTATTGAAATATTCTGTTATTTTTTCCTTCAGTAATGTTAAGTCTTCTTTGAATGTAAGTATTGTGCAACCTTTGATGTCATAGTGTGTTTGAGGAAGAGTATTTTTGACAATTTCCTTTATTTGTCATTCGGTGTCATTGAAATCGGTAAGTTTTCACGATAGAACCAGTTTCTGTCAGATTTATATATTTTAGCTAAGTCATAAAAGCTCTTGTTGTTTCTTCTGACTAAATGCAACATAACCATATCTTTATCTTCTTCTTTCTCCAACTCTTCAGTATATATCATATACTATATACTCTTTTCCTTTCCTTTTGGTACTGAACGCGGTATTCTTTTCTGTATGCTTTTGTCTTTGGATTCAATGACTTCATCTTTTGCTTGAAGTTTCTTTTCCATCTCTCCACGTTCTGCTTTATATAGTTCATCTAACATCATGAAAATATAACAAGCATAACGAGGTGAAGCCCACATTGCTACAGCGTTTACTAAAAGTCTATGAACATAATAACCTTTCAAACCAGGAGCCAAATTCTTGCGATTTTCATACGGAATCTCTTCTCTCGGTTTTCCGAGGGAAGCAATCATATGAGGAAATTCTTCTAAAAGTTCTTTTGTCTGTTGGTTTTCAAACCAATGATATGCTTGCTTTGTAGAACGAAGAGCATTCATTATACTTTGCATTTGGTACATGTCATCTTTGACTGAACGAATGAGACGTAAGTTGTTTGTTATATGTGTATGTATCGTATTCTTCATTATGGCTTCATGGACTATAACTGTTGTTGTGTTCTCTGATGTTGACATTACTGTCTTTACATACAAAATAAAAAAATAAATAAAAATAAAACTAACTTTATTTTCTGACTTTCACAAAAGACCAAAAATAAACGCTTTACATGTATTTTTCAGCAACTTCGTCAAATAATTTTATAGCTTTATCTATCTCATCTACTTCAAACGTTTCTTTACCTTTCGTGGGAGCACCATACATTTTCTCAAAAACTTCAAGCAGTTCTGTTTCAGCAGCTCTCATATCATTAACAAACACAACCTTGACTCTATTGACTGTACTGTCATATCTTTGAGTTATATTATATGTCCTTCCTATCTTATATCTTTTTGTGTTGAAGTCCTTCGGTTTCTGAACGATGTAAAGTAAGCCTTCACTGCAACGTTCCGTATCGAATGAACCATATGTTATGAAGTTATATCCAACAACTGGGTCTAACCATAACAAAACTATTGGTATAAGACTTTTGTCTATAAGATATGCTCTTGTTCCATGAAATGCTACTGATATCATAAGCTCAGGATTTCTTGTCAAAATTTTCTGAGTTGAAGCATTTCTAACCCAGTCGTTTGTTTTCTTTCCAGATGGAGATATAATGTCTGACAAAGAATATTTGTTGTATTTCTTTGAGTATCTTACGTTTAAATCACCTATTCTAACCACTTTGGTGTCATTGTCTATCTTTCTAACTGTTTCAAACTCAATGTTTGTCATTACTGTCTTTACATACAAAATAAAAAAATAAATAAAAATAAAATTAGCGTTATTTTTCTAACTAATGAAATTCATTATTTTTGTGCTGAATTCAATAAAAATAATTTTTAGGTGAAGAGGTGAGATCTCACCTTTTTTTCACCTAATTTTTCACCTCTTTTTTCACAAGCGTTTTACATGAATTGTACGATGTATATTTGAAATCCTAAACAATTTCGTAGCTTCAATTTCTTCTTTTAGTACATCGAATGTTTTAATCATGCCGAAAGTCTCTTTATATTTCTTCTTGACGTCAGACAGAAGGAAATCTTCTGCAGTTGGATAGTTTTTGTTCAGAAATGTCAACATATCCATTTTATCTTCTGCTGGCTTTTCTGCTTCTTTCTTTAAGTCTGCATAGTCGTTTCGCATTCTTTCTATCTCTTTGACTGAGTAGTTATATTTTCTTATTGCTGCTTTACATTTTGAACATTGCGGATTCATTTTTGCGTTATACATTGAAATAAAACCAGCTAGAACAACTAAGGCGTCAATGGTTTTCTTTAACTCAAAAGCTGCTGGTTTTAACTGTTCATGCCATACCTTACCTCTTCTATCTTTATCTCTTATTTCCCAAACACATTTTGCAACTAATGAAACAAAGTTATCGTATGTCTTAAACTCCACCGATTTATATATGTCAGAAATATTTTTATAAACCATGTCGCAATCTTTGTCCATAACTTTATGGTTGCAATGATATCCTAGAAACTCATAATTTACTTTACGTATGAATTTCTTTATTTCTACTGAGTCAGTTGGTTTCACTTCTATTTCGTCGAATTCAGGAATAGTTAGTTTTTGCTGTTGGATTTCAGGCAATTTGGGTAAATGGTCAATAATGTCCTGCATTTCATAAAGATACTGTTCATTTGTTTCATCTTTCGCACTACAGTCTAAATTACTTGTTAAAAGTTCTTGCTTTATCTTCTGGATTTCTGTTTCAAAAGTATATGAAGAAGGAATAAAGCTTTTCATCTCTACCAACATTGACGTAGGATTCATGACTAGCGAGTTTGGTGCTGTAGTTGTTTGAATTGTTGTTGTGCCGATTGTTGAAATCATATCTTTTATACAAAATAAAAAAATAAATAAAAATAAAACTAACTTTATTTTTCTATCTTAAGGAAATTCATGAAAATTCACGAGAAAGCTAAAGCAATCTGAGCCGCTAAGCGGTGAGGGTGAAAAAACAGGTGAAAAAACGGGTGAGATCTCACCTCTTCACCTAAAATATATTTTTGGTGTAAATTTATGTTAAAATAAATGGTACCATTAATAATACATGACTGTTCTCATTCATGTCTGATTTACATCTAATGAAAAAGTTTAGAAGAATTTTCTTATTCTTTCTGGCTTATTTTTGTCTTTCCAGTACTCCCGCTCTAATGGTCCCAGATGTGTTGGCTTTGACTCTCTCAAGTTCTTAGATGGTATAACATCTTCAACGCCTCCTTCATATCTTACTTTATAAGTGTCATCGTTTATGTTATAGCCAAGTATTTCAATAACCACTCCTCGCTTTGCTTCGTCAATGGTTTCAGCAAGTTTGCCATTACTACTTTCACTAATTTATGACGAGGGTAAAACGCAATAGAGTCGTCAGCAGCTTTTATAAGATATCCATTACCTTGCGTAGAGTCTACGATATAATAGTTTCTACTTAACCTTAAACGTTTCTTTGTCAACGGTTTGTCGTCAAGAACTACACGAACTTTTGTACCAGGAATGAGGGTAAATTGTGTTGAATTTCTGATATTTTGTGTTTGGCTTCGTTTCTTTTGTATATACTTTTCTTCTTGTTGTTGTGTCATTGAATTTGGTGTATCCCTGTTGTAGAATGTGTTGAGGAATTATATACTTCGATGAAATGTTTCATTGTTTCTTCGGTAAAGTCTCGCTCTTGATTTAAATCTCTGAGCGTTCTTATGAAGCGGTTTATGATGCGAGTATGTTATGGTTATGGTCTTCAGTAGTGTAGTGAGTTATGTTATGCTTAATGAGAAAATCTGTGATTTCATTGCTGAGGTATGCACTGTCTTGGTCTGATGTTAAAGTACTTGGGCTATGTTCTGCTACAAACTTTTGTAAAACTCTTAACACTTCACGAGTTCCTTTATTCCTCATTGGATATGCATATGCTTTGCGAGTGTTAACATTAATGAAGATGAGGAATGGTTTATGTCCTCCTTTTCTGCTTTGAATGAGAGTGTCAAATTGGTATGCGTCAGGAGTGTTGGAGTAAATTGGTAAAAAGTAGTCGTAAGGGTTTATTTTTGTTTGATGTACAACATTTTGTCAAAGAACCTTTTCACTTCAGCTCTGTTAGTAAATCCCAACTTTTTGCTGCTTCATTGAACTTCTTAAATGACCTCCATGGATGTTGTTCGAATACTTCTTTCAAGCTCATTTATGTAAAGTTAAAGATTTTATTCTAGGCTCAAGCGCGTTCATTGAACGCGGTACCATGCGAATACAGTCATAAATGGTGGCATGTAATCTTTACCCAAGCCTGTTGGATTTGTTGTGAAAGTATGGACATGATTTCCTCCTGGTTCAGTTGGTCGAAAAGTCTTTTTTGCTGAATTGTTATAAGATGGAGATAAAACGTCATTGCCAGCTTCATAGTCTGAGTTGTATAATGGGTGGTCTCTTAATGAGTGGTTATGGTCGCCAGAAAAGTTTGTCGTTCCTGTATGAGTGTGCGGTGGAAGGTTTGCTTCTTTAATTTTCTTCGAACCTCCTGTTTGCTTTGAAGAGTTAGCACAGTATAAGAATTTGTCTACAATCTGTTCCCACGTACCAAAACCTAAAACACTTGCTGGATTTGTTGAATTCATTGACGTATAAATAGAGCCTATAGGATATATGGTTTCAAGAACCTGAGTCTTCATTGTTTGAAGTTCATGTTTAACATTTATAAATCCATTGCCATCTACAATATTTATATTGTTTGTTATTAAACCATTAGGAAAAGTAGGAGGATAAATTCTTTGTTCATGTACAGTTGCACCGTTTCTTCCTGTTTTTGTTACTATTTCGATGCATGCCTTAATTTCTTTAATCTTGATTGTTTGAAATTCTTCATGTGTATGGTTCTTGTCGGCTTTCTTGTCTAACATTGTTGGTAGTGTGTATGCTTCAAAGTTTCTGACATATTGATCATTGTTCCTGCAATAGTTATCTAAATTGTTTAGTGTATCTTTTACACTTGTACTCGGATTCTCTAAAGGTGCACTTGAACCGAGGGTATAGTTCAATATTATGTCGTCTGCTCTAACAGTAGTGAAGGATTCATGTGTATGGTTCTTGTCAGCTTTACTATTTAATGTAGCTTGAAGTTCATTTATATCGGAGATATTGTGCTTATGAGATTTCAAAACTTTGTTCATTGCTTCAAGTTCATCTTTGCTGGCTTTACTTTTAATAGCATCTTCAAAAGTTATTTTTGCCTTAACTCTCAAAGTAAATCTTGGTTCAACTAATACACCGTTAACATTGAAAGTAGAGGCATAAATTTCACCGGTATAACCAAATGCTTCTGGTGCTTTAGCTACATCATACTGTACAGTACAGCTTATGTCATAACCTTTAGCACGAATGCATTTATATCTTGTTTCATTAACATTTTTTGTTTTCGCTTCATCACTTCGTGTTAAATATCCATGGTAGTCCGTTATAATCTGTTCGTCTGAAGTTATATAATGAACGTGGTTCTTGACTTTATCACTCAGAGCTAAAAGCTCATTTTTGTCTGCTTTTTCGGCTACTTTCTCATTAACATCATTCACTTCTAATTCAACTCTTCCGCCAGAACTCTTATTATCATTAATCTTTTTCATTAATTCGGTAATTACGTCATAAAGACTATATTCTGTTTTCGGTTCTGTAAATAATGAGTCAAAATTTCTTTTCATCATTACATCGCTGACATTAATGATATCAGCTATACCTTTTTCATTTATTCTCTTCATTAATTCTGCAATAATGACGAATATATAATCTGTTAATTTATTCTCTTCATCGAGGGTTATAGAATGTTTTGAAATTGAATCATTAACTCCTCTAAATAAATCAATAACTTCAGGATACACGTTTTTAATGTCTCGAATAACCCGACCAGTATCCTGTTGTTCATGTTCTTCGTTCCCGTCGTTACGTGGTTTTATATCTCTAACCATCATCAACGCAGCCATAACCGGAGGGTTTGTTGCTATCTGTTCGAAAATCCGTCCGTTATGTACGGTATATCTAAATAATTTCTTTGTGTTTGTTAAAACATTTGAAACAAGTCTTTTAAAACCATCTACAAAATTTCCTGTTTCACCTAATGTTCTTGCAGCATTTACAAGCTCACCATTCCCGCTTTTGACCCCAAAAACGTCCATATTGCATTTATTTCACTCTGTATAGTTGTCCATTCAGCGAAACTAATACCTGCATTCGCTAAGCTGAAAATGAAATTCAGTGGATCGAACTTAATTCCACCTTCTTTTTCAATTTCAACGAACTCACTAACATGAGATTTTAAATATTCTTTCGTTAAAATTGTTTTCCCCGATGTTATGTCATTAACGAAACTATCACCGTCAAAAGTTAACGAATTCAATTTCGTCGTTGATGCTTTTATTTCATACACCGCTTTATCGATAGTTTTTGGCTCACCTTCTTTAGAAGCATATGAAACATTAATGAATGAATTATATGTATTCGTGAATGAATTAAAATCAATGATTTTCATTAATGACGCCTTTAATGATTCATTTACTGTCGAATCCCTTAAAGTAATTAATGAACTGTCATTTATGAAAGGTACACTGCAAACCGTCGAGTTTGGATCAAATGCTGTAGTTGGTGCAGGAATATTAATGATATAAGTCATTAAATCATTAAGTGACGTAAATAATGTTGTCGTTTTTGATTTAATTTCTTTAGCATCTGTTATATATGGTAATTTTATTTCTGTAGTTTCTGAATTAAAGATATTCGCTAAAATGTTTTGTAAACTGTTTTGAACAGCTGTGTAAACCGTTGAATCCGGAACTCTTACGATTTCACCGTCCTTAATAAAAGGCATTGCACATGGTGTAGTGCTTGGGTCAAATCTTTTTGGGTTATGATTCAACATATATTCTAATGCTTCATAACAGACCTATAAACAGTTGTATTATCTTTTTCAATAATTTCACCGTCCTTTATAAACGGCATAGTACATGGAGTTAAAATAGGGTCAAACTTTTCATAGTCCTTCCATGTTATATTTCTCAGTATTTCCATTAGAAATAACAATATATTTGTCAGTAAGTGTGAGAGAGTATTGACTAAAATATAAACGTTTAGCTCTGTCAGCTTCATACGCATATGCAGCTATACTCATATTTTAATGAGAATAAAATGTTGTTCTATTTGCAAAGTACAGACCCAAACGAATACGGGACAGTAAAGCTACAAACAAACTTAGGTCTACAGAATGAGGCGCTTGCATTCAGAATAGTTGACTTCAATACTATCGCTTCATTCGTTATAACAGATGAAACAGATTTCATGGAGATTGAAATAGATGGAAAGAAGCACGAAATAAGATTTCACAATAATGTAGAATATAAGATGGAAACATTAGCTGGAGTGTTAAATGCTCTCATAAATACTACAATAAACAAGGATAACGAAGAAAACTTAATGAATGTTAAACTTATTGCAGGAGTTTTGAAGTTCGTTATGTGAAGGAGTTTAAGATACCAAGAATGAGTCATAGAGTACAACTTCTTTTGGGTGCATACCATATGACATTTCCTTTGAAAAGTGTTGACAAAACGATTGAGATGAAATCTGTTCCATACGTATGTTATGGCAACTGTTTGTACATTGAGTCAAAAATAGCTAATGTCACAGGTATTTCAGGAGTTAATAGTAAAGGTTCAGTAGAATATAAATCCTTCTGTTATGCAGTCAATTCAATGTTCATTCCAAACGTTCCTGTCATAGCAACTCATTTAGGTAAATGGGTTCGCATTAGTCCTCATAATTTGAAAGACATGCAATTCAGACTTGTTGACTTTCAAGGAGAGCCTGTAGAACTGAAGGCACCAGTGCGAATGACTGTTGAAGTTGACTTTTTAGAAAATATTAAATGCAACAGCTTACAAGAGAACTCAGAGCTAAAAATATAAAGTATGAATGTTATGTATTAGGTCATGAACTTTGGTTGTTGCTGTTTGATGAAACAAATGAGTTAGTTATGTCAGTCAAGAGAACAGAATATAAACTTTGTTTGAAATATTGTGTTAGTGAAAACTGCACCAAGTCAATAAGATTAGGTTTGCATTATGAAGATGAGTTCGATACTGTTGAAGAAGTTTTGGATAGATACTATAAGTTGTTAACTTGAAATTTTTTTGACTGACGGTGCAAAGCGCCAAGATGGGCTCAAAGAGCCCTCCTGACTGCTTTAATTTACTAAAACATATTTCAAACAAAGTTTATATTCTGTTGAAAGTTTTGTATACTCGTTCGAATATTTATACTTAAACTCAACTCCTGTAGTTCCTGGTGTTTCAATGATGCGGATGTTACCTATTTTCATGAATGGTGGCGTTTGACCACAGCATTCGATTTCAGGGTCGAGATAGTCAATGACACATTGTTTCCCTGTTATTCGTGATATAACATTTTCAAGGTCCTCCTTTGTTAGAATTATTTGGTTCTTGCTTATAAGATTTACAAAAGCTTCTTATCGTCTTTGAGTAAAATTGTTTGGTATAACTGAAGAAGGTAATGGTCTACGTTATCTGAAGGATTTGTTTGAACATTTGTGTAAGGATTGTCGTTGGCTCTCTTGAAAGAATTTGGTCCAGTGGTGGATACTCTAACTTAACATCTGATGTAGCGTTAGCGTTTGAAGCTGAGTTTAAATTCACGGATTTCAGCTCTGGTTCTTTTAAACACTCTGAACTATAGTTCTTTATGACAATATTGTTTGTCGTTCGTGAGTCAACATTTGATGTTGGTTCAATTGGAACATTAACGGCACCAGCTAAGATGGATTTGCTTCTCATTTCATATAGAATAAAAACCTTTTATATGTATGAAATGAACAATATACTCGACAAGGGTTTGAATGTAAAGCTAACGAATGAAAATATTGTTGAATTCACTGAGACAGGTGCTGTGTATAAAGATGTAGAACTACTGAACAAAAGAGCTAAGGGAAGAAGCAGGAACATGAACAAAGGGTGGAAGCCTATAAAAATTTATGTCAATGATGGCTCAGGAGGTTCAAACATAAAGTATGCAGAAAGTTATAGAGTTTATGCTCTCAAAGGTGAAAAGCCTTCATTTAAGAACAGCTATTCTAACGCATATCCTCAAAAGCTAACGGATGGGGAAGTGGATGATATGAATGACACAAAAATATTAACAGAAATGGCGACAGAGATGCATGGAATTTGTTTACCATCAGTCAATTGAAGGTTAAACTTTAAAACAATGTTGGTCGTTCCCATGGAATATTTTTGACTTTAATGGTATTAGTCATGATATGAATCTCAAGGTATGAACGAGGAGAGATGAGAGACTTATATGCTTCCCAAATTTCTTCAAAAGGTAATGTTATACCTGACTGTTTCCAAATGAGTTCAATATCATAACGTGAGAAACCTTAAAGATAACGAAGTCAGTTATGAGACGTTTTATGTTTAAAGCTAAAAACCTCCATGTTTGCATAAGTATTGCTACAGTTAAATGGTAATGTCTGACTTTAGTAATGATGTTAGCTAATGGTGGTCAGGCTTTGACACTAAACCTTTTCCGGCGAAGTCGTCGCAAACGAGCAGAGTGTTTGAAGGATATTTTTTGAAGGGTGTATTTTGAAAGTTTTGACAGAATGTAGTTTGTAAGTCGTTTCATATCGTAAACTCCTGAGTACTGGTAAGTGGTGTTTGTCAATAATTCTTTCCATCTCCTCAGAAGTCTTTTGCATTCCTGACTGTATAAATTCAACGATGGCATAATATTTCCTCTTACGTCGAATGTAACGTTGAAGAAATTCAATGAGTTCACTGTCTGGAACTTTAACGACAAGGGCTTGAACTTTTGACATAAATGTTTCGCTGTTGAATCCATAGAGTCTGAAGTTGCTGATATAATGATTTGGTCATAGTAAGAGTCGTTTCCTAAACGCCTGTTATGAGTATATGACGAATGAGGTTAAATGTCTTACCTGAACCCATCTTTCCACAATAGAAATACACACCATTTGAACAGAACTCATAGTCTTTGCTGAAAGGAAGAATAAGAGAAGAGTTAAGTTTGTCTGTAGTTTCATTCATGTCTTCATCTACGTCATGTATTAAATGCTTCATTTTATCTCCATTAAAAATGCAAGTCAGAAATATTCAGAACATAGCACGAGTCTAACTGACAAGAGTATAAAGATATACTATGAACACGTTATGATGAAACCTACCAAAATTCAAGAAAGTCAGTATACTTATGAATATCCAAGACACTGGTAGAGTATGTAGGAGGTGAGAAAGCTTTTGAAATCAGACAGGTTAGAAGTATTCCAGCAGGAAGAACAATATTATTGAAGAACTTTAATGTTTTGAGGTATAATGATGAAACAAAGAACAAGATAGTTTCCCTGTGCTGTGTATGTGAACTTAGATACAGGAGATGACATGAAAGTTTTTAATACAAAGCTTCAAACGGTAGTGAGAGAACAACTGACTGCGGAAGGACATCCATTACTTCAGAAGTTACCATAGCATATAAATTTTGAAACAAACTCAATAGATTTTAAAGTCGTCTCTGCAAAGAAGTCAGGTTTTACATTTAATGAAGCAGATGTATATTCGAATGAAAACTTCAAAGCTATTGCATGGTTAGATAATGACGATTGCTTTAAGAAATATTTAAATACAGTGACTCAACGATGTCAATAGATGACCTTCGTGGAATGTTACCATCGACGTTTACAGTAGAAGGTTCAGCAGGATTGCTTACAAGATTGTCAATTGTGGTATTTGGTCTCGTGAGAACATTGTTATAAAATCCAGTATAAGTGAATTTGCTGAAGAATCTATATTATGTCTTTTCAAACTATATGTATTCGCCGCCGAAGCATTATAGTATAACAAAACTTTGTCAGTAAGTTTAACATAAGACTTGTCGAACCTTCTTCAATGAAAGATGTTGTGGCTACCCAAAGACGGAAAGGATGGACTCATTATTGAAATGATTTTAATTGCATATTAAATGAGCTTGTTTTGAAGGTCATTCATGATTAAATAACTGTTGTAGAAGATGTTAGCAATTGTTCAGACATTTTGAAGCGTATAGATGATATAAGAAAGAAGTTTTGAATGAGAATGTTTATGTTTCATTGAATTTCTCCAGTAACGAGAACTTTTATGAGATAATATTGAAGAGAGATGATTTAATATGGTGTAAATGGTAGCTTGGGCAGCTTTAGGCGCAATGGGAACAAAAGCATTAGCATTTGAGCAAAAGCACTTGGAGCTTATGACGCAGTAAATAAAATGAGTGAGGAAGGGTTTCGAGACATTAGATGCAAATAAAGGGAAGATTGGAGGCTGGGTTGCAAAGAAGTTAAGATTAAATAAAATAGGGCTCATAAATAAAGCATCCAATTTGGTTGCGCTGAGTCAGAAAATGCTTTAGGAAAGGACGATGAGTTTGCAAAACACGCAAAAGACTTTAATGACCAGATGAAAGGTGAAACAATGCATTTAAATAGAGTCGATGGAACTAAAGAAAATGTTTCTTCTCCACCAGTAGTTCTTCCGTATGGTCCCTATGGAATGTATGGAAACCCTTACGAAAGACCATTTGACCCATTGACTGGTGGAAGTAACTGGTATCATTACGGCCGAAGAAGAAAGACAGTCAAGTTGGAGACAGACGTGAAGAAAGCAACTAAAAAGAAACCAAGGAAGAGAGTTATAAAGCAATGAATTCAACAGGGTGAAAAAACAGGTGAAAAAACAGGTGAGATCTCACCTCTTCACCTAAATTTATTTTTGTGCTATGTTTTCATACGTGTGAGGGTGGTGATATCATTAATTTTTAAGTTTATTTTTAAGTTTATTTTTATTTTATTTTTATATAAATGACGAAAACTATTGAGATAACAAACTACAACGGTCATGAGTTCAAGAATTTGTTCTTCGTTCCTCGTGAAAATACATTCTATCAGATACGAGGGAGAAAAGGTAAAGTTAGTTTGAGAGTTTATGAAGGAATGAAGAATGGAAAGTTTATACAAGCATACGATACAAACGGTAAACGTGTTTCATTAGCTTTGTCAAAACTTACTAACATTTATTTTGACAGTGATTTTGACCTATATGAAGAAGAAAGTGAGTCAGAAGAATATGAACTGTTGTGTGAAGCACAGCAATGGGAGGAGTTGCAATACTTTTGTAAGTGAGAACGTTTATTTTTTTACAGTAGTGAGGTGAAGTGGTTGGCGGTTTTGTAAATATTTAAGGTTAAGTTAGTGTTGTCGTTTGTGTTGTAAAATATACGTTAACGGTTTTGTAAAGTGTCAAAACCGCTAAGTGGTGTACGGAGACGCGCAGTGCCTCAGTACACGACTTAGCCATACTAACTAAAACATCTTCTCATCATTTTATAGCTATTCATACATTCCTTTTCAAAGTTGTGAAATTAAATAAGACAGGAATTAGATTTAATGTATCAGGGTACGCATTCTTGAGTAAATTAAAATGTATTCGTCACGTCGCAGATGATAAAAATTTATGTGTTCTTAATTCATTTTACGGGCTTTAAAAAATAAACTTTATTTTTATTTATTTTTTAATTTTTTATTCTTACATAAATGAACAAAAACGGAACCGCTAAAATGAATGATAATCAAATTAGAGCAGAAGGTAGAAGGTTATTTAAACGCTTCTATAACATTCCTGATGGTGTTAATCCTAAAACTCGTAGAAGCTATTTAAATGAAGCAATAGATGCATATGAGGGGTTTGACATTTCATCAGAAAGTGAGAGATTAGCGAGAATGTTAAATGTTAATATTGATTTCTATTATTGTGATCCTCAACCAGAAGACGTGGACATAAATAAGGTAGACTTTCCATTAGTGGAATCAATAATGATAGATCCAGAATTTGAAACAGTAAATATTTTATTAACACAGAGTCCATGTGGAAAACTTCACGCTGACAGAATAACAGACGTTGAAGCACTCACGGGATATAAAGTTTGCCCCTTTTGCAAAGAAGAAGTATATTCTATCCGTGATGATCCAGAAAGGAAAAACCAAAGAAGATTTTTAAAGCATTGTGAGAAATGTAAAGAAAATAATGGAAGATTAATTCAAGACGTTCAGTTGCAAAAGACCCAGCAACCATATGCACCACATATTACGAAACAGAAGATATATCAGTGGTTATTAGCTCACAATTTGCAGAAATATTATAAACCGACAAGATATTATATTACTTTTGACTTCGAAACATTAGAGACTAAAGAAGAATTACAACTTTCTGAGTGTGCAACTTTGAACGCTTACTTAAAACCATTCATGGTATCATCAACGGTTAAATTAAACGATAAAACATATACGAGGAATTTTTGCTTAACTTCGAGTGATTCTTTTATTTCTGATTGGATTGAGTTTTTATTTTCAACCTGTTCATTAGTTGCTAAATCAAATATTGAACAATACAATGAATTATTGAAGTCGCAAACGGTGGGGACTTTGTCTCATACATTAAATGAAAAACAGAAGGAAGCATTTAAAGAACTTCTAGATGAGGAATTCAATAAAGTGAATATCATAGGTTTTAATTCGGGAAAGTTTGATTTAAATTTAATTCTTCATGATTTAAACACTGTAAAGTGGAAAATAAAATCAATGCTGGGTTCATCTTCACAATTTAAGCAAATCATTGTAAAGAAAACAAACGTTCCATATGAATTGAGATTTATTGACATCAGAAATTATATAGCGGGTGGGACATTAGACCAATTCACTCAAGATTTCGGAAACAATAAATCACGTGTTAAATCCTTTTTCCCTTATCAATTCATCACGTGGGAGAATTACGAAGAAGAATTATATAAAGGAACCATTCACGAAAGATTCATTTTATTCAGCATTAACCAAGAAACTATATCAGATAGTGATTATCAAATATATCTCAATGATGCTAAAAATTTTAAGAATAGATTAGAATATTTTATTCATTATTGCAATAAAGATGTTGAAATTATGATTGACCCAATTGATAAAATTATTGAAGAAACATTTGTTTATAAAATTGACATGCTTCATAATCTTTCTTTATCATCGAATGCTTCAATGATTCGTTACGCTTTAGCATATAAAGACTTTAATCCTAATGAAAAATATCCTGAGGAAGAGATAGAATCAAGTTTTGAATTAACGAAAAAGTATTGGAAATATAAAATTGAATCATATAAGAAACAAGATGAAAAGCAAAAGGGATACTAAATAATGTTTCAATGGATGATTTTCAATACTATCACGATTTAATCCTTTCATCTAAATGCAAAATGTGTGGTAAAGCGTTTACATATGCAAATAAACCAACATTGGATAGAATCGATAATGAAAAACCACATACCAAAGAAAATTGTCAGTTAATGTGTTGTTATTGCAATGTCGTAAAATCAAATAAAGATGAAGATGTTCAACGTTTAAGAATCAATTTAAGAAATTATGCATTAAAAAATAATTTACCAATGACTTTAGATTCAGTTGAAGCTTATCACATTCTCCGTAATGGAATTACTGGTGGTTTATCAAATGTTCAACATAGAGTAAATCTTAAAGGAATCACGCACATTAATAAACTTTCATATAATCCAGAAACTAAAACTGTATCAAATGAGGACACCACCAACATTATGACTCATTTCGTTGGTGTTGATTTAATAATTCATTATATCCTTCATCATTTTCATCTAATCCTCATGATTTCATTCAATATACTGACCATAAAATGTATATGCCGGGAAGATTGAATGGTGTTATCATTTGTGATACAGCAACAAAGAAAGCAAAAGCATGGGAATTATTAAGAAAGAAAAATACTTTATTCGTGGCTGAAGTAAAGGGTCACATTGATGAAAAATACATTAATGATTACATAAACTTTTTACCGATAATAAGAAACTTAGATATTATCACAGATGAAAAAACAATTGGCAGTTTTATGTATAATTACATGAAATCAAACAATCTACCAGTTGACCAGAAACAGAGAAAATTAACTCAGTTAGCATCAACACACAACCAATATCAACCATTTTCTTCTTATTATCTTTGGTATCTAATAGACAGATTTCATTTTATCATTGATGATATTCAATCAATTTTAACATTTACTAAAAACACTTGTTTTAATGAATTTGCGAACAATTTATGAACGAAAGACAAAAGGCTGAATTAGAAGGAAATAAAGGAAAAAGTTTATTTTGCAAGATTTCACTTAATGGATCATATGGTTACGATGCAATGAATACACAAAATTACAAAGACTAAAAATAATAATGCACAGAAGGCACGCGTTGCATGTATGTCAAATAAGTTTAAAAACATAAGAGAAATAGGTGAAGATACATATCAAGTGATGCTTAAAGATAGATTTTATAGATGTGAAACATGTTTACAAGAGGCATTCTTCACTTTAGATAATGCTAAATACTGGTATTTGGTTTTCATTTATGATTTTATGTATAAATGCATGATGTTAATCGTTTTCATTTCATTGAAGGTGATACTGATTCATCTTATTGGGCAATCGCTGGCGACCAAATCTTCCTAACACTCAAGCATTTCAAGCAATTGTTACCGATAAACAATTTTATGATAAAAACATTTTCAAATTCGCACCATTTGATTTCTTCTGTTTTGATGAGAAATTTAAACCTAAATTAAAGAATAAAGCTGAAGAAAAAGCACATGAGAAGAAGTTATTGGGTTTAGCAATTGAGAAACAAGGTGATAACATGGTTGCTTTATGCCCTAAGTGTTATACATCATTCAACGGTTCAATTGATGGAAGTGATTTTAAAAAGATTGCACAAAAAATGAAAGGTGTTAGTTTACGACAAAATAAACAATTAACACCTAAAAATTATTTGGATATAATAAATGATAAAGTGATATTTGATGGTCAGAATATTAATTTACAACTTAAAAACGGTCAATGACTCGCTTAACAATCGGTAAGACTGCATTAACAGGAGCACACACTAAGGCTGTATGTTGTGAAAATGGATGTTGTATGCCATTTATTTTACATTAATGAGTGATTCAATATGTAAATAATGATTTTTGATTCTTGATCAAAGAGGTGGGCACCCTTAAACATTTATTTTATTTTTATATAAATGGATACCATAATTTAAAAATTTTAATTGATGATTTAGTATTTAATCAAAACTTTCTTAGTTATTATGAATTAAAAGCATATCTCCAAAAACATAATAACAATATAACGGGTGATGATATGGATTATTATCCGTATTATAAAAATGAAATTTTGAAATATCATGATAAAATAATTTCTAAAATTAAAGACAAAATTAAAAATAATGAATATGCAAAGGGAAAAACTAAATCACAACTTAAACAATTGAAAGATTTCAAAAATAAAGTATTAACAGAAGAAGATATTGATGAATTATATAATTTATATAATCCTGAGCCGCAAAAACAAGGAACAAAAACAAAAGCGCAAAACCCCAGGTCCTTCAGACCATAAATGAAGCACAAGCTTTAATTTATGATTCATTAGTTAAACCATGTTCAGCCCGACTTTTAAATGAAGATCAACTTTTGGAATTCATCCTTCAACATAAACTCGAAGCGGGAAAGTATATCAAACCTTTATATACAGCATATTTAAAACAAATGAATAGAATACATCCAGAATTAATGAAAGGAGGAATGAAATCCAAAATCAAAGCAGATAAAATTAAACCACTTGCAACACCAAAACCTCCAAACAGTACCTCCTCCTCCTTCAGTTAATCCTTCATCATTCACTTTATTATATCCATTTCAAACATTAAAGAAGCAAAAAGATTTTAAAAAGGATTTCAAGATATTAAATAAACCAATTGACCCGAAAATTCAACCGTTAAAGGAAAAATTTAGTCGCCCTCATTTGCACCATATCCATATTCATACGAAATCGATCATTTAGAATATTCAAAAGGAAACGTTACTTATTTATTTGCCATTAACATTAACACTAGATATTTATATTGCATTCCAGTGAAAGGGAAAACAGAACAGGAAACAAGAAGAGCTATTCAATACTTACTAGATCATGAAAGAGTAGATAATATCAGGGGTGATGGTGATAAAGGATTTCAGGCAGCTATGGCTCATTATTTCCCACAAATTAATTTTTACTTTTCATCCTCTCCATATACGTTTCATAATAAAATAGTTGATGCGGTAATGAGAACTCTTAGAGATGCGTTAGGGGTTAACGGTCAGATATACTGGGATGGAAATCATGACTCCATCATACAGCAGTTAGTATATTATTACAATAATACATGGCATAGAACTATAAACATGAAACCAGTGGAAATGAAAAATGATATTTCAAAAGAATGGGAATATATTAGAAAGCAAATGGAAAGGTTGAATGATGTTAAACGTGAACAAATTAATTCGGGGCTCATGAATTTTAAACAAGGGGATAAAGTTTTGATTCATCTCGATTATGGAAAAACTGATAAATCAATGACAAAAAGAAGACGAAGATTTGACACAATAGCTGAATTTGTTAGATATATTAACGGCAATGTATTAGTTGAAGTTGACAATAAATTAATAGAAATTCCGATTTATTTTATTACTCCATTATATTTAAATAATATTTAATTTTTTTTATTTCGTAAGAAATGAATGACAATGAAGCTGCTAAGAGTCTAGATGATGAATATAAAAAGAAACTAAACAAAATTAAATCAAAAATATGCTATTGCAAAAAGAAGCAGCAATGTGGTGGGGCTGAAAACGATAAAGAGAGGAAAGAAATAATCGAAAAATTAGAAACTTATCGTTCAATCCTTAAACTGAGTGAAGCAAAAATAAAAGAATTTAATAGAATAAATAAATTGATTGGAAGAGATGAATTTAATAAAGATGAATTTTTAAACTCAATCCAAATTTAATTTTTATTCCTCATCTTCTCAGTTTTCGTGGTTTGTTGTTTTTAATTTGTTCTTGCATCATTTTTATCATTTCCTCCCTTGTTATGATTCGTGGTAAATTTTGAGCTTGTGGGGTATTCATTTATATAAAAATAAAATTTTGTTATCAGTTATTTTATCGTTAATGTTTTCAGGTTATTCATTTATTAATTATTTTTGAATAACTGATGAGGTCACCGGGTCACCAGGTCACCAGGTTACATTAACTTTTCTGAAAAAATGAGACAACATGACATTTTGACAACAACATAGGGAGATGTACTTATGAAGCATTATTGAAGAACCTGAAAACATTAATGAGGAAGGTATTTATTAATTATTTTTGAATAACTGAAGGGGTCACCGGGTCACCAGGTCACCAGGTTACATTAACTTTTCTGAAAAAATGAGACAACATGACATTTTGACAACAACATAGGGAGATTAATGCAAAAATAAATTCAAATCATACTTTATAAAGCATCATTTACAGGTATTTCATCGTCAGTAAATGAATCCTCATTATCGTTTGGTTCAACCTGTTTATATAATCCTTTCATTTCTTCTTTCAAAACATAATACCATGTCTGTTTACCATCTATTTTTCTTTGTTTCCTATCACATTTATCCTTAATACTCATTTGGAAATTCTTGTCTTTCATGTCTGATGGTTTGCAGAATAGCGCATTTTTACACTTCATACCTGCACACAATTCATCATAATGTGTATTTATCCATACATCTAAAGGATTTGTTGATAATTCAATTAAATCTTGTTTGGCTTCAGTCATCGGTATGATTCGTACATTAAATGATGAAAGGTCGTAATTGATAAAATACGTCAGTAAATTATCATAAAATTCCTTAGTGCATGAATTCATCAAATTCTTGAAATAATCAAATTGACCCTTAAATTTACCATTAACTCTTAAAACTACATATCTTCTGTCTCCAACTTCAATTTTGACAGGGTAAACGTTGTTAGTTATGAAAATGAAATTGGCAACGTTTTGTGCTGTTCTTCTGGGTTGATTCTTTTCATTAATTCTAATCTCATTATCCGTAATAATTGATTTCAAAGCGTTGAAGTTTGCGAGTCTGTCTTCACCTACATTCTTGAGTTCATTAAGTACAAGAAACATTTTATTCTCAACTACTGAATTGAAATTACCCGTTAGCTCACCTATTTCGGTAATGTTTTTGCATGAATAACCAGCGAGAAGTTCAGAAATAATGTCAGTGAATCTGTTTTTACCTATTCCCTGAAGTCCTTTCAAAATAATTGCTGTTTCATTCTTGATTCCAGGATGTTGAATCATTGATGCAATCCAGCCGAGTAGGTATTTATACACTTCATCGTTATTATCACAAACGGCTTCTTTAATGAAATTCATAAACATCTCAATTTTTGAGTAATCAGGCTTTTCGAGAATGTTGTATTTATAACCTTGAAACGTTGAGAAAACATCGGGGGAATTAGATTTAAAGCAAACACCCTTAACGGTTAATGAAGACAATTGATTTAGTAGTAAATCCCATGCTGTTATGGTTTTACCTTCTTCTTTAAATAATTTAATCATTTTGAGTGACTCTTTCATGTTTGATTGAAGAACGAATGATATTTGATTCATTTTGTGGTGTATGTTGTAATCTTTCTGAATGAAGTATTTGTTTCCACAATCTACAAAACGGATTACACGTGATAAATCCTCAATTACTTCAGAACTGTTTTTATACTGATGATTTTCAGCCTTGCGTCTAATATCTGTTATCAAAAACGAGTCATCAAGTTTGATGTCAAATGTTATTTTTGGCTTACGTAATAAAGGCAAAACATATTCATCATAATATTCCTTTTGATATAGTTTTAGAATCTTCACCAAAACAAATGGAGAAGTCATTAAATGTGCATATCTATTACGTGCTTTTTCAAAATTACTTTTTGCATTTTCTGTTAAACTGCAGAAGTTATAAACGTTATCGTATGCTTCATTAATCAAATGATTGGGTAACGAATTAATAGCTTGAAACAGTGTGAATAATGTTATTTCTTTTTCTAAATTCATCTTTCCACCGTCATTATGTACTTCAAAATCACAGATGCCATCAACTATGCTCTGGGCAAGTTTATCGTCAATGTTTACATCTTTGTTTTCATTCATTATACTCTTTATTTCTTCATTCTTCTGTTCAACTCTTACCTTAATATTCAAATCATTTAATATATCATTCACTGTTCTAGTTAATGTTGAATCATAACTTCCACGAATGAATGAGTATGTACTGATTGGTTCTGTTGCATTCTTGCGAACTCTTGAATCAGCCATAACTACTAAAGAACGCTTTGAATCATCAATAGAAGTCATGATATCAATATCATAATCATTGCAGGAATAACATTTAATCATTCTGTTCGAAACTGCATAGAAGAAATTAGTGTTGCAATAAATGTGAAGACCTCCTGAAGCGGTTTTAACGATAACATCCTTATCCGAAAGTTTTGATAAAATATCTTTTCGAACTGTTTCTTTAAGTTCATCATTGTATGATTTATTGATATCAACATCTATAATCGTTAAATTTGAAATTTTATTTACTAATAAAGCCATACCAGTTTTCCTTCCTCTTCCTCCATCATGTTTGAGGTAGTTATGTAAATCAATCATGTTTTCACCAATTCTTTCATTGAGGGTTTTAGTTTCTGTCATAACTAATTCCTCAACTAATGAATCAATAACTTTTTCATCAGAAACGATAAAGTTGCTGCTGTCGTTTGTTGCTGTCATTTATATAGGAATAAAAAAATAAAAATAATTTTAAAACTAACTTTATTTTTGGACTGCATTATATTTCCGGCACTGTTGTCAAAATGTCATGTTGTCTCATTTTTTCAGAAAAGTTAATGTAACCTGGTGACCTGGTGACCCGGTGACCCCTTCAGTTATTCAAAAATAATTCATTATTGAAGAACCTGAAAACATTAATGAGGAAGGTACTTATGAAGCATTATTGAAGAACCTATGTTGTTGTCAAAATGTCATGTTGTCTCATTTTTTCAGAAAAGTTAATGTAACCTGGTGACCTGGTGACCCGGTAGCAGTGAAATAAAATTTTGTTATCAGTTATTTTATCATCATTTTATTAAGTTCATCTTTAGTTAATAATTTGAATGGATTCGCTAATGTTCCACCTTGAGTCACAACACTTGCCCCGGCTAATTGTGAAGAACCTGGGATAAGTACTCCATGAAATGATTTCATTGGTATCATTAATTTAGAAATAGTTGGCTTAATTAATTTTGTCATTTATGATAAAAATAAAATGTTAAATTATGCCGTTCACTCTTTTAGAGCTCAGGACTTTCAGTCCGTTCTAAAGTTTGTTTCACAAACATTGAGCGTTCATTGAACTCTATACCATGCGTAAACTGTCATGTAAGGTGGCATGTATTCTTTACCTTGTCCCGTTGTTTGTGTATATCCTGAAACGAAATGTGTATGGTTTCCTTCTCCCTGAGTGTCACTCCAGTAACAATTTATAGCAAACATAACGTCGTCTTTAACATCATATCCTTTACCTTTTGTCATTCCTGACCAATCCCAATATCTATGCTTATGCCAACCTGCCTGAGATGTACTTAAATCTATGTAGTGACTGTGTGCAGGTAAATTTTCACCTGAAATTGTTTTACTTCCACCTGTTTCCTTTGAAGAGTTAGCACAATACAAAAACCTGTCGACTATTTGTTCCCATGCACCAACACCAAACATTACTTGAGGACCTCTTGCTTCCATAGATGTATAAATAGAACCTACTGGGTTCATTAAATCAAACATATGAGATAATATAGGATTGTCTCTTTTGAACTTAAAATATAGTGCAACTATTTCAGGTTTCTTCTGGTTTGTGTCAGAATATTTTTTATAATATAATCTTATGTTTTCAGGGTAGGTAAAATCTTGACTATAATATTTATTTCTGTCATCTGTATAATAATATACTATTCTCGTTTTTTCTATTGCATTATATCTTTTATATCTATAATAATCTAAATATAATGTTAGCTTTTGTTCATCTACATGTGGTGTTCTGTCGTCATCTCCATAGTCATAATAATATGGTGCTGGAGCTGGGTCAGGTAATGTCATATCTACCATTTCATAAACTCTTAAATATTTCTTTTGTTCGTCTTCATATAAGTTTAAGTAGCAGTTGTTGTCTAATGGAACTTTAACTTGTGTTCCATCATTCTTTTTATAGCTTACATACATTTCATTGTTATTTTTCGGAATGAGTTTACACCGTGTACCATTTTTTAAGGAGTGTACAAACTGCCATCTAAAATATTTATTTTCTTCACGGACAGAAAAGTCACCAACAATAGTTTCAATATTTTTTGTTGTTCCTATCAAACTTTGGTATATTTCGTTAACATATGTTTTATCTGCCTTCTTATTTAACTCATCGTTAACATATGTTTTATCCGCTTTAAGGTCTAAACATCCCGAAACCCATTTTGTATCAGCTTTATTTTTAAAAGTCTCCAATGTCCATTCATGATTCCATTCAACCTTTTCTTTAATTTCATTATCTTTTTCATCAGCATAAACCAAATTTGCCTTCTTATTTAACTCATCGTTAACATAAGTTTTATCTGCTTTAAGGTCTAAACATCCTGAAACCCATCCTGTATCAGCTTTAGTTTTAAAAATCTTCGATGTCCATTCATGATTCCATTCAACCTTTTCTTTAATTTCATTATCTTTTTCATTAACATATTCCTTATCTGCTTTCTTCATTAATTCACTAGCCACTTGTTCCTTATCTGCTTTCTTCATTATGTCATTAAGGAAACCTTTTATGAATTCCTCATTTAAATTAAATCTTCCAATCTTCAAAACTTTAGGAAATGCATTTAATGCGTAATATCTTTGTTCTTCTGGTGGAATTGATGTTATATCATCCGTTATCCCTTTAATTTTTGAATTCATAAATAAAATTTCTTTTATATTTGATATCACTGCACCACCTTTGCAAACGAATTCGAAATGGTCATTTTTCAATACTATCTCCAAATCTCCATATTTCAACCTTTGCGTTTGTTCTGCCGTCTTTGAATTATATGCATATATGGCGTATGTAATGGTTTGAAGGACCTGGGCGCTTTGCACCTTAAGTTGTTGTGGTTGCTGTTGTTTAATCATTTATTACGATTTAAAAATAAATATTTAATCTGTTATCTCATCAGCTATTTTCTCTATTTGAAATTGCCATAATATTTCATTCATAAATTCTAAATCACAATCAAATAGGTCAGTTATTCTAAATTTAATATTTGATAAATCTTTTGAATGAAGAATAAATGAATTCCCGGATAATTGAAACGGATATGATAAAGAAAATGTGTTTAAGTTGATGGATAAAATGTTTTGTATTGATGGGTAAGAGTTGGGGTCTAATGTTTGATGTGAAAATCTCATTGGGGTATTAACTTTATCACATTTGATTAAAATGAAATTGGAACCAGTGTCAGAATACAAAACATCCCCAACATCTTTTTCAAAATTTAATATCCCCAACAATGAACGAAGATGAGGAGAACAAAATTTAATTTTCAGCGGAAATTTAATAAGGTTATTTATTTCATCAAGTTCAAAAAGTTTATCAGGTTTTGATTTAAAATTTTCTTCATACCATACGATAAATGATTCATTTAAATAACTTAAAATCGTGTTAATATCCCATTTCGCTATCACATTATTTATATACATATCATACGTTTTTTCATGGTCATCTTTGATAAATGATATATAATCTGAAGGGTCTAAAAGAATGGGATTAAATTTACCACTCACAGAAACGAGAGTAACATTATAAATTCCGCTAACTGTTAAATTTAATTCACAGTTATTATTTGAAATAATATTGATAATTGACATTTTTATTACGATTAAAAATATGGTAAAGCGTTATTTTCCAGTGATAAATAAAACTAGAATAAGATTACCTCAAGAATTCATAAATTCAACGAATAAGAAATTCATTCATGTTATAAATTTTAGTGTTTTCAGAAAATATGAGTCAGTGTCATATTCATCAACAGGTTATATTTCACTTCATTCAAATTTAGTTCAATCAAACCCATATAATGACCATTTCATAAGATTTTCAGATGGTATTAAAAATGTAATTGATAGATTAAAATATGAACAGATTGACAATATCGAATTTTTGGAATTTTGGTTTAAATATCCCGATGGAAAAAAGATTGAAGTTAAAGATAAAGCTGATACTATAACAAAAACAATTACAATGACCGATCCGGATAGTGGGGAACAAAAAGAAATAAAACAAACGATAGAAACTGGTGAAAGGTCAATTATTATTGATTATGATTCAAAGGATTATTATTCGATAATGTTAATGCTTGAATATTAAATAGCCTTAACAAAGAATTTTTCAAGTGATATTTTATATTCATCAACTATTTTATTATAAATATCATTATATGTTAAATGAAGTTCAGTTGTTGTTTCATTCTTTGTTATCTTAATTGTGCTAATATCCTTTATAGGATTTATTTTTGCAACTGTTCCGCAGCATGAAACCTCATCATCTATGAAAAATTGAATCTTAACGTCTGAATCTTGAACATCACAAAGAATGGCGATAATGTGAATTAATGATTCATAAGGTAAAATAATTAAACCGGATTGATCAATTAAATTTATTATTGAATCATAATTATTAATTATTATATCACGGTAAATTTTCATTAATTCAGAATTAATGTTTATTTTATATGGGTTCTCGATGTTTGATGAAAGAGGTGGGGGGTATGTTGGATAAGTGGGAATTTCAACGGGTTCTTTACCAGGTTCAGATAAAATGATTGGGTCTTCATTCTCCTCCTCCTTTTTCGGTAAGTCACGAGTTAATAAATTTGGTTGAGTTGCTGACCTTGTCAATTCAGGGCTAACATTAACTTTAACATTTTGAATAATTCGTGATTTATCATCATTTACGTTATAACCAACCGTAATCTCTGCTTTTGCGTTAGTGTTCTTTTGATTAGTGAAACGTCTTCTCATTTATATTCGAATAAAAAAAATATATTTAAACTTTTATTTTGCTGGAACTTTTAAATCTATTATTCCCTGTATTTGTTCATGAAGTTGATTTTTAGCTGGTTCATTGTAATTAATAGACCTAATATATTCATTAATTGCATTCTTATAATCAACTGATTTCTCAAATTTTCTTTTATCTGATTCCTTAACTAAATCATAAGTTAAACCTCGTTGCTGATATAATGGTTTCTTAATTAAATCTTTGAATGCTTGAGATAAAGCACCTGATGCAATTCTTGCTACTATAATTGGTTGGAATTGCTGTTTAAGTTCATCTTTAACATTTGCGAAAACTGGATCGAATAAAGCAACTTTAAAGAATTTCTTAGCTGAAATTTCAGGTCTAATATTTGCATATTGACCATCAAACTGGTTATAATATCGTGGCAATCCATTCGGTCCCTCTTCAATAGCATTTAATTCTTCATTGAAATAAGAATATGGATTACCACGGTATGAATTAATTGGACCATTTTCACCTTCTCCAATGTATTGTTTAACAGCTTTTCCATTTTCATCAAATTGCATAGGATAACGTTCATTATATGCTTTACGTTTAGGATAATCAGATATAGTTAATTTATAACCATTTATGACTTTAATATTACCTTGACCATCAGTAACGAAAACTTCATTTATACCATCGGGTTTTCCATTTGGACCCGTAATGTCTGCTTCGTGTGCTTCCCAATTTGGACCATGACGTTTGGCATATGCTTGAGCTTCTGGTAATGTTAAAACGTTTCTCATTTGTTTAACATCTTTTTGAAGACCAGCAACAATATGAACTAATTCTTTCATTCCATCAGGAACTTTCATAGTTCTATTATATGCACCCTTTTTGTTTGTCCCTTGTTTTAATGGAACCTGTAGAAGATTTGATATTTCTGTCATGTTTAATTATAAATAAAAAATAAAAATTAATTATAAAAAGTTAATCAAATTTAACACTTCCTTTATTTAAATCAACTATTATTTTTCCATGTTCACCTAATTGTTGATATTGTGTGTAAAGTTCATTAATGCTCATTGGTAAATTCACTTGATAAAGCATAACGTTCAACTGTTGACGACTAAACCCACTGAAAATGAAAAGGGTTGATAGATTTGATTTAATGTTTGTGCTTAATGCTTTGAAATATTGAACAGCCATGAAGAATGAACACTGAATGTGTCGACATTGAGTTAATAACTGATTAAAATATGATTTCTCATTTGTTATTAGTTTTGATTTCACTGCATCATCTAGAAAAATGAGTGAATGCAAAAATTCTTTATCAAAATTTGAAATAGAAAGTGTTTCAAATAATTCATCCCGTTGTTTATCAATAATTTTATCCTCTAATCCTGCTTCTTGATTGTATTATATAATTCTTTATACATTAAAAAGTTTTTTAAATAATCTTCTGCTTCTTCTTGTGATAAATAAATAATTGGAATTTTGATTAAATGCTTTAAAGATTCAAATGTATCATCTGAAGGTGAACCTGAACGGTTGATATAAATTAACACATGTGAATGGGGGGAAGTGTTAGCAATAATGATAATTTGTTTTAATATCGTTAATGTTTTACCTTTATTCTGTTTACCAATTGCTGCAGTGATTGAATTTAAATAACATTCAGAATATGGAATTTTCATTAATTTTTCCTTAGATAGAGCATTTCTATTATCACTCAATGCTTCATTAATCATATCATCTACGTATGTATTATATACTCCTGCTAATTCTTCATAAGGGGTGGATGAATTTAAATCCATTTAATCAAAAATAAATTTATAATTTTAAACATTTCTATTCATCAATATTTCATCATATGAACTTCTATACTGCGGTGGTGTACCTGTTGGATGATATTTCAAACCTTCGTCTGGTGTCCATGTCCAATATGTAGTCCTAGTAAACCAAACCTGAGGAGGATTTGTCACCTTTGAACAGTAAGTGTCATTTTTACCCTGAATGATTGGATAAGCTTTCACTTGTACTGTAACTTGTGAGTTGAAAGTTTCTAATCCATCAAAGAATATACCCGCTCCATCACGTTGAACTGGAATAGTGCATAAGAATGAAGTTTGGTCTTTCCATGTTCTAGCTAATGGCGCGCCATCATCATCATTCAGTGGTCTAGTTAATGAGTCCTCGTATTCTTCCGTGCATTCATTCACTCTATCTAAATCAGAAGCTTGAAGCATACGTGTAAAGAATATGTCGCCCACTGTGGTCATCGCTTGATCGGGGAAGTTTCTGGAATCTATAGTGACCTGAAGACCTCGAAGCATTGGATTTTCTAAAACTGTTCTTTGCATTGCATTCTTCGGAAATGTTAACACAACATCTGTAACATTATGAAGAGCGTATGAGAAATCTGAGCTAATACCTTCAGGAGTGATGCAACCTCCATTTAGTGAACGAACGTCAATATGTTGAGCTGGAATCATGAATGGATCTTCCTTACTGAATAAACGTGGTATTGCTTTAACTAATTCTTCAATTAAACCGTATCCTGGTGTAATGCATTTATCCTCTAAAACTTCCATCTTTGTGCATGAAATAATAACGTCATCAACTGTTGCGTCAGCAGATGTAGCGGCTAAGCCTGTAATTAATTTGGCAGGAAGTCCGATTTGTTGGAATTTGCGATCATATTTATAAACATGATTCATAATCTTTTCATAATTTTCATCAGTTATCTTTTCATAAACGTAATTTTGTAAATCAGCAACTCTTAACGGGTCAACCTGACAAAATACTAAAGTATCCCTGAAAACATAATATTTAAGAATGATATCACCAAATGATTTAGGATAATCATCGAACGTCTGAAATGCTAACAAATCATTTACCGGAATAATCATATCAAAAGTGACATCAACTTCTTTATTTGCGTTCTTGAAAACTTCTGAAGGGTCAATATATTTACCACATACTGAGTTATCATATTTTTGAACATTATTATATAACGAATGAACAAACTTTTTAACTTTCCTTTCTGATTTTGGTTTATATGTTGCGAATGCGAAAGATTCACGGGCGCAATCCATTTGAAGATAACCGGCATCACCTCTTTCGGTTTCTACTTCTAATTGTTTAAAGCTTTGATTTGATGATTTGTAACCAACGAATAAACGCATGCATTTAAAAGCGGCATCACATGTGAAAGCTTTATTTGAAACTAGAGTTGCTTTAACTTTGCGTTTAATATATGTGTCACCTAATTGGTTCACATCATGAGCTGGATTTGTAATTCTTAAATGAGTTTGTTTATCATCAAAATATGGAGCATCAGAGTCATAGCATGAACTTTCAAGTTCTCTATAATATCTTCTACCGTCATTCTTTGCGAATATTTCATTTATCTTTTCGAATGAATGAAATACATTTCCATTAATTGGTTTAGTGTTTGGCACTAAATAGTTAGTCGTCATTTATTAATAAATAAAAAAATCAAAATTAAAAGATGGAATTGAATTTTTAATTTTAATGAAATAATCAACTATGGCTGCAGGTATATTTAAGAAACTGTGGGATAGAGTAAAAAGAGGAGCGAGTAAAGTTTGGGAAACATTGAAGAAGGGAGCAAATTGGATATTTAAGAATAAAGAAGCAATTAGTGACGTTGCTGAATCAATAACACCAAAAGCCGCCCCAATAAGAGAAATTTTAAATAAAGGCGAAAAAGTTTATCAAAGACTACAACCGATACTAAGATAAAAATAATTTTAAAATAATTTATTTTTCCACTATTTACCCCCTATTTTATTAAGTATTCCTTCAGCAATTCCACCAATTGCGTTACCTGCTTGTGCTCCCATCGCCGGATTACCTGCTTTAGTACCTAATACTCCACCTATGATAGTTCCTGCCGTTTTCGCTACTGGTGCCAAAAAGTTTGCAACGGGTTTAATAATCTTTTTATAAACCCAACCCGCAGCTTTCTTAATTCCATCCCATAATTTTTTAAAGAATCCTGCCGCCATTTCTGATTTAATATTAATTAAAAAAATATATTTCATCACTTATATTCTAATTTTTATTTAATGATAAATGAAACCGATTTTAAAAATAAATGAAACAGAGGAGGAAGAAATAAATGAAAGTGAAAATGTTCAACAAAAAATAAACGTTGTTAAACCAATTACTGAAATAAAAATTTTTTCATCTGTTGAAGAATTTAATGACTATTATGCCAATAATAAAAAATTATTTGAAGAATTGACAACATGTAAATTGAATAAAATGTTTAAAGTTGATGGATTCAAAATTTCAAAAATAAAAGGAGTGGTTAGTTTGAAATCTATTCCTCAATCAAGAATCACCTCATTAATGAAAATAGATGATTTAACAAAAAGAATAGAAGAGATTGAAGAAAGAATGAATCAAATAATTGATTTCATAAATTCAAATAATCATTAGTTTCTGATTTCTTTTTCTCATTTATTTTACTCATTTACGGTTTCATTGATTCCATTCAGGATTTAAACAATGTTTAATTAATCGCGGAATATCTGACATCATCTATATATAGCTTCTTTTAAAATTAATGTTATTATGTTTGGGCTGAGTGTAAATGTCTTACAATTTTGATATTTTTTAAATCTTGATTTATTCAAAAACGTAAGAATAAAAACCGTAAGAATCATACATTTTTTACTTCATATGTTAAAAAAAATGATACAAAATCGTTCAATATTGTATGAATTCTTACGTTTACAAAAAAAGTCACACAACCCGTACTCATATACTACTATTCCCAGAAGAAATTTTATTATTGTGTGTTCGTATAATAAACATTAATATGCATAGCTCTCTTTAACATATTTTCGAAGTTTAGATTAATATCTTGTTTGCAATAAACTCTACTTGAGGCTGCACGACTTTCTTAATTTTTTTTGACAAAATCGATGCAAAACACGACTTTTTTCCCAGATCTGATATAATATTATGACTTAGCATGACATGTTCATATAAATATTAGTGTGAAATCAACTTCAGAAGTCAGAGAGAAATCAGAAAGCGCACCCTCATAGAAATATAAATAAATAAATAAAATAATACCAATCTTTTTAATAAATAAAATAAATATAACACATAAAATAAAATCTATATATTACTTTTCTTTGTCATTAAGGAGTGGTGTCAGACCTTTTTCTTCTCTTCTCTTTCTTTCCAATTCAGACAAATCAACATTAATCTTCTTGCAGTATTTGTTAACTCCAAATGTTGCAATTGTATGGAAAACAGCAGCCAAAATAACCAAATAAGAACCTTTCAACAAAGTAGTAATAACATCGAAACAAGTCAAGTGATCTCTAATTAAATCTTCATTTGCGAAGTACTGTTGAGTTATGACATCAACAACAACACATTTATCACCAACCATGAACTTTGCGAGTTGAGAAATTTCCATAACAGCTGCAACAATAGAGATAACGAACACATCCAAACAAGCCCATGAATACATGTATTCGCATGCCTTTTCTAATATGTGTATTCCCTCTATCTTCAAAGGAACAAACCAAAGAATTGACAAGCCAAGCAAATGAACTAAAGGCATAATATTTGTAACTAAAATATAAATTGCCTGAGTAAATCTGATACCGAAAGAATTCTTGTGTTCAGCGGCTTCAGGCAGTTGAAGAGCCAAATCAATGACAGAGTATTCTCTGTATTGTTGTGCTTTAACAAGTCTCAATGCCCAACCAGCCAAACCAACAAATTCGAAAGAAAATGTCTTCAAATAAGAACCAAACAAAACGAAAATAATTGCCAACAAAACACAAATCGAAAGTAAGTTCTTGAGAATAAATCCTTCAGCGTATAAATACATTACAACGTATTTATCCTCTTTGAATCTATATTTCTTCTTCTTTTCGTTTCCATTTGGATTCAAAGGCTGATTTATGTCATCATTTGCTGGTTCTGGTTCTGGTTCAGGAGGTTTTTGTTGTCTTTCTACATCATTTTGGAGTTTTCTTGCTCTTTCTTGGTTCCTCTTTTCCTTGTCATCTAATTCTTCCATCGAATCTGAGTCATTAACGCCTTCACCATGTTTGTCACTTTTTCTCTTATTTGGATTTTGAGATGGCAAACCGTCGGAGTAAGAATACGTTACAGAATACGAATAATCACTCATTAATTCTTCTTCTTCTTTCCTTTTCTTTTCATCAGCATCTATTAAAGCTTGTACACCATGATCAATCAATGCCTGTTTATCAACATATCTCTCTGCAGCTAAAATTGTTTGAGAACAACCTAAAGAAAGAATTGTACCAACAACTAAAGTTACGAAACCCCATGCAGGATAAACGAACAAGTTAATTTGTAAGATATCAGTTTCATCAACTGGTGGCAAATTAATTTTCATTCTGAAAGCAATCAACATGAGAATCATGACATAAGAATCGACCAATGACCATTTACCGAGAAGATCCAATACTTCTAACGCTTTCTGTCTTTGATGCAGTTTTATTTTTGATGCAGGCATAATCCAAACAATAAACATGAAAACAATTTTTGTATATGGCCATGCACAAGACATAATTGCAATCAAAACAGCTAATACAATAGCACCTGAGTGCCACATATCTAAGATAGAGTTAATCAAACCGAAATCAAACATAGAAGGAAGTTCAACATGTTTTCCATCAATACCTAAAAAGATTTTCGCAAAAACACTGGCACCAATACCAGTATTTGATGAAATAAACAAAGCAAAAACAAGAAGTAATAACATAGGAATAAGTAATCTAAACCATGTAGGAAGTTTCTTTGTCATTAAAAGACTTGCTTGTTCATCTCTTCTGAAGAATCTCTTCGAGCATTTCAATCTTGGAGCGAAAATAATTACAAATAAACAGAAACATGCTCCTGATCCTCCAAAAACAATTAATGCAATCAATGTCGATGAAACTTCAATTTCTTTGTATTCGCCATCAGCTGTGTAATTGCATTCAACACCAGCAATTTCGTTACTTATCAAATTATTCAACATCGGTGTCAAATAATCATGAATCATTCCTGTAAGGAAAGGTCCCGTGAATTTGCCGAAATGCATGGAAATGAAGTTCAATAAATTGTTGAGTGCAATATTGAGGTTGTCCTTTAATTGGCCGGTCGTAAGATTGAAACTTGCATATGCCAAAGTTGTTGACAAATTGAAATTGGTGATTGCTGCTCCATTAGGATCGAAAAGAGCGCCAATACAGTCGATATCAAGACACTGTGCATTCGTGTAGTTATCTCCCCTTCCTTTTGGTAAAGCTAACTGTGCAATGAATCCAATTTTATTGTCATCTATGGCAACACCACCTTCTAACTTCTGTCCGATCATGTACTTATGTGTCTCATTATCAATGGCTAGTAATCCGAGCTTGATTCCGATTCCAAAGTGTTTCAACGGAATATTCGTAGATAATTCATAATCGTCGACGACTTTTAAGAGGCTAAGGTCATGGAATGTGTCTAATCCTTCAATGTAGAAGTCATCTAATGTAAGATTTAGCGTTGTATTCGCAGCTGGAATTGGGATTTCAAAAACTGAGCTGAAATTGAACAGGCTTTTGAATCCATCGGCTATTCTGAATACATCTGATAACGTAATACGTCCTGTATTGTTAGTAACACGGCCTAATAATTTATTGAGATCAAATGGACCGTTGTTTTCAATGAGGGTACCGGTAACGAAGTTAAGAGCTCGGAATATGACGTTCTTGGCTAGACTGATCATGTTCTGACCAACAGGGATATCAAATGGAATGGAACCATTGATATTATTGCGTGTAACGTTGTTGAATGGCTTAATGAGCTCTGTTAGGTTGGGCTCAAGCTTCACAAGCTCTGGGCAAATCATTGGGCTGAAGGAATTTCTTAATCCTTCAATTGTTGGCTTTAAAATAACAATTGAAGCTTGACTTGATTGAAGATCAAGGTCATCTATATGTATATCGCAAGCCGGATGATCAAATATCTCAATATTTGTAACAAAACCGTCTGCATCTTTGTCCAATCTAAGTGTAAGAGTCAATCTAAGACCAGTAGCGATTGCTGTCATTGGACCCGATGTTGCGCCATCGTGGAAGATTCCACTTGCAATTGCATCAATGTAAACTTTGACTTCGAATGTATTATCAATAAGCGTGCTTAATTGGTCATAGTTAAATTCGAGATTATTAAATGAAATTGAGTAAAGAACTAAATTTTCTATCCAATAATTTCCAATAAGTGTTACATTTCCAAGCGGAATAGTTAAAGACTTAATGAAGCACTTGATATCGCATACGTCATCATAATCAACTTCTGTTGCTAAGGAAGATGTAAAAAGAACAAATAGAAAGCTCATTATAAAAGGACCAATGAATAAAATTGAAAAGAATAGTGCTTTTGAGAGAAATTTATCGGTAGTAAATCCGGAAAATATAAATTATATTACTACTATATATGTAATCCATTTGCTAAAAAAGTTTTACTATCACATTGAAAACAAAAATCTTCAATTTCCACGAATTCTAATACTTCGATGTGTTTTCAGAAAAATCAACTATGATGTATTTTCACGTCATATTTAACATTCTCAATTTCTATTAACCTTATTGAGAATTATTCAATTTGGTTTATTAAATTACTATAATAAAAATAAATATACAAAATCAAAATTAATTTTTCAACGGTTAGAAATTATTTTGAAAAACATCAATTCTAAATGCTCTATCTATATTAGTGTATTGTTTAAAAAAAAAAAAGGTAGTGGGGCTTCCAAGGGCTGCGCCCCTTCTAGCCCTAAGAAATTTTGCCCAAGACCCAAGAGGAGGACCGAACCCCAGCCCTCTAGCCCCGAAGATGTTTAGTATAAATGAAGTTTTTATTCGGAGGGCTTCCAGGCGCGTTGCGCCCTCTAGCCCATAAAAAATTTCTGAGGACGAGCCAGCCGGTGACTTTTTTGTAGAGCACTCAAAATAGTATAACTTTGTCCGGACAAATAAGGTCTATCGTCGCTACAGGAAAAGTTACAGGCGTTCCAAGGAAGTATACTTTGAGAAGCCTTTTCCCTTATAGAATGAGATAGGATGGTTATTTTACAAAACCGACAACACTTTGACCGAGTAGTTTTTTGTGCTAAACAAAAAGTGTCATATAAACATCTGTCAAAAACCGTTTTTTACTTCACTTAAAATGCCACGTAAGCTACGTAAGAATATACGTAAGAGGAAGGGAGCATTGAAACATCCAATAGTAAAACTGACACCAACAACAGTTGCAACAACAAATGATGAATGACCCCACTATGTTGCAACAAATGTCAAGCAACCCTATGCTTTTAAACCGAGTTATTGGTGCACAGAGTGGAGGTTTAAGAGCGGCACTTTTAGCGAAAATGGCAGGCTATGGTGGAGCTGCAGACGGAACAGCTTATAACCCTCAAAGTCAAATGAATTTGAGTTCACTCAAAAATCAAATAACAGATGTCAAAAAGTCAAACATAGACATACAGAAACAAATAAGTGAAAACGAAAAGAAACTAGAATATGACAGACACACAAAGAAACTCAATGAGTTAAACGTAGAGAAAAAGAAGAAAGAAGAACAACTGAAAGAACTAAGTACAGAGGAATATGCGAAAAAAGTGTCAGAAAAAGCAGCAGAAGTAGCAAAAATGGAACAAGATGTTATAAATTTGAAAAACCATACTACTCAATATAAAGTACTGAAAGATGAAGAAATAAAACAAAAAGCCCTGAAGACATATATGGATAGCGATGAGTATAAAAAAGAAGTTGAAGCAAATGTAAAGGCAGAAAAACTTTTACAGTTGCAAAACCAAACCGTACAGTATGAAAACTTAGCACAAGAAAGTAAAAATAACGACGCAGCCATGCAAAAGGCAATGAAAAGCGCAGAATATATAAAAGCTAATAATGACTGGTTAGATGCCCAAGCCAACGCCAAAGCAGCCCAACTTATAGGGTCAATAAGGACAAAAATACAAGCGGATGAAGACAGTTCAAATGAAGCTTTAATGAATGCTGACTTTAAGAACGCCCTCGAAGCTCTTCATAGTAAGGTGAAACTAGTGAACGACTTCTCATCTGGAAAGAAACTGAAGTCTGAAGGTTTCGACAAAGAGTTAAGAGAAGTAGCACAAAATATGACGAAAATAACAGATGCAGCAACGAGACAGGCAGTTCAAAGTGCCTATGACGCCGTTAGAGCAACTGTTGTGGAAAGTCAAGAAAAAGAGTTACAACAGACCAAAACAGACCTAGTAAATGCTTTCTTAAAAACGAAAAGTCAGGTAGGACATTATGCTGCAGATGGAACATATGTGCCAGCTGGTGGAACTTATATACCACCAAACCCTCCAAGAGAAGCACCTGCACCAGGACTACCTAAAACATTTACATCGTCACATGGACACAGACACAGGCATGCACCAAAACCAACACAACAACCAACACAACAACCAACAGTTCAAAACACTGCACCACAACCAACAGTTCAAAACACTGCACAGCAACCAACAGTTCAAAACCCTGCACAGCAACCAACAGTTCAAAACCCTGCACAACAACCAACAGTTCAAAACCCTGCACAACAACCAAAACCAGCACAACAACCACCTCCACAACCAGCACAGCAACCAACAGTTCAAAACCCTGCACAACAACAACCACAAACAGAGCAAGGACATAAAAGAAGTAGAGAACAAGGAAACCAAGAATTCTTAAAAATGCTTAAGGAAGACTATGGTTACCCAGATACTCTTGACTTTAGTGACAGATATAAAGAAGCTATTAGAAAGTTCAAGGAAGGAAATACTGACCCGAACCTATTTAGCTTTATGGTTCAGCACCAAATGGGATATAATTTCAAACCTGGAAAATACAAGCTCGCTAAGGGATATGATTTAATAGCATATCATCCAAATGACATGACTGAATTTACTCCGAGATATTTGGTGTCAGAGCTAAATGATAATTCAACTCTCTTCATGAAACGCGTAAAAAATAGAGACGGAACGAAAAAAGAAAGGTTTATGAGTCCGGATGACTTAGATAGGGAACTTTTTAAAAACGGTCTCGGAATATATGAAATGCCAGCAGATGAGGTACAAGAAACTCCACAGGAAGAAGTTCAGATACAACCAGACATGGAAGAAATAGTTCAGCAACAACAGCTAGAAGAGCCTGAAGGAAACGAACAAGTCCCTCCTTTGGAAACTAACTTCACAGAACTAGATGAAGATTTGGAACAGCCGAAAAATCTTGACCCTCAACAAGTGTATGCGGGGAATATGGAATCTTTCCAAGAGTCTAAGAAAAATTCAGCTGACATAGTAGAAGAATATCGAAAAATGTTCGCCGACATACAAAAGACTCCAACATCAGATGAAAATATTCAGCATAGAATGGAAGAACTGAAAGAAAGTGTACGCAAATACAACAATCCTTTTTACTTACGACCATATAACGTTCAATCTTTGGCTGAACTCGGTGAAAATAAAAGGTTAAATTTCACCAAAACATATAGAAATGAAACATTGTTTAAAGTTCATTCAGAACCTAACCAATATGGAAACAAACCTACTTTTGTTTCTGCAGACTATGGAACTACAATGAGATGGGGTCATAAAGCTAATCCGGATAGGTGGTTCATAAACTTACAACCACAATTCCAAGAAGTTGTAGACGCAATGGAAGTGAATGGTGAACCAGATATAGCTGGTATTTTCAGCGCGGCTTTAATGCCATTGAAAGATATGAAACATGCAGATATTTTGGACCAGTATGAAATGAACATGGCTGATGGAAATATAACACCTGACGTTCTAGAACATTTATCTCAAAGAACTATACAGAACCATAGAGATGGTATATTTGGTGAAGAGTTTAGAAAGAAAGTTAGGGAGATAGAAGGAAGAGAACCTATTGTACATGACCTTGCAAACGAAAGTTTGCAAAATGTCATAAAAACTTACTTTGCAGACAATGAACCGAGAAGGGATGAATATTTAAGAAAACTCAAATGGACAGTACCAAATGAAATGTTAGTATTGAAAAACATGTTCCTTGACAAAATAAAACCAACTACAGAAATAAATGACGCAAGACTGAAACATTGGGTAAAAGCTTTCCCATTCACAAAAGATATTATTGGTAACATGGAAAGAAAACCAGAATGGCTACAAAAACATATATTTGGAAACGAGCTTATTCCATATGGACAAGCTCTGTTTGAAGAGCTTGAACCGGAAACTCAGGAAAGAGTCATGCAAACAATACGCGAAGACTCAAATACAAACTATGACAAAATCTTTCTAGGATATAGGTTACCTGAGATGGGCGACCAGAGCCCAAAGGCAAAAAGGACATGGGAAATTTACAACATACTAGGTGAACATGAGGCAAAGATGCAACAACTTGAAGCAGAGGGCAAGTTACCAAAAGCGACACCAAAGAAGAAGAGTAGAACAAAGTGAAAATAGTGAAGAAGTAAACTTCATCTAGTGAAAGTAGTGGCAATGAAGGAAAAAGAAGAGTTAAAAACTCAGTCAGGAAGAAAGTAAAGCTTGGTACGAGTGGGTTCTATTATGACACATAAATCCAACTATTCTATATTTTTACCCATATGAAATGTACGCCGCTCAGAATATAACGCCAACAGTTTTGGATGCCATGAACGGAAATGTTTCCGAATGGTATAACGAATGCGACAATGCCATTAGAAGGTCAGAAATAGTTCCTGGAACTTACGAATATACAACTGCTGTTTCTTATGGAAACGTAGGTGAGTTTGGAGAAGGTTCTTCAACAACAGTAGATATTGCTTGCGACAGGTTTCATATTATTTCTATTGACAACTCTTTCTTATACGTGGAACAAGACATTGAAATAAAACCTTCTGCCAAGTTGTCTGACAAGAAAGGTTGCAATGGAATTTTCTATGTCGGATACCAATATGCTCCAGAAGTTTTCATGGGATATAAGATATATTCTAACTCTGACTTAGTTCAAACAGTAACATGGGCAAACTATGAATGGTTCGCTTTGAGAAACTCAGTACAACCACAAGCTAGAGAACAAACAGACCAGTATGCAAATATTGAGAAAATAAGAAGACTTGACCCTAACGTTCCAGGAGTTTATGTTAACCTTTCTGGACAAACTGCAGCAGCAGTAACCAAAGTAAAACTGAAACTTAGAGTTCCTTTGTCATCTTTCCTCATCTTCAGGTTTTTAAGATACTTGCCAAACTGGGCAGGAAAAATTTCTATTGAACTTACTCCAAGCAAAAATAACTTAGTCATTGCACCAACACAAGACCCATTCAGCATTACTGTAGCTGGAACTGGTGGAGCCAAGTTCTGTGACTTTTGCAAAGACAAAGTTGACTTAGACTTTGGTTTCTCAAACTTCAACAATGAAGTAAACTATTATTTCAATGCTGCTGGAACTGCTTGGGACCCAGTTAAGTTCACATGCGAAAAGTTTGAATGCAAGAGAATAGAAAGCAGACTTGCAGTCTATATGTTGGACCCAGATATTTCAAATGCTTTAGCTGCCAAATATATTGCAGTTCCACTTATGTTCCCTATACACCAAATATCTGTCAAAGACTTTGCAGGTGAAGTTGGAAACCAAAGTGCTGACCCAGGTGCAAGAACAGATATTGCTTTAACAACTGCAATGAAACATGCAGATACTATGTTTGTACTGTTCAGACGAACTATAAATGACTATTCTTGTTTCTACAACCCCGGTATTAAATATCATATAAACATAGATGGCAAATATTATCCAAGAGAAGAATATTCTACAGTTGAGGATATGAGGTCATACAACTTGACATTAGATGCTATGAACTTTAACAACAATTTCACAACAACCATTAACCCTGAAATGCAAAGTTCTATTATGCCATATGTGAAAGTATGGACTCATACAGGAGGTCAAAAAACTCAATATACAAATGGAGACCGTTCAAACTTTTGGCTTGGCATTCCATTTGCTGACTCAGAAGACTTTATGGGTGGTATTTCAACTGTTGGTACTGTACAAATACAATATACTGGTGACAGAGACGGTCCAGATGAACTGAGAGCAAAGAAGTTTACAAAACCAATAGCACTTTTCACGGAAGATGCTCTTTGAAGATTCGTTCGATGAAACCTGCTGGGGCTCCTCAGATTGGCATAACGACAGCTTCCATCGAGCAGATTTTGGCAGCAGGTCAGTAAGTTGTTCTTGAACTGACTTCTCTCCGTCAAATATTGACAGTACGCCAGTTTTGACATAATATTGTAAGATAAACTTACCTTTAGAAATATCTGTAAGTTTTGTTGTTATTTTTTGTCTGCTTCAAGAACTTTCACCATTTCAGTTATACCAACTTTCTTTGCTTTATGAAAATATTTAGGTTCAGCAAAGACTGCTATTCTATAACATTTACCATTGTTTGTATAAAGAACTATTCTGTCAATGTATTTGTATTGTTTGTGTGTGTAAACTTTGTTCTGCTTCAATTCGAAAGAGATACTCGAATACGTCCATCTTTTTATTCTAAGTAAAATGTCATTTCCGAAAAATAGAAGCGTGAGTGTTTCAAAAGGTTTAATGGCGGTGGCAGATGTGAAGTTAAATTCACCAACTCAAACAAACAGTCAAAGTGTTATTGTCAATGTCAAAGACAGAGATGTTGAAGTGGGGAAACCATACGAAGACGAAGATGGTATAGCAATTGTTCCTGTAAAAGAACAACCAACATATCCTGAAGTTAGCAGAGACTTAAGTTCTGTTGCAGATATTCGAAACGACTACCAACAACTGAAAGACAAACTTCAAACTCAGGAGAAGATTTGTCAAGCTTTAGGTATAATGTTAAACTTGGTCGAACACAACCCTGTAAAAGTGAACTCATATGTCATTGCACCTCATGAAGTCTTGAAAGAACTATTGAAACTTTTGACAGAGGCAGACGATATAAACATCAAAGAAATAGAACCCGACATTGCTTGCTGTGGTGTTTCATATAATGTCATTGACAAGATATACGTTATGAAAGGAGGTGAAACGTTGAACTTAAAGTATAGTTTCCCAGACGTCATAAAAATATTTGACGACCACAACATTTCATTAAAATTTATTTGCTAAGTAAATGGCAGAAGACATAATGGTTTATACTATTACGACTAAAAACCCTGAGTCATATAATTCTATAACAACAAACTTACAAAGTCCTCAAGGACGATATTGTAAACTAACCTTAAACACAATGACGACTAAAGCCTGTTTTGCTCTTTTGACACCAGAAGACTTTATTGTTGTGAATGGTAAAAAATACTCCTTTGAAGATACTTACTCAGATATACCACCAACAGGTTTTGTTGACTTATTTAATACTTTAAGTACGGGTGTAACATGTGCTGCAACTAGAGCAGGTTTCATTATGTTTGGATGTCCGACTGAGTTTACTATAAACAATATGAGCTATAATACAAAACTTATATCTGGTTTTTACTACCAACAGTTTCCTATAACAGGAAAAGGTGTCATACAAGGAATGTCTATTCCATTGACATTAAGCACACCAATCTTATATATTGTTTCAAACTTAGGTTCAAAGTGTTATTCGAATGTCGACAGAAACTATTATGACCAAAAGATACTTATGCGTATAAACAATACTTTCTCTGCTGGTTTGCCTATTGTTCATTCGAATGCAGAATTTTCAACCTTAGTGAACTCAAACACTTTGGCAAGTATAACGTTGACATTAGTTGACGCAAACTTTGTTCCTGTAAAACTTTTATGTCCTATGTATTTGTCAATGACGGCAGAAAGTTTCGAATTGGAAGATGCAACTGGTGAAAGTATTGTATTACAAGAACAACTTCAACAACAAATAGCTCAAGAACAACAAATGCAACAAATGCAACAACAAAGTCAAGAATAAAAAAAATATTTTTTTTTATTTTTATAAAAATGTACAGAATAGATGTTTCAGATTTTTATGACTTCCAAGCATTCAGAAATATGTGTCCATTTCGAGACTATAACAAAGCAGTCGAGAATTTGAAACGTTTAGTCATTTATGTCGACTCTGCCCCTGAATGTTATGTCATGAAAGAATGGGATGTTGTCTTTAACAAACCAAGAGCAACAATAGTTTCAGAACAAGAATGTAGACAGAAACTTAAGAAAATAAAAGTCGTACAAGTTGGCATGAAGATGTTAGATGCTTGGGATATCTTATTGTCAAAGTTAGAAGATTTTTCAGTTCGAGGTATAAAGTTCTATACACCTTCTCCAAACTTCTATTCTATCTTCACTGGATATAAATACGAACAAGTAGAATGGAAAGAAAATATTATAGAAGCTTGGTTAGACCATGTCAAAGAAATTATATGCAATGGAAACGAAAGAGTCTATGAGTATATCTTATGTTGGTTTGCAAACATCTTACAACATCCAAGTGCTAAAAATGAAACTGCTCTCATTATAATTGGAAAACAAGGAACTGGTAAGAACACATTCTTTACAGATATTTTGTGCAAACTGTTAGAGGGCTATTCGAACCCGAATATGACAAACTTAGAAAACATCTGTGGCAAGTTTAACTCCTCAATAGAGAATATGAAACTTATAGTATGTAACGAACTTCAAAGTATAGATACAACAAAAGTTTTAAACTCAGATGCTTTGAAGAGTCTTATAACAGACAAAGTTGGAGTTGTTGAAAGAAAATATAAAGACCAAAGAGTTTGTGAAAATGTTGCAAACTTCATTATGGTTTCAAACAATGCTGTTCCGATGAAGTTAGAAAGTTCTGACAGAAGATATGTAGTTGTCAGAACGTCAGATTCTCATATGCAAGATACAGAATATTTTGACGACTTAGCAGAAACTTTGACATCTGACTTTTACAACCATTTGTTCTCATACTTTATGACATTAGATATTTCAAAGTTCAATCCAAGACAAATTCCACATACCGAAGAGAGACAAACATTGTTAGAAGCAAACAAGAGTGTATATGAACTGTTCATAGATGAAACTGACTTTGTGTCATTAGATGAAAGGTCATTGTACGATTCGTATAAACAATATTGTCAAGAATATGGTTATATGACAGCGTCTAAACGAACATTCTTGGCAAATGTCAAAAGTCTTTTAGACGTACAGAATGGTGTATATACAAAGAAAAATTTTTATGAGTAAATTTTAAAAAAAATATTTTTTTATCCGATAGAAAAAGATGGCAAAATTCATCTCAGTAAACAAGTACATGTCAGGACTTAAAGAAGAACTAGACCCATTCACATATTTGAATGTTTACTTCTACCATTTTGAAAAGTCTTCATTCAGCAAAGTTTGGAACATCGAACCAGTTAAGTTTGCTATTGTGACTAAAAATGGTGCGAAATTTGAAGACTTAGACATAGAAGGTTTGTTAACAGTCAAAGAAAGTTTTGACAGAAGGTTCTCAAACCTTAAAGAAGGCAAAGCATACAAACTTGTTATACCTTATGAACCAAAGAAAGCAGACGACTATGAATATTATGAGTCTAAAGTTGTAGAAGTTCAAGGTAAATTGGGTAAAAAGATTTTAGAGTCTAAGCCAGTGTTTGCTCCTAAAGAGGAAGAGAACATTGACATTGACCCAGAAATGTTCTAAAAATAAAATTTTATTTTTACATGTCAGATTTCTTTTTCTCTGGAACTGGTTCAGATTCTTTCTTCTCTTCTTCTACTTTCTTTTCTTTCTTTTCTTTCTTCTTCTTTTCTGGTGGAGTTATGTCAAATTTCTCCGAACCATATTTATGTAAAAGTTCTTTGTCCTTTAATAGCTCATCTATTCTGTTTTCTATTTCATCTTCAAGAACAGCGCATGTGTCTTCTTTGCATTCTAAGAAGTTTTGTTGGACTTCATCTCTCCAAGAGGCGTCATCTCTGTCAACAAGTCTGTCATTGACAAATTTTAAGACTTCTCTGCTTAATGTTTTATGGTTCTTGTCATATTCCCAGAAACAGAACTTTAGAACAAATTCCCCTTTCTTGTTTACACTATGTAAGATTTTATGGTCGACAGATGTTTTGCTGTCGAAAAGCTTGTCTCGAATATAGATAGCGAAATCGCTAGACATTTTCTAAAAGATAAAAATTTTAATTTTTCTAAAAATATGTTAGAAAAAAAGTTTGCTGACATTGACAAAAAATTTGAGAATGTTTTAAACAAGAACAAGAGGAAGTTAGAAAATGCTCAGATAAAACCCATACATGACAAGTTCTTATTTGCTCAGAATGGTATAACAGGTCTAATTGCACCACCTGGGTCGGGTAAGACTTTCACTTATCTTAAAATGGCTGCACAACAACAAGAACTAGATGAGAAGAACCCATTTTATGAGTTAGTTGTCATTTGTAGTACTTCTGGTCAATTTGACCAAACCGTCAATTCGTTCAAAGATATTATAAAGAAGTCTAGGTTAGTATGTATAAAAGACTCTGAGTTGTTGGATTGGATAAAGAAGTACCAAAGAAGAGTTTTGAAGTATAATGCTATAAATGAGTATATAAATTCTAAGTTTAAAGACCCAAATGAGGAAATGCAGAGAATATTAGAGAAGAAACACTTCAGAAACAAACAGAAAGAGATAGAATACATTTCGAAGAAATTGCAATCTTACGATTGGAAGACTTACCCTCATAGATGTCTTCTTATCTTAGATGACTTTGCTTCTTATCCTTTGCTTAAGAATAGAGAACAAGATATGTGTCGAATTCTTAAGAAGCTCAGACACTTTAACATCTCAGTTGTCATTTGTGTACAGACAGCCAAGAGTTTAAGTAAGGATGTTAAAAGAATACTTACTGACATTATACTTTTCCCCGGATTGTCCGAAGACGATTTCATGGAACTTATGAAAGAGTCCATGGCAGGTAAGTTTGACAGACATGAACTATGGGAGAAGTACAAAGTCATACAAGACCCTCATACTTCTTTCAGAATTCATATCTACGCAAACAAAGTTCAAATTGTAAAAAGTCAAGCTTGAAAAATAAAGAGTTCATTTACTCTGCTTGTTTGAAGTTGTCAAAATACTCTGTTATTTTTCACTGTTTTCATACGGAATCTCTTCTCTCGGTTTTCCGAGGGAAGCAAGCATATGCCATTTTTTGACGAAGTGAAGGTTTGCACTTCGTCAAAAAAATCCCTGAAATCAAGAATTTTGTTGCTGAATTCAGCAAAAATAATGTTTAGGGTAGAAGGTTAGATCTAACCTCATTTCTACCCTCCTTTCTACCCCAGTTATTTTATAAGCGTTTTACATGGTAAACGTTATTTTTTAAATTTTGTGAAAACTCAACGGTTTGACACATGCCCTAAAAATTATTTTACTCAGAATTTTGTTGCTGAATTCAGCAAAAATAATGTTTAGGGTAGAAGGTTAGATCTAACCTCATTTCTACCCTCTTTTCTACCCCAGTTATTTTATAAACGTTTCACATGGTAAACGTTATGAATTCGTGAGACTCTAAACAGTTTCGTAGCTTCTATTTCTTCTTTTAGTACATCGAATGTTTTAACGATACCGAAAGTTTCTTTATACTTCTTCTTGACGTCAGATAGAAGGAAATCTTCTGCTGTTGGATAGTTTTTGTTCAGAAATTCTAAAAAAAAAAATAAAAAAATAAAAAAAAAAATAAAACTAACTTTATTTTTTATTTCGGGAAAATTCATGAAAATTCAAGAGGGTAGAAATGAGGGTAGAAAACAGGTTAGATCTAACCTTCTACCCTAAACATTATTTTTTGGTGTAAATTTCCTAAACTGACTGACTGACTGACTGACTGACGGCACAAAGTGGCATAACGAAAACATTAATATATATAAAATTCATGAAAATTCAAGAGGGTAGAAAACAGGTGAGAAAACAGGTTAGATCTAACCTTCTACCCTAAATTATATTTTTACTGAATTCAGCAACAAAATTCAAATTGTAAAAAGTCAAGCTTGAAAAATAAAGAGTTCATTTACTCTACTTGTTTGAAGTTGTCAAAATACTCTGTTATTTTTTCCTTCAGTAGCGGTAAGTCTTCTTTGAAGGTAAGTATTGTACAACCTTTAATATCATAGTGTGTTTGAGGTAACGTATCTTGAACTATTTGTTTCACATCTTCATTCGGTGTCATTGAAATCGGTAAGTTTTCGCGATAGAACCAATTTCTGTCAGATTTGTAAATCTTAGCAAGGTCGTAAAAGCTTTTGTTGTTTCTTCTGACTAAATGCAACATAACCATATCTTTATCTTCTTCATTTTCCATCTCTTCAGTATAAATCATATACTTATAGTTCTTTTCCTTTCCTTTTGGTACCGAACGTGGTATTCTTTTCTGAATGCTTTTGTCTTTTGCTTCAAGCTTGTTTTCCATCTCTTCACGTTCTTGTCTATGAATTTCGTCAAGAAGTTTACAAACATACCAAGCATAACGAGGCGAAGCCCACATTGCAACAGCATTTACAAGAAGTCTATGTACATAATATCCTCTCAAACCGTTTGGCAATTTTTCACGATTTTCATACGGAATCTCTTCCCTCGGTTTTCCGAGGGAAGCAATCATATGAGGAAATTCTTCTAAAAGTTCTTTTGTCTGTTGGTTTTCAAACCAATGATATGCTTGCTTTGTAGAACGAAGAGCATTCAAAATACTTTGCATCTGGTACATATCGTCTTTGACCGAACGAATGAGACGGAGTTGTTTGTTAAACTGTATGTACTCATATTCTTCATTTATAGCTTCATGGACTATAACTGTTGTTGTGTTCTCTGTTGTTGACATATCTGTCTTTACATACAAAATAAAAAAATAAATAAAAATAAAACTAACTTTATTTTTTCTGTCTTAAGGAAACTCATGATTTTCATAGAGTTTTGGCGACTAAGGTTTCTTACCTACTCGCTGTTCTTCACTGTTTTCATACGGAATTCAGCAAAAATATATTTTAGGGTAGATGGTTAGATCTAACCTGTTTTCTACCCTCTTTTCTACCCCAGTTATTTTATAAGCGTTTTACATGGTAAACGTTATTTTACATTATGACACGAAGTGAAGGTTTGCACTTCGTCAAATTTTATAAAAAATTAGCGTTATTTTTACATTATGACACGAAGTGAAGGTTTGCACTTCGTCAAATTTTATAAAAAATTAGCGTTATTTTTACATTATGACACGAAGTGAAGGTTTGCACTTCGTCAAATTTTATAAAAAATTAGCGTTATTTTTACATTATGACACGAAGTGAAGGTTTGCACTTCGTCAAATTTTATAAAAAATTAGCGTTATTTTTACATTATGACACGAAGTGAAGGTTTGCACTTCGTCAAATTTTATAAAAAATTAGCGTTATTTTTACATTATGACACGAAGTGAAGGTTTGCACTTCGTCAAATTTTATAAAAAATTAGCGTTATTTTTACATTATGACACGAAGTGAAGGTTTGCACTTCGTCAAATTTTATAAAAAATTAGCGTTATTTTTACATTATGACACGAAGTGAAGGTTTGCACTTCGTCAAATTTTATAAAAAATTAGCGTTATTTTTACATTATGACACGAAGTGAAGGTTTGCACTTCGTCAAATTTTATAAAAAATTAGCGTTATTTTTACATTATGACACGAAGTGAAGGTTTGCACTTCGTCAAATTTTATAAAAAATTAGCGTTATTTTTACATTATGACACGAAGTGAAGGTTTGCACTTCGTCAAATTTTATAAAAAATTAGCGTTATTTTTACATTATGACACGAAGTGAAGGTTTGCACTTCGTCAAATTTTATAAAAAATTAGCGTTATTTTTACATTATGACACGAAGTGAAGGTTTGCACTTCGTCAAATTTTATAAAAAATTAGCGTTATTTTTACATTATGACACGAAGTGAAGGTTTGCACTTCGTCAAATTTTATAAAAAATTAGCGTTATTTTTACATTATGACACGAAGTGAAGGTTTGCACTTCGTCAAATTTTATAAAAAATTAGCGTTATTTTTACATTATGACACGAAGTGAAGGTTTGCACTTCGTCAAATTTTATAAAAAATTAGCGTTATTTTTACATTATGACACGAAGTGAAGGTTTGCACTTCGTCAAATTTTATAAAAAATTAGCGTTATTTTTACATTATGACACGAAGTGAAGGTTTGCACTTCGTCAAATTTTATAAAAAATTAGCGTTATTTTCTGACTTTCACAAAAGACCAAAAATAAACGCTTTACATGTATTTTTCAGCAACTTCGTCAAATAATTTTATAGCTTTATCTATCTCATCTACTTCAAACGTTTCTTTACCTTTTATGGGAGCACCATACATTTTCTCAAACTTTTCAAGTAGTTCTGTTTCTGCAGCTCTCATATCATTAGCAAACACAACCTTGACTCTATTGACTGTACTGTCATATCTTTGAGTTATATTATATGTTCTTCCTATCTTATATCTCTTTGTATTGAAGTCCTTCGGTTTCTGAACGATGTAAAGTAAGCCTTCACTGCAACGTTCCGTATCGAATGAACCATATGTTATGAAGTTATATCCAACAACTGGGTCTAACCATAACAAAACTATTGGTATAAGACTTTTGTCGATGAGATATGCTGTAGTTCCATAGAATCTTACCGATATCATAAGCTCAGGATTTCTTGTCAAAATTTTCTGAGTTGAAGCATTTCTAACCCAGTCGTGTGTTTTCTTTCCAGATGGAAATATAATGTCTGACAAAGAATATTTGTTGTATTTCTTTGAGTATCTTACGTTTAAATCACCTATTCTAACCAATTTGGTGTCATTGTCTATCTTTTTAACTGTTTCAAACTCAATGTTTGTCATTTCTGTCTTTAAATCTGCATAGTCGTTTCTCATACGTTCTATCTCTTTGACGGAGTAGTTATATCTCCTCATTGCTGCTTTACATTTAGAACATTGCGGGTTCATTTTTGCGTTATATTCTGAAACCTTACCTGCTAAAACAACTAAAGCGTCAATGGTTTTCTTTAACTCAAAAGTTGCTGGTTTTATCTGTTTATTCCATACCTTACCTCTTCTATCTTTATCTCTTATCTGCCATACACATTCAGCAACTAACGAAACAAAGTTGTCGTAGGTCTTAAATTCTTCAGATTTATATATGTCAGAAACATTCTTATATACCATGTCGCAATCTTTGTCCATAACCTTATGGTTGCAATGAAATCCTAGAAACTCATAGTTTACCTTTCGTATGAACTTCTTTATTTCTACTGAGTCAGTTGGTTTCACTTCTATTTCATCGAATTCAGGAATAGTGAGTTTTTGTTGTTGGATTTCAGGTAGTTTAGGCAAATGGTCAATAATGTCCTGCATTTCATAAAGATACTGTTCATTTGTTTCATCTTTCGCACTACAGTCTAAATTACTTGTTAAAAGTTCTTGCTTTATCTTCTGGATTTCTGTTTCAAAAGTATATGAAGAAGGAATGAAGCTTTTCATCTCTACTAACATAGATGTTGGATTCATGACTAAAGAGTTTGGTGCTGTTGTTTGAATTGTTGTTGTGCCGATTGTTGACATTTTTATTTTTTTATACAAAATAAAAAAATAAAAAAAAATAAAACTAACTTTATTTTTTATTTCGGGAAAATTCATGAAAATTCAAGAGGGTAGAAATGAGGGTAGAAAACAGGTTAGATCTAACCTTCTACCCTAAACATTATTTTTGCTGAAAAATGACACTTTTTCATTAGATAACTGTTATTTTTTGACGAAGTGAAGGTTTACACTTCGTCAAATTTTATAAAAAATTAGCGTTATTTTTACATTATGACACGAAGTGAAGGTTTGCACTTCGTCAAATTTTATAAAAAATTAGCGTTATTTTTACATTATGACACGAAGTGAAGGTTTGCACTTCGTCAAAAAAATCCCTGAAATCATATCTTTTATACAAAAAAATACAAAAAATGACACTTTTTCATTAGATAACTGTTATTTTTTGACGAAGTGAAGGTTTACACTTCGTCAAAAAAATCCCTGAAATCATATCTTTACATACAAAATAAAAAAATAAAACTAAATTATATTTTTTCTATCTTAAGGAAATTCATGAAAATTCATGAGGTGAAAAAAGAGGTGAAAAAACAGGTGAGATCTAACATGTTAACATAAATTATATTTTTGGTCCGGGAACAACTTTCTCTCAATTGGAGCTGTAGCATACTCTTTGCGTAAACGGTTCAGACCTTCTTCGAACTCTTGGTCTCTCTTCGATTTGGACTGAGATTGGAATTGCTGGGGTGGAGCTTGCTGGAACATCCAAGGGTTGGGGAAGTAAGGCATAGGCTGAGGAGGAGGGTAGTTCGGGAAGCCTTGTGGTGGGTAGTAACCTTGAGGTGGAAATTGGTAGTAATTTGGTGGAGGTACTTGCTGGAACTGAGGTTGCTGAGGAGACTGTTGTGGTTCTTTAGGTTCCTCTGGTTTGGGAATAGACTGGGTTGGTGGGACGTGGGACATTCGTTTGTGGCTTAACCGTCGGAAGGAAGAACTTTTCCTGTCGGAAGGAAGAACTTTTCCTGTCGGAAGGAAAATTTTTTCCTGTCGGAAGGAAAAACTTTTTCTGTTGGAAGGAAAAACTTTTTCTGAAGTTCGACCAAAAAGTTCTCAATTTTCGAAAATTTGAATGGTTTACGGACGGACAACTGGAAGAGTTCTTCCTGTCGGAAGGAAAAATTTTTTCTGTCGGAAGGAAAATTTTTTCCAGTTGTCGGGAAAATATTTTCCTGTCGGATGGAAGGACTCGGAATGCCAGAAGGATTTGACGAGGCAATTTACCTAATTGAACTTAACGACTGCGTAAAAGACTACTTGCGCAAGGTCATGAAGCCCAAGGTCAAGTTCACCACTATTTCTGGAAGGGCTGCCTTGAATCTCGAGACTTCGACTGGAATTCCAATTCAAATACCAGAAAACACTCCTTTCGACGACATAAAGCAAGCAAAGAAAGAAGCTCTTGTTAAGTTCCTAAACAAACGTCCTTGGATAAAAATACCAAACAAGGAGAACCCCCTACCCCATATGAAATTGGCAATTCAGTCTCTCCTTCGCTTCTCGGGTCAACCATTCTACATAACCTGTGAAGGCGACATCCAACCAGTTCAGTAAACCTTAACGTTTAACTGCACTTTTTTATGTTTTTTGTGAAAGTGTCAAAAATAAATTGTTTTCATGAGTTTTCTACGATATTAGAAAAAATGTTATTTTCTAATATCTTCACATTCAATACTTTTTCAGCACTTTTCCGTAGTTATATATGAAAGACAATTCGAGATAAAAGTCATAGTACAATGGAATAATATGTTGCACACCATTTGTTGTGAACCAAACTTGAAAGTCAGAGAAACTGTTACTAGGTGGTTCGTAGAATTTAGAAGCAAAGTCATAAAAGTCCTTACCAATACATAGAAAACTATTGTTGCTTGAACTGAAACTTGCATGACACATAACATTTTGAGGGTCAAACACGTTTCTATAAACTGTCAAATCTGCTGGTGGAAGTATAAATTGAAATGGACCATCTGGTGGTAATGGTTCGTTCTGGTTTAGTAACCGAAGAAATTGTGCCCAAGAACGTTTGTCTACTTTCCAAAATAAAAACTCTGTATCTCTTGGAGGGTTAATTTCAATCTTTTGAAATGAAACGGTGGAGTTCATCTTGTCATATTCTAGTTTCAGATAGTATGTTCCATTTAGTAAAGAGTCGTATTTTTCTTGAAATTCCCAATAATATTTGTTCATTTGAGTTTGAAAGTCATTTAGAGTTTTCTCAAGACTTTCGTCTGAACGAACTGTAAAGATTCTCATTTCGTCAAATTTGTCTATTAGACCATCAGAACCTTTATACTGCCCATGAAAATATACTGCGAACATAAATGCGTTAGTTCTATTTGAAAACAAAACTCTTCTAAATCCTATTGCCTTTGCATCTGAAGGACTTTGAAGCCAACGAATTGGATAGTCAAACCTGTATGCTCGGGATGAAATTTCTTCATCTGAAATAGTCCTACCAGCATTTGTAAAGATATAGTCTAATGGTTTTGTATCTGCTACTTTTGTTCTTTGTTTTTCAACCTGAAGCATTTAATATATGTAAAAATATATTGTTTTAAAATGGTATGCCATTTCATATTTCTCATCTAACAAACAAGTTTCCCAACGGTCTTCTCCAACAAACTCAGCGTACATTTCAAATAAAATAAAAAATGTCACTTTTTAAAAAATAAATTTTTACTTCATGCAATGTTTAACACATCGAAAGGCATGTCCATAAGACGTTCTTCTTCTAACCTCTCTAGTCTGTTTGGATAATTTGCACGTGCTGTTTCCAAATCCATTTCGTAGCGAAGACCAGACAATTTGTCATAGACTTTTATGGGTCTTCCCTTCCTATATTTAAAATTCTTCGAAACTCTCCAACCATATCTTTGTAACTCTGCTTTTATTCTAGCAGACTTTCTATCCATTCTATATGGGGGCATTTTTATAAAAATAAAAAAATATTTTTTCTTTACTTTACATAACCGCCTGCTGCCATAAGTCTTTGACGCCAACCCATACCAGCTAATGAAGGTTGACTTGGTTTAGTTTAAACTAAACTTTGGTTTTGGTTTATCTTCAGTTTTTGGTTTTTCTTCTTCTATCGGTTTTTTCGTCACTTTTCGGTTTCTCTGACTTTACTTCACTTGCAGGAACAGTTGTGTCGTCAACATCTTCATAAATATCATATGCCATTTGTTTTTGTTTTCCTTTCAACTTTTTGTGTTTGTTGTAAAGTTTAGAATATTTCGACTCTAAGTCAATGAGATGTTCTATAATGAACTGTTGGTCAGTGAAGTAAACTTTTCCATCTGTTGTCTCGAAAGCTCCTTCAGACTTCAATATTTTATTTGTGAGAGTCTGTTTCTTTTTTGAGATACTTGCCGTTCCATTTTTATGAAAAGTGACTTTGTAGTTAGGGTTTGTATTTCCAGACCTGGCACTTTCTATTATTGAATTTTTCTCTTCATCTGTAAGTTCTTTGACAGGTTTTGACAATGGTTCTGAACTTTTTGTTTGTGGTGTCAAATCTACCGTTTCAACTTCTTCGGTCATTTCATCTCAGTAAAAAATTTTAGTTTGGTTTGTTTTCAACTGGTTGTTTAGGTTTTTAAGTCGGTCTAAAACTTCTTGAGGTATAGGAAGAACTTGACAAACACGTGGTTGTGTAACTGCTGGAAGCCGACAAATCCATCTTGAGCCCATTTGTCTCAATGCTGTATTGTTCATTTCATCTCAGTAAAAAACTTTACATTCCCCACGTTTGAGGCGGTTGAGGTTGGTTATTGTTTACCCACTGTTGTGCATGGTTATATCCTCTGTTAAAGAATCTTTCACCTTGGTCCATATAGTGTCCTGCTTGGTTATAGTAGTCATTTGCTTTGTTATAATAGTTTCCTGCTTGTCTTCCTACATTGTCCATCCATCCTTGAACTTTTCCTCTTGTTTCAGGATTTGGAATAAGATTTGTTGCATCTCGTGCTACATCCCAACCTTTCTGTACAGTTTGTATAATAGGTTGTGCTTTCTCTTTAAGTATACCTAATGTACTCAAAATCTTCCTTCCAACTCCAAATACACCTCTGGCTATTGTTCCCACTGCGGGCAAAAATCTGGATGCAACTCCTGCTAATGCGCCAAATAAACCCATTTCTTATAGGATAAAAAATGACGAATCCAAACAAGGACCCCTATGTTTCTAAAGCGACAAAAAAAGCACTCATGGTAAAAATCTTTAGTTCAACACCAAATGCTTGGTTTATGGATATCTTGGAAAACATTCCGAGGTTAGAGAAGATGGACCACCATACTGGCTAATATTTGTCGGTCAAAACACAAGATACTGTGAAGCCATACCATTATGGTCCAAAAATATTTTAGATGTGAAAACTGCTTTGACAATATTCGTTGACAAATACCATCCAACAAAACTGACATCTGACTGTGAAAGTTCTTTCAAATCAGATGATGTAAAAAACTATCTGCGTTCAAAAAATGTAAACCAATATTTCATTGTCGACCAAAACCATTCTGCTCTTGGTGTCATTGACGGTTGTATAAAAATGTTAAGAGACTTAAACCAACCACAAGGTGGTGAAGCAAATGAAATGTCATATGACGACAAATATAGACACTTCTCCATGGCAAAGATGAGACAAGTTTTAAATATTTACAATAGCCGTAAACAAAAAGGTTTGGGAAACCACTCCCCCGAAGAAATGAAAAACAACCCTGACTTAGAGAAAGACTATATATTTAATAATTTAGTCAAAAGAGACAAACAAGAAAGAATGCCGGGCTTCAAACTTCAGAAAGGTGACAAAGTAAAAATAGAAATACCTAAACGCGACCCATATGAAAATACTATTGACTATGACAACAATGGGAACCCGACAGGTACTCACATTCGTGTTCGTAAAAATAGAAGAAAGTATACAAGAGAATATTATGAAGTTTTAGGCAAACATGGCAAAATGTACAGACTGCAAGCAGAAGATAAAACTACTATTGTCAGACCTCGTTTCAAACTTGTCAAAGTTCAAGGTGGTATACTTTCAAAGACAGTTCCTAACAAATATAAGACAACTCCTGACGAATATGCTAAAGAAGTTGAAAATGACGACTAAGCATTTCTATACCATGCGTAAACTGTCATGTAAGGTGGCATGTATTCTTTACTTTGTCCCGTTGTTTGCGTATATCCTGAAACGCGATGTGTATGGTTTCCATCTCCTGAGTGTTACCCCAGAAACAATTTATAGCAAACTGAACGTTGTCTTTAACATCATATCCTTTACCTTTTGTCATTGCTGACCAATCCCAAATTTATGCTTATGCCAACCTGCTTGAGATGTACTTAAATCTATGTAGTGACTGTGTGCAGGTAAATTTTCACCTGAAATCGTTTTACTTCCACCTGTTTCCTTTGAAGAGTTTGCACAATACAAAAACCTGTCGACTATTTGAGTCCAAGTTCCAAAACCAAGTACTACTTCTGGTCTGGTAGAGTTCATTGACGTATAAATAGAGCCTATAGGATATAATGTTTGAAGTATTTCTGTCTTTAATGTTTGAAGCTCTGTTTTGTCTGCTTTCTTGTCATATAAATCTTGAGCAGTGAATTTAATATTATGTTCATCCTTCATGACATAAACATCTTTACATCTAATGTTTCTCATCGTCGTTATGTCGTCATCCGATGTTAAACCTTGTGGAAAGTTAGGAGGTTTACAATATAATGCATCCCCACCAGTTTCTTCAACCGTTCCTTCAATACTTTCTATAGCAACAGTTGTAAAACTTGTATGTGTATGAGTCTTATTTGCTTTCTTCTCTAACCCATCGTTAACATAAGTTTTATCTGCTTTAAGGTCTAAACATCCTGAAACCCATCCTGTATCAGCTTTAGTTTTTAAAATCTTCGATGTCCATTCATGATACCATTCAGCCCTTTCTATAATTTCATTATCTTTTTCATCCACATATTCCTTATCCGCTTTCTTCTCTAACTTACTAGCCACATATTCCTCATCTGCTTTTGTCTGTAATGTTTCTTGTAAGTCTGTTATTTCAGATATAGAATGTGTATGAGTCTTTTTAGAATATTCGTTTTCAGCTCTTGTCACTTCACTTGACATTTTATTGTCAACATATGTTTTGTCTGCTAGTTCAGGATGAGTATGTTCTTTTGTTGCATAAGCATTGTTAGCTCTTTCTTCTTCTTTTGCTATTGCATCGTCTACATATTCTTTGTCAGCTTTGTTGTCAACATCTGCTTTCAAAAGAAGTTCATTTATAGGTTTCTCGTTTAAAGTTCCTTTTGTTGGATTTATACAGACAGTATTGTTCTTCTTGTCTTGAAATAGAAACTCATCTGTCATTGGGTTTAATGTCAGTTTTAAGTTTCCTTCTTTCAATGACTCAGATATCTTAGAATAGTTTGAAAAGTTTGTTGTGTTCTTATTTAGAGCTTGCATAATGAGTTGTCGGTTGTGTTGTATTTCTCTCATGGAAGCAATATCTTTCGACATTTTTATTCTAGATAAAATATGCTTCCAATAGAAAAAGAAAATTCAAGAGTTGCTACAACTAAACCATTAGATGAACTTTTTACTAATGTCGGTCAAAAGTTTGAGACAGAGACCGTAAAGCATGAAGGCTATCGTTTTGACTACCCATTAAGATGGCTAAGAGACCCATCTGTCACAAAAGCTATTGGCTTTCGTAGAATGAAGTTTGTGTCTGTAGAAGATAAAAGTTTTCCATTTATTGTAAGGTTTCATATAGATTATATATCTGAAGGGAAACGAAAAATGTGGGAAGAAATTGAGCTAATACAAGTTGACCTTTCATCTTCTCTACAGACTGCGTTAAAAAATATAGAAGATAAAATAAATTCATGTTATGCAAAATATGCTGATGAATATGCAAATACCGAGAGCACACTTTATGTGAGAATTGTATATGACAAACAAAATTCACAAGTGTCATTTCAAATCTACGAAAACAATCCAAATAAAGACGAACAAATATATACAGAATTCACTGCAATGTCATGGTATTATTTGCAAAGAATGTTAAATCAGAAAGTCGAACTTCCTTTAGCAAATATTTACAGTCGATATGCAAGAGATGAACCATATTTATTTAAAGATGTTTTCGACCCAGCTGCTATTATTGTTCATGCTTCATTTTCTGGCGCCCAAAACTCTTTCTTATGCTTGGCAAATGACTTTTACGAAAAACCTACAAAGTTATACGAACCACCAAGTGGAAGTATTTCAGACTTTCAAGTATGGTTTACTACAGATGGAAGAAAAAGAATAATTCCATTATACCATGCGTTTTACTTAGAACTTAGTTTCATATACAACTACTATCGAACGGTAAAAATATAATTTTTTAATACGGTTGAGGTGTTGGATTTGGTTGCCAACTAGACTGTGGTGCAGGTTCAGGCTGTTGTATAACAGGAGCTTGTTCTTCTGGTTCAGGGTCTTTAGGTATAATACCAACGAACTGACCTACTCTTTTACCAATATTTTTGACTCCGTTCCAAATTCCTCTTCCGACAGATTTTATTCCATTCCATATACCTCTTCCAACATTTCGAAAGAAGTTTCCTATCTTACTGAAGAAACCCATTTTACTATATGTAAAAATCTAATGTCCGCCTAGTCTCTTACGTTTCCTGTTGAGTTCCATAGCATTCTTTAACTGGAGCTCATACATTCTGTTTCTCCTCTGGTAGAAAACATATTCTGGGTCAACTCCTGTGTTCGCGTCATCTGCATAAAGTTGTTTATATCCCACTTCAGGGTTTGTATAAAACTCTTTCCATCTCATATTTGCATACCATGGTGGCAAACCTAACGCAGCGTCATTTGACATGGCAGTTTGCATTTGTACATCTGTTGGCACTTGACCATAGTTTGCCATTGCAGTTTGTATTCTAACTTCATTTGGAATATTCTCTGGGTTTGGTTGTCCAGGTTGCTGTGCATTCGCTAAGTTCTGTGCGTCCATTTAATATTAGATAAAAATATCTCTTACGAGTACATATACTGAACATTTGCAGGCATTGGTTCATCTTCATATTCTCTGTACTTTTCTGCCACGTCAAATAAATAAATGACACAATGGAAAAAACCTAAAACAAGTAGTCCTATTTCAAACCACATTTACTTACTAATAAAATTTCTTTGTTATGACACTTTCTCCGGTTTATAGGACCTCTCTCATATTCTATCTTGTCATATCTAAACTCATAGTCATGTATGTCCTCTAACCATCTCATAACGGTTTCCAAACCACTTTTATCGGATGTAAAGTAAAAAGCATGGATGGTTATGTAAAACGTCTAAAGTTTCTAAAGAGTCTCTCAAAGTCCAGTCTACTTGGTATTGAAAATCCCATGTGTTATAGAACGGCGGGTCCACTATAAAGAAAACATTTTCCTTGTCTTTATATTTTTCATACAACTCTGTCCAATAACATCTCACAAACTCTATACCCTCAATATATTTTTCTATGTCCTCTTTGAAAACATTTGTATAGTTAAGATATAAAACTTTTGACATAAGTGTTTCAATGTCATGAACTCTTATAGAACCACTATATAATAGTCTAGCAGATATACTATCCCAGTCTATATATTCTGCTTTTTTCAAAACCTCTCTCACAATATTTTTGTTATCTAATGGTATACGTTCCATCTTACCTATCTGAATCTTTTCTTTTAACTCTTTCAATATATTGTTTGTGTCTGGTATATGTTTGAGACGGTCCATATAGTTGTCGAAGTCATTGCATATAATCTTTGAGTCTGGGAATATTGTATGGCACAAATGGGATATATAGAAACTTCCACCGAACAAATCTACAAATGTTAGACCATTCGGTAGTTTCTTAAGTTCTCTCAATATAATATCTTTACATTTACTCTTATTTCCAAAGAACGGTAACGGTGGTTTTGTAAAATTCATTTATATATAATAATAAAAATGTTTTTACCCGAAAAGTGACAGAAAAGTGACAAAGCATGAAAACATATATAATTTGTGAAAAGCGACACATTATATAATGTTTTCGACCCAGAAGAAGGCTTCTTCCCAGAAGCAATGGAGGAAGAAGAAGAGTCCTCCGAATTCACACCAGAAGACTAACAATTTTCCGAATAAAAACTTCATTTATACTAAACATCTTCGGGGCTAGAGGGCACGAAGTGCCTGGAAGCCCCACTACCTTTTTTTTTGTTTCATCAAGAAATCGAATTTTTATAAGTTGAATATAAATTTTATTTCTGAAATGACTTTCTGATATTTTCTTATAATGACTATGAATACACAAATTATGGGTGACTTAAAATTACTGTAAACAAGACTCCAAACTTTACGAGTCTGACATTGTTGTAATATTTGGAATAATTACTTAGCTTTATCTGAAAAACTCGTATAATTCCGTTCTTCCTTTATATCCAAATAGCAATCCTCATATTAAAAAAATATATATGATATAACATGTTATTTATCTATTTTATGTTTGTATCTTTAATCTTACATTCTGTATTCTAAAGTCTATTGCATCAGAATTGTTATCCACATGATATTATAAAATTAATGAATATTTAATTTTAATTCCGAAATTATTCAATTTTTTAGATAAATTTGAATAATTCACGGAATATATTATAAAAATCAATTAGACCATAAAACAGTTCATGTTCTTGTTTTTAGATTTTGCGATATAAACAATTTCTATTCAAAATGAAAATAACGAATTCAAAATGAGAAGTTTTCATAAATTAAGATGTAATTATGCTATAGAACCTACATTGAGCATTTTCAACAAATAAAAATTGTTTGAAAACAATAATCTTCAACAATGAAATCACCAAGATCTGACTTAAATATCGAACTATTGAATGTTTCATTGATATCAAATGCGCCAGAACTTCAATTATATTATAATTAAGAGGAATTACTGTTTAATCCAAACGAAGCTCATATAAAAATTGCTGCCGAACTTATCAATACTCACTTTGCAAATTCCAAACTTTCATACGCATATAAATTAATAACTTATGTCGCAGATCATCGCCCTCATTCATGGCTTTTCCTCGCCCAAGTTGTCAAAAAGATCCCTGCACCTCCAAAACCATTAGATGGCAGTAATTTTGTTTTCTACCTAATTAAAAAAGGCGTTTTACATTCTCAATCATGCACCACACGTGGTTTGATTATACAAAGTGCTGATGAGCTTTAACTGCACTTCAATATACATATTGTGATGAAATCAAAGAAATGCTGAAAGGCATTCGAGATTAACTTTCTATTTCATATGCTTATTATATCTGTTTATAATATAAACCATGAATTGATATTTTGTATAAATTTCAGAAATTTCTTTTCAAAAAAATAAAAAAAAATGTTAAGGCTTCGAATTCCTCGTCGTGGAGAAGCTTTAATTAAAATTGAAGAAGTACAAACAATCATATACCTTATTGTTCTTGTTGGTACAATGATATATGGATCAGTTGCGATGGATGCGAAATATCAAGAATTAGAAAGAAGAGAAACAGCAAAATACAGAACAGGTGCACCACCAGATAAAGTTGATGGTGTCATTATGATTGATGCAACAAAGGATTCTGTAGCCGATTTGCGCGTTGATTGGAAACAATGGATGCATGAAGCAAGAAATGTAACAAACAGAACCGAAATCTTCATTGTTACTTCTACAGAATTAAACTGGTATCCAATTGGTCCTCTTCTCCTTAAAACAAACTGCACAGAAGAGAAATTAAGTGTTTGTCGTTTTGAACAAGGTCTTCGAGCGATTTTAACTACATTTCCTAACTTCAAATGGGTCATTAAAATCAATCCAAAGACATATCTCAATCCTTACGCTTTGAATTTGTTTTTAGAACAACTACCTAAAGGATTTTCGAGGTCTAGGATCTTGAAATCGTCAATTAAGACATCAGGAAAGCATTCTGGACTCGATTGGAACTGCGGATTGTTCATGACGCGAAGAATTGTTTATGAATGGTTAGATAAGTTCGATACTTTCAAAGAATTGATTAACTCTGGTGGTGGAAATGTTGAACTCGCTACAGGACCGTTTATTCTTACGACTTTCGATCTGAATCCGAAAGTTATTGCAGATCCAAGGTTTGTTCCTTATTCAAAGCGAGCAGAAGACTTCGAAGACTTGATAGATTACAGTTTGATCGATCCTTGCCCTACATCTTTCAGATATTACGGCTTAAACAACGAATCAATTTATTTAGTTAGAAATGCAGTGACTTGGTACTTAGATGCTGACATGGATGATAGAAGAGGCTCAATGCTACAACTTCCTCGTTCATCTGTCTACAATGGATACCTGATTTCGCCAAATAACTTAACTTTGTGCGCTCTTGAAAGGAAGAAACGCAAGAAACAAAAACAGAAATAATATTTTTGTGTGTTTTTAGTTGTAAATATTAGTGTTTGTTTTATTTTTCATTTAAAATGTTTTTTCTTTCATTAGGGTGGGAAAAATGGGAAGAAGACGATCAAATTCTATTCAAATTTCCACTTTTCAAAACAGATTTAAAATTGAAAACCGCTTCACTCATTCATTTTTTACTCTATTTTGGTAAAAATTGGGATATTGAATAAATTCAAGATAAAGATGATGGCAATTATTTGTAATTCATCTCTCAATTTTCAGTCCCATTTGACTTTAATACAAATTCGCACAGCGGGCGCTAAATGCTCCCTTAAGTCATGATGTTTTTGCTCTATTCAAAATTTATTAATTATATACATGAATTTTTTTAAAACAATTTCATTCAAAACAAATTTATTTAGCATTTTTGATTTCTCTCAGAGAAGTTCTTGCTGCGTTTAAGAATTCTGCAGCGACTTCATTTTTCTGGCACATCATTGTCAGTATCGGGATGTATAATCTATCAGCTAAATATATCAACTGCTTGACCTTTTCTTCGCCAAGAGCATCTTTTGCTTTCTGAAGAGCTTCATTTGGAGGACATTTCAATGGATACAATTTTATGACCATTTGAACACCTTTTGCAAGCCAAAGATCTCCTTCTTGTGGATTCTTGAATGCACCACCAGAGAAGCCTCTTAAATGACCATAAATAGCAGATTGTTCAGTGACAGTTTGCATTAAAGTATAATCACTAAATTTCTTGCAAATTGATTTTTTCTTTTCATAGTCCATATTCGCGCCGACACCGAAATTAGTTCCAAAAACAGCAGCAATAATAGGATGAGAGCATTTCTTATTACCTTCAAACAACTTGTTCGTTTCTTCATCAGAAACAAATCGAAAAACAGTTTCCAAATCTGACAACAAAATCAAAATATAAATAATCAATCTATTCTCAGAAGAAAACCATGCTTGCCAAGCTTGGTTTGTTAACAACTCATGAGCTACATCAAGAGCTTCTATCCTTGACTCGAAATTGATATCATAAGCCAAGAAGAAAGACGAAATCGTGTTCACCCATCGATTTACATCTTCAAATGAACAATCAAAAGTATGAGTGAAACCAGAATCAACCAAAAACTCTATAATTTTTGTTGTGTTCGGTTTCTTTGATATGACAATTGTTTCTTGTATCCAATCAGCAAATATATCCAATAAACCTTTCTGTTCATCATCCAATTCTTCCTCTGAATAAATCTCAGCTTCAATTCCTCGAGATGAAGTTATTAATTTTTGGTATTTTCTTCCTTCAGGAGCAGAAGCAGGAGGATATTCATAAGTAACGAATTGGACATCACAGCCAATAATATTAGATAATGTCCTGAAATTACCACAAATCAGTTCACAAAGATCTTTGTTTGCTTCCGAAATTTGAGCCAAAACATTTTTGATTAAAACTGTTGGAATAACAATGAAAATCATATGAGATAAATGAACTAAAAGGGCTTTGCTGTCTTCATCATTCTTGAAATTCTCATATACACAAACAAAATTATTATCAGTAACCACGAATTTTCCATTTTTGTCAATAAAACTTTTTTCTTGGCCGAATTCAATTTCGATTTTTTCTCCATCAAAAACATCATATAATTCTTTGTATTCATTAAATCTTCCTACTTTCAAGTTAGTGTTTTCAGGTAATACATCACTTATATCTCCACCTTCTTTAACTATCTTCACGAGTTTCCCGAAAACTGAGATGATATTGTCAGTTTTTTCTTGTTTAATTTTATTTTGATTGTTAAATTTCTCAATTTCTTTGATTAGTTTTATCTGGTGAAGAATTGGAGGCAAAGACATGGAGAACAATGTCGCAAGTGTAGATTGTACTTGCGAGAAGTTAGTGGAGACCAAAGAATTATACAAAACAATAACAAAATTCGTGTTTTCGACCTTCAAAACCATCATTGAAGTGATTCTACTTAATGTTTGGTCATTATCAATTGCCATGTTGAAATCTTTGTGGCTTCTTGGAGAAGTGTATGTAGAAACACTTTGGAACCCGATGGATTTGCGAATCAAGCTTGGCCCTTCTTGTAAAACAGGAATTTCGGGCTCATTCGGATCTGATTTCGCCAAAAGAACCCTGCAACGTTCAGCACTAGCGATAAAACAAAATTGTTGTTGAAAAGATTCCAAAGCGTTCTTTTCTGTTCTGAATTTTGAAATAACATTTCCGATCATTCTGAAATGACGAGGAGCGACTTGAATAAACACTGATCTCAAGACAAATAACAAAGGAGCAACATATGATGATAACAATGATAGTCTGGATTTGTCTAACGGAGTGAAAGATTTATTAAATAACAAAATTAAACCTCCAATTCCACCCAAAGTAATTGAAAAAGCGGCACAAAGAACGGATTTGTTTGATGTGAATATGCAATTCTCTCTGGATGTGTCGTAATTAATGTCATCAAGTGGATTGTTAATTTGAGTTAATTGTACTTGAGAATATAAATATCCTGATAATGTTTTAGATAGAGGTAGTACGTGCATGAATTCTTCTGTTGGATAAATCAACTCATCTGTGTTTGGAACTTTAAAAACAATTTTACATTCGTCAACTTCTAATAATTTTGCGAATTCTTCTAGTGTATTGAAATAATATTCATATAGTTTTGATTTTCGACTTCCTGATTTGATCAGATTATCTTCAAGAAGAGGATTTGTTGTAATTGAGTGAAATAGTGGGACAAGTTTATCCAAATATGATTTACAACCTGCAATATGGTTCATTATATCATCTAATAATGTAATACGCAATGCTGGTTGTGTTAATGAGATTGCTTTTTCTGTTGCATCATCAAATATCGTATTTTTACAAAAAATTTGAGATTCAACAACTGATGACTCATTTAAATATAAATCTAAGTCTGTAACACCTGCTATTCTTAAAATTCGGAAAAAATCTTCTTGCATCATTGGCATCTTTACTGACGGAGAAGGAGGTATAATTGGTTCATCTTTTGGAACATCAACTTTCTCACCATAGCAGTCGTTTACGATTTTTGTGAAGTATTGAAGATATTGATTCTGAGATTTTCGTAATTCAAGTAATTTTAGACGAAGTTTTTTATAAGTTTGTTGTAATTGGCTCTTTTTCTCGATATATACTTCTATTTCTTGTGTTTTATCTATATTTAGCGTTGAAATCTCATCTTCAGTCATCTCATAAACACGTTTTATAACAACTTAGTGGCGTGTAGTGGATTTTGAACAAATCAATCAAGCCAAATGGACAACGCAATAACTTTATATGTCTCAAAAGATAATGAATAAAAAGTGAATCTTAGTAAATAGCTTTAGATCACAAATATTATCAGTCTTATTATCTTTAACATTAAAAAAGAACTACGAGTTGATAAAGTATGATCTATGGTAGTATGAAACTCCAACAAAAAGAGTAATAATAACATTTATTCAAATCTTAAAATATATTCCTTCGTAAAGCCTCTTATTCAACTTTTTGGAAGATGCTCATTAAAATTTAGGCAAGTGTACAACAAAGAGACTTTAAGGAGGAAAATGGATAAATGAATTAATATTGAGAATGTTGTTACTCTCTTCTAAAGGCTTAATTTGCATACACTAGTATGACATATTCATAAATTCTGACGTAAATGATATTTGGATTCTTAAATTTTGTAATTAAAAAAATTAAATCTATTTTTTAAAAAATAATTCAATTCCAATCAATATTTATTCATTTTATTTAAGGAACTTATCAGCACTTCCAGCGATAATATTCTTGCTGCGTTCGATATCGATGAAGAGCTGAGAAGCACTAACAACAGCTTCCTTGTTAACAATAGGATCATCCTTCTCATCCTTACCACAGTCAGCAATGACTTTGGCCGGTGTCAAAAGTTGAAGGGCGTATCTAAGAGATTTTTCGTCAGCGAGGTTGCAAAGTTCATCTAGAGCATCCTCTGATACCTGGATCTTCTCGACCTTTGCGCGGATTGATATAATCTGTTTCATTTCATCTTTTGAATAAGCTCTTGTTCTAACAATCAAGAGACGGTCTAAGAGATCTTCTGGGATACCGTGTGGTGATCTGATATCTGTAAGACCAATCTTAGCTGTAGCTCTGTTTGTAGCGAAAATAACAATTGGAGCTAATTCTGATTCGAGAGCTCTGTTGAGGAATGAGAAGCATTCGATATCGAGAGTATGAACTTCATCGATGAAAAGAACACCAGGAACAAGCTCTGCAACACCTTGATCGATGAATTTTTTGACAACTTTGTTAACTTCGGTTCTAAGCTTGTCTGTAATTTCTGTCTTCTTCATGCCTGACATCTGGCTAACGAGAGAGGCAAGATCGTTTGGTTGGCCCTGTGGTTTTGAATTTGCAACATCAAGATCATGAAGAGTAACATCCTGGACGACTTCCTTACGGACGTGGACATCACCCTTTGGCTTTGGAACGAATTTGTCGGCTTCGAGATCGGAGTCCTTTTGGTATTCATCGCAACGACCAACGCGGTGAACTGTACCTGAGGAAACCTCGAAGTAGATGACATCTCCGACGGAGATCTTTGCCTTTTGCATTTGCTCGTAGATTGATGGGTCGATCTTGAGTGTGATTTTGTTCTTCATTGTCGCTAATGTGATTTTTACTTCTATAACTTGCTTGCCGTAGCCACCTGTTGTAGAGGCTGACTCTACTGGTGTGATTTCCATAAGGCAGCCTTCGTAAACTTCTTTATTTTCTTTAATTCTAATTCCAATTGCGCGACGGAAGTTTTCTTGAAGAACTTCTGTCTTTTTAACTTCAGAAGAGTAGACTTCGGAACCGACCATAGGGCAGAATGGTACCTTCTGGCCAAGTTCTTGTGAAATTGCAAGTGCAATAGCTGTTTTACCAGTACCTGGAGCACCAACGAAAAGAAGAGCACGGCCTGCCATGTGCCTCTTCTTGATGAGCTCGACAATGATACCTGCGGCTTCACGCGCTTCTCTTTGACCAACAAAACCTGCTGCATTTGGAAGAGCTTCACCATTTTCATTAAGGCCAAGGCCATGAAGGTGGGAGTGGACAGAAACACGTGCTTCACGCTCTGTGCTCTTGACTACTTGGATCTTAACGCGTGACATCCTAAAAAAATGTTCCAAACAAACAAAACCGTTTTATTTTTCTTCCGTCCACTTATAAATCTTCAATTAGTGAAAGGATTTAGAATATTTATATATCAAAAATTAAATTTCCTCTGTGATGAAGGTAAAAATCCTTATAATTGGCTGTGAGCAATCTATCTGAAATGCTCAAAAACAATTTTTATTTGAAAATATAAAACTACAACCTATAGCAAATCTATTTCAACTAAAATTGAAACTTCGAATTTGTACGTTATTTCGAAAAATCTTCGAAAATAACGGATTTAACTCCTGTACTTCTCAATTTATAACGACTACAACAAATATTTTTTATTCACATACAAACAAACTAATTATTCGTTCTTTCTTCTCTGATATTTTCCACCATTTGCATAGAAATCTTGAGAAGGATTATTTAACGCGTAAATAATCACGACAAATATTGTTATTGCTATTAAACATGCGTTAAATACAATTCTCCAAAATTGAATTGGAGAATATTCAACAAAAGTTTCAAGAAACTCCGTAGAAGTAAAGTTAATAACCTTTGGAAGTCTTCTTGATATGATATCTAACGAAGTATTTGATGATGGCGGGAATATGTTAGTTTCTTTCAAAATTGGCTCTTCTTCAAGCGCATCAAACATCTTCTTGAGTAAATATGACCATGCTTGAGACACAATGTGGTTTGGTGAATCCCAAGGCATATGATCCTTGGAAAATCTGTAAGATATGATTCTTGGATCAGTTTCGTCACCAGAAGTAGCATAAGAACCATCTTTAAGACCAGGAATTTCGTAGCAAGTGTATTTTGGCATAGTTGTGATATCATATTTGTAAAATTCTTCCAACAAACCATTATCGTATGCACCTAAGAAAGGAGTACCTTCTACACTTGCGCGCTTTTCGCTGTTTTCTGGATTAGATATCCAATCACAGGCTAATTCTTTTAATTTAAGAAAATCATCAAGAGATGGTTTGAATAAGAACACGTCTAAATTATGTACTGGGCCAAATTCGGACATTGACCATAATTGATAGTCCGGTGGTGCAGCAGGAGCTGGAAATTCGAATAATCTTGATGGATCTTTAGTAAAGAATACATTTGGACTAATCCAAAGTAATTTTTCGTATGAAGTAATTGTCCATGCATTTAATTTAAACCAATGATGAATATCTGAAGATTTAAATAATTTTCCTGGACATTTGAAATCTACAAATGGAGACCTATAAACACTTGTGTATAATTTTGCTAGTCTTTGTTCATGTTCGTCTGGCATTCTAAATTTCATTGAAATCAAAAGAATTCGATCAATTTTTGGAGTTAAATACCATAATGAATAAGCAAGCATTGCTGCTTTGAGAACTTCATGCTCCATATCATCATCACCTGTAATGGAAGTGATGTATGCATAATTATATGAAGCAGGAGTGACTTCATTTGCGTCAAAATCTTGATCTCCTGTATAATTTGTAGTGAAATCCGGGAATTCTTCAATCTTTCCACGGCTTTCTGATAATTTCAGGATCAAGAAAAGAAAGTTCATTTTGTTAGAGAAAAAATGAATCCACTTCTTATAGAAAATAACAAATAATATTATTGTATTCCATGAAGAGTTATCAAATCCATATTTCTTTTTACATTCATTCAAAAAATTACATTCTGCGATTATTGATATCTTGACCAAGTGTATTATCGAAGGGTGCATTAAAAAGCATATAAAAAAGTCATTAGTTCAGTTAATCTATATTAAGAGTAGAATCTATATTTACTCTTTAATTTAGTGTGTTGGGATTGGGCCACGGCGGTAGACGCGCTTTACGTGGTTGCCGCAATCGACAATCTGGCCATTAGCCTGGAGCTCCTTGAATTGCTCGAATGTGTATGGTGTGAAGCCAACCTTGTTTGAGATAACAACACGGGAGTGTCCTGGGAACTTGAATGAAGCACGGCGAAGAGCTTCGAGGGCGTGCTTAAGACCAGCGGATGTTGTACGGATTGTCATGATCTGAGAGTTGTAGTTAGCACGAGCAACAAGGCCTTCTGGCTTACCGAAAGCGTGTCTCATACCTGTCTGAAGTCTATCGGCACCAGCTGTGGAAAGCATCTTGTTAATACGAAGAACGTGGAATGGGTGAAGGTTGATCTTGATGTGATAACCATCCTTGCCCATTGTCTTCATCATGTATCTGTTGGAGCTGACACGAGCGGCTTCAAGGGCTTCAGAGGAAACGCATTCGTGCTCGAGAAGGATAAGGCGGCAGCAAATTGGGAGTTCCTTTGCATGTGCTGTCTTGGTGCCTGTTTCGTAACGGATGATACGTGGATCTGGAACACCACGGCAGAAGCGAGACTTTGGATATGGTTTGTTACCAATATAACGGTAGCAGCGAGCTGGACGACGACCCATGCTGTTTGAAAAGGTCCTGACACTTTCAACTTTACATGATCGATCATTTATGTCAAATTTGCTATCGAAAATTCCATTAGTACGCATAGCTATGATCCATACAATATCATATACAACAAGATTACTATGATACCATATCACTCTTGTCGTACAGGGGACATTTTTTAAGATTCATTTTCAGATTTCATTCAAACCCGTAATCTGATTTTTTAAAATTATCTAGCGAAGGATAATAACAATAAATTTTACCAAAATATGATCAAAAAAATAAAATAATAGATTTGAAAGGGCGATTTTTCTTGTTTGTAAAGTTCTGAATTTTTGTATCAGATTTAAAAAGTTTTAATTTGAGATTAAAACCAATATATTATATTTGTTTGAACAATTAAATTTTAATTTTTTTGAATTCACAGATCTGAAATTAACTCACAATGAAGCATTCCTATAAAGACTTCATTGCTAGAGCGAGAGAAAAGCGCAAAATGGAATACAAACGCTTATGTAGTTACACCCAAGATCAATTAGTGCGTGTTACCAATGAAATTATTGAAACTAATCTATTAACTGCGCCAATTTACGATAATTCGCTATGCATTGCAAAGGCCGAGTTAGTTTATACTTATATTAAGATCAGAACAGAAAAAATACCTCAGCTAATCCAAATTCTGAATTATCTGACTCCATTAAACGATATTCAAATAGATATTTTCATTGCGTTCGTCTATTCTAGGATCATTAAGAGCTCTCCAAAACATTTTCTTCTAAAAAGGTTTAAATTTATGATAGAAAATCTTACAGCTAATGAAATTTACATGGTACCTGCAGTATACTTCATTAAATTTCTCGCAGAACACGATCCTACATCAATACTTCTTTGCAATTCGCAATTTTTAAAAATTGCAAAAAAAGCTTTTTATGTGAAGAACTCTGTCATCCAGATTGCTGCGTACAAGTCAGTTAGCATGTTTTTTCAATACGTTTCACGTACTCAAACGCTTTTGACCCAAAATTCTGCATCAAAATTATTTACTTACGCAATTTCAAACTTTCAAGACATGAAATCCATCAACGGTTCATTAACGATACTCGCTGTTATATTTGAAACGGTTCCAAACATGATTCCTTCTGATTTGCACTCATTAACCGAGCGAATATGGAATATGTACACAAAAATACCGGCAGAATCAAAGGGAGTTGCATTGTACTTGCTAGTTTTGTTATTTATTTTCGGAAAAAACGTCATGGCAGACGATAAAATTGAAAATCTCAAGATGTTGTTGATTGAAGAAAATCAAACGTCATCAACAAGATTTTCAACACTAGCGTTGCTCAAATACATCGAATATGATACAGCTTACTTACAAGGTATTGATATAAACACAACTCTCAGCTCGATTTTACAATCATCAGATAAAAAAGCAGTTAAAAACGGATATTTAATACTCAAAAACATTGCCAATTCATCAAACAATTTATTATACCCGATTGCAAGGAAATTGGCCTCATATATTCTTACTTTACGAATTGATCATTATTTTGCAGACGTAATGCCTTATATTATTACAAAATTCCATTACTTTTGGGAACTTCTTTATCCTCATTTACGTCGTTTCATTGCAACTAATCCAGGATTGTTTTCAAATGTATATTTTCTTCAATTTATATCGAGAATATATCCTTTGCATGACCAATCCGTAATATCGAGTTTATTTATGCTTGCTGACTCTCCAGATCATGTTGTTCGTGAGTGTGTTGCAGATGCTTTGATTGCTCAGTACAATTTAGACCAAGCAAGCTCAGATATGCTTCCAATCAAGTTCATTTTCACTTTAGCGTTAACAGATCCATACGCTTCCGTTCGTGCAAAAGTTCTTCAAGCTTTTCCTGATAAGTCCATGAAAATTTTGACATCTGACGGAATTTTGTCAAATTTGTCAAGTATTGTCAAAGATGAAGACATTGATGTCAAAATTAATGCGATCAAGTTATTAGGAAAAATAGCGAAATACAATCCATTTGGTGTTTATCCCATTTTAAGAAGAGTTTTTCTCGATTTCATGTGCATATTAGACTCTCCAAAGTCATTTATTGTGAAATCGGAAGCATCGACATCATTACAAGCATGGCTACAAGCAGGATTCGAGATATTTCCCACTTCCTCCCAAACTTTTTGCGATATAGTTTTAAGACAACTCTCATTTCAGTCTACACCAATGCTAACTTACTTTGAAAGGAAGGCACATTCAACAATGACCATAAATATCACGTTAGCTATTGGATATATCGCAGAAAGGAACATGGATATCTTGAAATCTTACATTACTCAATTCCACAACCTTTTCTTATGGATGTTACAACAGAGGAGTGATAAAGAACTCAAACTTGCTATTGTAACAACAATGTACACAATATTGACCCAAATTGATGATTTTTACGACATCGAAATTTCCCATTTGTTTCCATTATTAGTTTCGATTGCTTCTACATGGAACAGTCGCAAATTAAACGTTGCAGTACTTAAACTCATGGGATACATCGGTGCTGTCGATGCTTCACCACTAGGAATTGATGAAGTACCTAATAATACTCCAGATGTATTGATTGCTTATGAATCTTCTGATTATTTGTTGTGTTATGTTTGCAAAACGATGATTGACTTGATAAAGAACAGTTCTTTGGTCATTCATCATTACAACGCTATGCAAGCACTTGCAAACATCTTCTCAACAGAAGAAAACGACAAATGCAATGAGTATTTCACGGAATTCGTTCATATTTTGATCGATTGCATTTCGAAATCAACAAATTTTGAATATATTCCATTATTAAAGTTCGTTGTACAAAATACTCCGATTTCTAGATTGAATTTAGTATCAACAGAAATCATTGATTACGTTCAAAAACTCTGGTTGAATCCTCCTTCTTACGATGACATTGTTACAATTGTCATTGAATTGATTCCGATTTTGGCTGCGAGATTATCAGATAAATTCGCGCATTTGATACCACAAGTTACGACTTTTTTGTTGAATTGCATTTACAGCCATGCAGGAAACAATTTAGTTATAACTAAGATGGCTTTGTTGGCATTGATGGCTTTGAGAAAGTTTTCTCAAGATTACTTCTTTTTGATTGTTCCTGAAGTAATTTCTTTAGTTAATACTTTCTCTTCGTCAACACAAGTCTGCGTACAAATGTTGGAAGCATTAAGAGTTTTCGTTCAATATTGTGATACTTCTAATTTTGTTTCTACAATTTTAAGATGCTCTTTGAACGCTTTACACAACGATTCGAATGAAGTCGTTCACGCAGCATTACAAGTTATATATTCTATTGTTGTTGTTTTAGGAGTTGATCACTTCTCCTTTTACCAAAACCAAGTGAGAAGCGTTTTATTGAACAGAAAAATTGACACTGCAAATTTTGACAAATTATTGAGATGTCCAAAAGGTGCCAAATTTTCTGACTTCACTTTTATCATTACGAACGATCCATCATCCATCATGCAGAAGCGTGAGACTGTTCTTAAGTTGCAGCAGATGAGCGCTGAACAAATTGTCAGCAGCTACAATTACACGGAAAGCGAAACTCCTTGGAACAGAAAAGAATGGTGGCATGATCTTGTAACGATAACTATCCATCAATCTCCATGTCATTTCATTAGATGTTGTTCGTTTTTGACATTGAATTTGTTTGATATTGCTGAGAGTATCTTTTTCCCTGCCTTCCTTTGTTTATGGAAAACATTGTCAAATGAACACAGATCAACGATTTGTGGCTGTTTAACAATCGCTTGTTTAAGTGATTCTTTGCCAAATTCAATCAGAACAACTTTAGTTGGTTTGTTTGAATTCATGGAACAAAACGAATTCAATCTCGAAATAGAAAATAGCGTTTTACTCAAAGCATGCGAAGAATCATCACAATACGCTAAAGCTCTCTATTTCGCACACAGATGTTATTATGCCAACAAAAATGATTTGAAAGGAATTGAAAATTTAATCAGATTAAGTTCTCATTTAGGTTTGTCAAAGAGTGTAAAAGGATTAAGTTCTCACGTGATGAATATGACAATGCATGCAAAATGGTGTGAGCAATTAGGCCAATGGGAGAAAGCAGAAAAGCTTTACCAAGAAAAGAAAAATGAAAATGATTCTTACAGAGGTTTGTTGAGGACACAAATGCATCAGAAAAAATGGGAAGATATCGTAGATGAAATGAAAAGTGACATCCAAAATCAAAGTGAAGAAATCAAAAACGAAGTATTACCCATTTATGCGATAGCTCTTTTCCATCGCCAGGAATGGGAACAACTTGGAAAAATCCTTGATTATTGTCCAATGACAAATGTTTATTTATATATTGTCAAAAGTTTGTATTTTGTTTCTATCAAAAATTACGAAGAAGCAATGAATATAGTAAATGATGGATTTGTTGCTTTGGCTAATTTATCTCGTAGTGTCTTCAAACACGACAAAGCAGAGCTTTATCCTTTGTTAGTTAAAGCACAACAATTGCAAGAAATCAAAGAGATAATTAACAACCAAGAAAACATGAAATTTGTTTGGGAAAAAAGAATCAAATTAGTAAGAGAAGATTTCGATACTTACTATGATATTTTGTCTGTTAGATTAACACATATTGATGTTAATAACATGATTCCAAATGCCATCAAAATGTTGAAAATCGCGCTAAAAAGAGATGAAATTAATATGTTTGATTTAGCATTCAAAAAACTATTTCCTGATGAAAAGAATAGAACAATTGAAGTGAAATTCTTGTATATCAAAGGAATGTGGGCACGAGGAAATCGTATTGATGCTGTTAAGTCATTAAATCAATTGTTGTTAGAAGCAGCAAATTACGACAAAACTCATGAACCAAACAAAAAACTGAATGCAAGAATGTACTATTATTGTGCACATTGGATATTACAATTGCATAATTTATCTATGTTTAAGAATTGTTTTAATCAAGCTGTTGTTGCTTTGGAAAGATCATTAAGTTATGAAAGTACTTATTATAATTCATGGCATAGATGGAGTTGGGCGAATTCTGTGATGTTTAGACATCAACCAACTATTGTTCAACATGCAAGTAACGCTATAAGTGGTTTCTGTAGATGTGTACAACTCAGACAAAGTAAATCTTTCTCTGATTTGATACAAATGATTTCACTTTTGTTTAGAGCTGATTTCAATTCAGACCAATTCAAAAGTTTATCGTCTGACATTGAAAAATTCAGTGATGAAACATTTCTTCAGATCATTCCACAGTTATTTGCGCAATTCACATCTAAGAAGAGGTTCGTTGTCATGTTTGTTTCCCAAATTGTTTCGAAATTATTACCTGACCATTTCCACGCTTTGATTTTTCCTTTGTTGCTTTTAACAAGAACTTTGAGAAGCGACAAAGATGATAATGAAGAAGATTTAGAGATAAATGGTGAAGAAGATGATTACGAAGAGCTTCTGATAGGTACAAAACAACAAGCTCATGTTCAACAACTATTAAACACTTGTACAAATAACGCCGTCAAAAGAATTTTACAAAAATTCTTTATGATCAATCCTGATGCTGTTTCACAAGCATTGACAATTTCAGAAGGTTTGTTGTTGTGTTCTACATCATCAGCGGAATCAATGTTTGAACACTTGAACAATGCTTTGCATGCTTTGTTCAAAAACAATGTTAATTTGGCTTTTCGAAGTTTAACAGACGCAATAACTTTGCCACAAAGAAAAGACGATGAAGATCAAGAGGTCCAGTTCAAGAAGGAAATGGGAGAATGCATGATAAAGCTCTGCAATCGTGGTAAGGCTGTTATTGACGTAAATGAAGTCATAAAAGAATTGACTGATTTATGGAAAAAAGTTAAAAATTACTTGTCGGGAGTTCGCCAAGTAAAAGCTTATATAACAGCTCCAGAACTTGCCATGTTAAGGGATTCTGTTATTGCTGTTCCTGGTACATATCAAGCAGGAGTTTCTCCTTCTTTGATACAGCAATTCGACGCTTCTTTGGATATTATTCACTCGAAACAAAGACCAAGAAATTTGATTATTTATGATCAAAACGGTTTACAACATTTAGCAATTTTAAAGGGCCACGAAGACCTGAGACTTGATCAGAGAATCATGCAGTTCTTTGAGCTCATCAACCAGCACATCAGCCATGATTTTTTGGATGAAAGTCGATCGTTGAGAATAATCAGATATCAAATTACTCCGATCTCCAAAAAAGCAGGATTAATACAATGTGTTGATGGCGCAGAAACATTGTTTTCTTTGATAAGTAATTATAGAACTGCCCATAACATTGATCCATTATGCGAAAACAATCTCTTCAAAGAGTTTTCGTCAGCAAACATTGATTATTTGAGACCAATTCAACGCTTGGAAATTCTCAATGAAGCGAAAAACGAAATCCCTTGTGATGATTTGAGAGAATCAATTTGGTTGAAGTCAATTTCAAGCAGAGAATGGGTTACAAGAATTCTCAATTTCTCTCAATCGTCAGCACTTATGTCTGTCATTGGATACATCATTGGATTAGGTGATAGACATCCTTCTAATCTGATGCTTCATAACGCAAGTGGGGCTTTGATTCATGTTGATTTTGGAGATTGTTTCGAAGTCAGCAAAATAAGGATCAGATTTCCAGAAACGATTCCATTCCGATTGACAAGGATGATGATCTCTGCTTTAGGACCATCAGGAATAGAAGGGGACTTCAGAATAACAGCTGAAGACACTTTAGTTCTTGTTCAAAATCATTGCGATTCAATCATGGCAGTTTTGGACATTTTCTTGCAAGAACCATTGGAAAGTGATGAAATTCTTGATAGAATGAATGATAAACTAGTTAAGAACATGGATACAGTTTTCTCTTCTATTGAAGAAACATGGGATATCGAAGGAGCTTCGGATGTTGCTTACTTGGAAATCAAAGACGCAACGGAAAAGATACAAACAAAAATTGTTGGAGAATCAGACCAACAAACGACAAGTAATGAAGCAGTCACAAAGTACATTGATGATTTGATTAACCAAGCAACTGATATGTATAATTTATCTTATTTATATCATGGATGGACACCTTTATGGTGAACATAATTTTATTATTTATGAAAAAAATATTATATAATATACAAAAGAAAAAAACTTACAAAAATTATTTTGTTATTTTATTATTTATGAATTAAATGTTAAATTTATTCAACATTTTTTTTTGTTACTCGTTAAAAACCTTGACTCCAAGCAAAGAACTTTATTCTCCATTAATTTATAAGCCATGAAAGATAAGCAGTATTAAGCAATTTCATACATGAGCAACACTATTTCCTTTTGATATTCTCGATTGCATACGATTCGGATTACATGGAGGAAACATTTGTTAGAGAAAAATGCAGAATATTTAGCAATCGATATGTTTTTTATATATATTGTTTCATAAGTAATAAATTTTATAAAGATTTTATCTATTATTTATTTGAATTTCGAGATATCAAGCATGATACGAGCTACATCTGCACCAACAAAATGATCAAGCGTAGTAATTTCGTCACCATCCTTCTTCATGATGAAAAGAGATGGAATCGATGAAACATTGAAGGCTGTTGTAGCATCATCATTTTGATCTATATCAACTTTAATGAATGTGACGTCTTTGTTATCTTGTGAAATTGATGGAAGTATCTTGCCAAGGTATTGGCATGGTGGACACCAAGTTGCAAAGAAATCTACAACTACTAAACCAGAAGCTTCCTTTATCCTGCTGAGTAGATCTTGATTGCTGCCTTGGAAGTGAACAATTGGATCGGACATTGTTAGAAATGAAGTGAGATTTGAAAATTTGAAAAATTGTCAATTTTTCAATGACATTCAATTTTTCAATCAAAATTTTTGTGAAAAGTAAAATTTTAATAAATGGTTTGAATATTTATAAAATATAAACAAAATAGAGCATAGTGGATAAAATTATTGTTTTATTATTTGAATGTTCAGATAGTCCAATTGAAAAAAAAATTCATTTCTATCTGACATCTCAATAAAAATCAATGAAATTTAATGATTGATTATTAGTTTAAATATAATGTTTCTCCATTTTCACTTGAGATGTTTTACTTTCTAACAATAATTAAAAATTTGATTTCGACCAATTATGATTAAAGCAAATTTTATAGATTTTATAGTGAATACTGTAATATATAGTGCATAAAATTACATCTCTGATTAAATACACATGATTAAAAACTAATTTCATAAATAATTTAAGACTCAATTTCATTAATGATATATAAATCAATTTTTATTTATTTGTTATATAATAAACAATGAAATAAAAAATTGTAAATATCCTATGATTATTTAAAATTTTGCTAAATTTCAAAGATCTGTCAGTAACAAATCTTTGAACAAGTCTTTCAATTATAGAGGTCAAAAAGAATAATTTGTTCTCAGTAAGATGATTCATCTAAGAAGGATGTTACTGACTGATTTGACAAAAATGAAAAGTTTGAGGCAAATATATGTCTGTATATATATATATATTTGAACTGCAAAAATATCAAAATGCGATATCATAAGAATGTTCGTATACATTAAGATTGTCAGATATTATTCTAATACATTTAAGCATCATGTCCTTTATTTATCTTTATTTGCATATTTAAATAAACATGAAGGTGGTGTATAACATGAAGTTTATATTTCTATATTGAACATGTATTCTGAGTTTTGTTCTGATTGTTGCTCAGAATCTTTTTTTAATGATAGAATACTCAAAATGGCAAGTAGTGGTAGATTCATCAAACCAAAATAAAATGATAAATATGCCCATTTAATGAAGAAATATTTTGATCTATACTTTGGAAAATTGTCATATAGTTTTTCGAGTTCCAATATATAGAGTCATAAAATGAGATTAGAATTATATAAACAAACAATGGAATTGGCATAAAAAATAATGTGATGATAAGTTTCTTTCTTCTATCTGGATCAAGAAATTCTTTGACATTTGAGAATATAAGTGTTACTGAAAGAATAACAAAACTTATAATGTATATTGCAATAACTATATAAGATAAAACAGAATTGGCTCCAACTATATTTATGATGATTGAGAATAACTTGCTTTTATACGAAATATAGTAATTTATATAAGTAAGAAAAGACAAAATTCCAAGTAAAACAATTAATAACATTGTAATATAATAAATTATTTTCGAACCTTTTATGTTAAAAAGAATTAAAATCTTTGCAATTTCACAGAAATACAACGCAAAACACAAAGTTTGAAGAAATCGTATAGTAAATAATAGTACATCAATGTTTGAGAAGCCATAGATTATAAAAATGTGTGTTATTGAACAATAGTTAATTGAATAAATAATTATATTAATAATAGTAATAATACAAAAAATATTGCATTTATCTCGATGTTTGCAATTTAAGAAATTTGTTTGTCTTAGACTTGTTGATAATACATATGAATAAGGTAAAGAGACTAGAATAGAAATGACGAAAAAAATATAACTAAGAGGAAAATTACATTCTGGAACGTTTGAAAAACTACATCTTGAGTTCATCAGGCCTGCTAATACTATATTAGGTTCCACATTTGGCATTCTTACACTTATTCAAAACACTTTAAAAATAATTGAATTATTTTCAGATGTAACTTTTTCTGAGGAAAATCTGAAATTAATTCAAAATTTATGCTTATCTTTTTCTTATTATTCCTATTGCCTTTTGGTAGATCAGAACCAACAGATGATCAGAAATTATTAGAAGTCTTAGATGAAATCCACAAGCTTCGTATTGAAGTTGAAGAACTTAGAAACTATATTGAAAGCATTGATCATACAAAAAATTATTATATGCAGCCTCTTGTCAAAGGCCATGGCCATATGGTCTGATTCATATTTGAATAAACATTTGATAATTATAAATTCTTTCAATATACTTTTCACAAAATCTCAGGTCCAAAATCGGATATTTTGGTCACATTTTTCAGAGAAATTGGACCATTATTTTGAAACTATATACCACAAAATGGATAAATGCAAGTTTTAAAATAATTCATATATCTTTAATTCAAAATTCTGAATTGAAACCTCATTCAAAATTAACCTTAAGCAGCAGAATTGAAGGGTGTTTCATATAGCCATAAGTACACTCTTAAAACTGTTGCATTATCATTTTATTCATATTTGAACACTATATCTATTTTTTAATCTAATAAAATATTCTGTTTGTAATGGATATAATAGAGATCTACATATCTGGAAAAAAAATTCCAAATCTTGATATTTATGTCCCTTAGAAGCAAACCGGCGATTCGAACATCATTGACAACTTCGAAGATTTGATTGCCTAATCCTTTTGATTGCATAGTAAACAAGTTAATAGCACCGATTTTAATGGATACAAGAATTGTGGAGATTATCCATGTTTGCAAGCAGACACAACTTAAACAAACACAAATAAAAGAGACTATTTTTTTTCTAATAGATACAAATTTTCAAGTTTAGAATTGTATATTTGGTATCCAGAATTATTGTAAGAAACGTGAAAAATGATTTAAATTTATTTATGTTTTAAATGTGAGGTTTATTAATAATTATTATGATTTTGAATTCAACAATATAGTGTAATGCAAACATTAATATATTATAGCGACATATTAGCGTATAATGTGTGCTTTATTTAATTCAAACAATAAGAAAATAGTTATTTATTTCCTGATTCTGAAAATTGATGCGTCTCAAGGAGAAATATGTCTATAATGTAAAATCTGTATTGATTGTGCTTTCTTCATTTTGCTCAGGGTTTATATCATATTGTTTTTTGACTGATAGTATACTATCATTGAAAGTTGTGGTAAATTCATCAATCCAAAATAAAATGATGAATATGCCCATTGTATATAGTAATATTTTGATCGAAATTTTGGGAAATTATCATATAATTTATTAGCCTCAATTTCATAATAATATTTCGAGCTCCAATATTTAGAATCATAACATGCGATTAGAATTATATAAAGAAATAATGGGATTGGCATAAAAAACAATGAAATACTAAGTTTCTTTCTTCTATCTGGATCAAGAAATTCTTTGACATTTGAGAATATAAATGTTACTGAAAGAATAACAAAACTTATAATATATATTACGATGATTATATGAGATAAAATAGCTTTGAATTCAAATGTTTTTTGAAGGAATAAGAATAATTTACTTTGATATGATATGAAATAATTTACATAAACCAAAAAAGACAAAACTCCTAGTAAAACAATTGATAACATTGTCAAATAGTAAATAATTTTTGAGCCTTTGATATGGAAAATAGTTAAAATTTTCGCGATTTCAGAGAAATACAATGCAAAACACAAAGTATGAAGAAACCGGATAGTCAGTGCCAATATGTTAATATACGAAGAGCCATAATTTAAAAAAATATTTGTTAAAGATCAGAATACAATCGAATAAATAGTTGTATTTATCATTGTAATAATGCAAAAAACATTGCATTTATCTATACTTTTGCAATAAAATATATTTGTCTGTCTTAGGCTTAATGATAGCGTATATGAATAAGGAATAGATACTATAATAGAAATAATGAAATATAAGTAACTCAAATAAAAATTGCAATATGGTAAATTAGAAAAACCACATCTTGTATTCATCATGCCTGCTAATACTATATTCGCTCCTGCTTGCATCAAACTAATACTAATTAAAAAATATTATTATTTATCATTTTCTTATCAAACTTTTTCTGAGGGCAGTCAAAAGAATTTCAAAATTCATGATTTTATTCATATTGTTTCTATTGTCATTTCAAAGACCAAGATTAACAGATGATATGAAACTAATAGAAGTCTTGAATGAAATTCAAAAACTACGTTCTGAAGTTGAAGAACTTAGAAGCGTAATTAAAAAAAACTTTTATCCAAATGATATATCAAGTAATGTCAAACAGTTTCCTCAACCAGCACCAAAATCCCAAGCTTTAAAGTAAAAAAACTTTTTTTTAATTATTGTTTAGCCTGATTCATATTTTCTTTCTAAGTATAAAGTTTTATGCATAAATAATGTATAAACATCATGTTATAATAAAAACACATATTTGAATTAAATAGCTATATGAAATTTAAGATTGAAATCTTCTAAAGAAAACTGATTATCGAATGAATAAGCATAGAAAAAAATATATAAAATGATTAATCGATAAGTCTATATAATTTGTATCCGCCTAAATCAAGAATTTCGATCCATTTTGATGAAACAATAGGTTGTTTCCATAAAAATTCTCTGGTTTCGTCATTTTCTCGATACATTGCATAAGTGATGCTTTTTTCTTTAAAGCTCGAATAATTATATGGATTTTTCGCTAAATCGCTCATCATAAACAACCTTTCTGTAATATTAAGTCCATGAGTCCATATCCATCCGAAATATCCAATAGTTACTTCTCTTCCTGCAAGACTTGTTATTGGATTTGTCATCCAACTGGAACAAAGGAATTTAGAATCATATCTTGTGTTTTCTGCAACCCATAAACCAAGTTCTTTCGTGTGTATGTCATAAATAGGGAACTTAAACGACATGAATTTGTAGATATGATAAACTGTTGTAGTATTGAAACATAACACAACAACAAACAATGATATAATAAATATAAAATGTCTTTTCCTGAATGAAATAGAAAACATGGTTGAAATAAAATGAGAGACTGCACAAACAGCGTAAGGAAACCATGCAGGGAAGATTACTTTCAGGTTATCTAATGCACTTGGTTGATATCTAAATAAAGAAGAAATAATAAATATAATAAGCGATGGGAGATATCTCATAATTTGTTTTTTGTCCAATGTAGGCCAAACTAGGAACAATGCAATAACTATAAATGTACTTAAGCTCTCCCAATAAGTAGAAATTGGATTTTTGAGCTCATTTGGTTTTGAATCGTTCCATACTGGATTAAAACTCATCATTTTTCTATTATTTCCGTTAAACAAATAATATAACTGTGGGGCAGCTATGATTATTGAGGTAAATCCGAAAATTGACAATTGTTTTATAACAAATAACCAATTTCGTAATTTTTTCCATGGAAAGCTAATCAAAGATAAGAATACTGCATGCATTCCTACTGCCAAATATGAATGTGCTGAAATTAATGGCAATAAGCCCATTAAAAATCCAGCAAAAAATCCAATTTTCTTTTCTCTGAAATTTCCATCAACAAACATGAAAACTAACTCTATTATGTATATATCCAATGCTTGCGAGAAATGAGCGCTTCTTTGTGGCATCAAATATTGTAATAACATATTCAGCCAAAAAACTACAGAATTTTTGCAAAGAACATGATTTCCTGACGAATGCATGTGGCTATGACATTCTGGAATCAGCTGCCACTTCCAACCGGCCCCACCGGCGAAAATTAGAAAAATCAAAGAAATTTCTGGAACAAATTTTTTTTTTGAAAAATTCTTAGCAATTCTATGCATAGCAATAAATAGTGAAGTATAAGTGAATACAGATGGTAATGCTAGTGATATTCGAAGGGATGCTCCTGCAGTAACGAAAATAGAAGACCAAAAATCTGGAATGAAAGAATATTTGAGCGGTTCCCCTGTATAAAAGAACGTTGATAGTTTATTTGATCTGCTATTGCCTCCAATGGCAAATGAATTGATCAGTGAAGTATGATATGGAAGATCTGAATAAACATTTCCTCGAGAATAGTAAATATCGTATAAAATTGAATGATAATGTAAATATATAACTAATGCATTAAGCAATATCATAATAACTGATGATGTTTTGCCAAATTTTCGAAATTTTATATCATGGATGTAAAATAAATTTATAACTAAGCTTGAAGAATAAGCTAATATTACTACAATTATGATAGATAATTGATTTATTTTCCATATATACCTTAACACCCAAAAAACGTACGAAAAAATAATATATCCAACAGGAATTCCAATAGCAATTTGATCTGTTTTATCAAATTCTCTTGGAAACATGGGACCTATGATAGAATATCCAAAAATAATAGCGCTATGGAGTAAAAAAGCCCAAAGCATTCATAAAAAGTGTCATTTTTGATTTGAAATAATTATTTATAAGAGACATTTGGAGTGCTAAAGAGAGACTGTTTTAAAGTGTTGGTAAGCTTATTGTCCAATCACTGTATCCAAATGTTTATTATATTCCATATGATATAGTTCCAAAAATAATTTTGATAATTTTATTTGTGGATTTATAGTTCCATTATTGTTTTCTAATTTGCAAAAATGTATAAACAATAATAAGTGTAAGAATTTATATAGCAATTCAAAAATCAATAATAAGTGTAAGAATTTATATATAGATTATTCTGCATTAACTTTTTAATGATACGCTAAAGACTACTTAGCATCCTCTCTTAGACAGATAGCTGAGCTAAAAACATATGGAATAGCAAGCTTTTAAACAATATTAATTCGAAAAATTAAAAATTAGCTTTAGTTGACGACGAAATCTACTCCACAAGTTAGGTTGTTGAAAAAATATTGAATGTGTCAATTAGGTGCATGCATATCCTTAAGGGTGCACTTACGCCCCTATGACATGGCTTCAATTCAGATGTTTATGGTTAATTTCCAATGACACCCCACGCCGGCTGTCAAAAATTTGAATTAGAGTCAGATTGGCATTTGTGCACCCTTTAAAAAGTTGTAATTTTTTCATGAGAATACAATAAAAACTATATTGATATTTCTGTGTTGATCGTGTTTTCTGAATTTTGTTCTGTTTGCTCCTCAAATTCTTTTTTCACTGAGAGAATATTCAGAATACCAAGTTGGGGAAGATTCATCAAGCCGAAATAAAACGATGAATATGCCCATTTTATATAATAATATATGGATCCATATTTTGGGAAATTATCATATAGTTGTTCAGTCAATATTACATAATAATATTTTAACATCCAATATTTAGAACCATACGTAGTGAACATAATAATATATAAAAATAAAGGGATTGGCATCCAAAATAATATAACGATAAGTTTCTTCCTTCTATCCGGATCAAGAAATATTTTGATTCTTGAAAAAATAAATGTTATTGAAAGAATAATAAAACCTATAATATTTATTGCAATGGTTACATAAAATAGAACATTATTATTTAAAAATATATTTTCGATGAATATAAATAGTTTGCCTTTATATGAAATATAGTAATTTATATATGTAAGAATAGACAAAATTCCAAGTAGAACAATTAAAAGCATTGTAATATAATAAATTATTTTCGAACCTTTTATCTTAAAAAGAATTAAAATTTTTGAAATATCTAAGAAATACAACGCAAAGCTTAAAGTTTGAAGAAACCCGATAGGATTCAACAATTTTCGAAAATGTGACTGGCCATAAATTATAAATATGTGTGTTATTGAACAACAGATTATTGAATAAATTATAACATTAATTATAGTTATAATACAAAAAACATTGCATTTATCTCGATGTTCGCAACGTAAGAAATTTGTTTGTCTTAGACTTGCTGATAATACATATGAATAAGGTAAAGAGACTAGAATAGAAATGACGAAATATACATAACTAAGAGGAAAATTGCATTCTGGAACGTTTGAAAAACTACATCTTGTATTCATTTTACCTGCTAAAACTATATTAGGTTTCACATTTTGCATTCTAATACTTATTCAAAAAACTGAATCAAATTTAACTTTTTCTGAGAATTCTGATTGTAATTCAAAATTCTGACCATTAAAAATTTCTTATAATTCCTACTTCCTTTCGGAAGATCAGAACCAATAGATGATCAGAAGCTAGTAAATGTCTTAAATGAAATCCATAAACTACGTAGTGAAGTTGAAGAGTGAAAGGGTCTCCTAAATATCCACTTATATTTTAGCATATTCTTGAAGATATCAAAAATTAAAATGCTTTCTATTTATTAAAATTCCAAACTTAATTTTTAAAATTATATATTTATAAATAAAATAAAAAATAAAGATAAAAAGAATTAGATAAATACGTTGTAAACTAAATGATCAGCTTGTTCTTTGGAAATAATCACATTATCCATCTCGAAGAACAGAGAGTTCAATATCGATGTTAACTGGTATTCTTCGTTCTTGATTCTTGAGTTCCTAAGAAGTAAACCCGTGAATCGAGCATCATTGACAACTTCGAAGATTTGTTTGCCAAACTTGTTTCCGATGGCATCGAAACATCCTAATCCATTCGGTTGTTCCGTGAACAAGTTAATAGCAAATTCGATAAGAACTTGTGGAGCACCGACCTTCAAGAAAACAAGAAGAATTGCAGAGAGATTGACTAAATTAGCACCGTAATCAAGGCGTGAGATTTCTTCGGATTTAGATGGTTCTTTGATAACTCTGAATGCCGAAATGATCTGTTCATCTGACTTAGTTGTTGCAAGTTTCTCTAATGCTTGTGTCAAGCCGTACTTAGCGTAACATGCCAAGATAGCTGCAGCAGACAGACTTGGTTGTTGTTGCAATGGAAGTGCTGTACATGTCTCGAGATATTCAACAAGAGAACTGTTGATGTATTGTGTAATTCCTTGTGTTGTTCCTTGGTGATCTGAATATTGTTTCAGAGCAGAAACAACTAAATCTCCACATGCTGCGTTGTTGTCTCGAGCACCTAATGCGATGCCAATGAAATACAACTTGGCAGATAATTCAATAGTCATGTTGATCAAACTCAATCCTAAAATGATTGGAGTGACTAAGATTTCTTCGCAATCACGAAGTTTCTGGACTAAGTCATTTGCATAGGAACTTGGATCAACTGCAAATGCTGCTGAATAAATAATTCCTTGTGCACAAAGTAATGGAGTGTCACGTTTTTTGATATCATTTGAAAACATGTCAAACAACTTTCTTTTGATTGAACTGTTCTGGAGATTGTTGATAGCAGCGGATATGATTTCTGCAACACATCTAGCGGACGATGTCCACTTGTAGGTGTCTTTCAATGTCTTGAAATCTTCACTGCCATCTGTGTTGACAAATGACTGGATGATGAAATCAAAATCAAACTGAATTCCGCTTCCTGACTGACGGAATAATTCGTGGATGATGTTCATTAATATCGGTGACATCTTCTGGAGAATGGATGTATCAAAGATAAGCCTGGACTTGGTGCAGTTGTATATCAAAACCGCTCCTGTGCTCTCAAAATCAAACATGTGAAGTGAAATCATCGAAGTCAAAACTCCTCTCAAAAAGTCAATATGATCTTTATCGTTGTTGTCAAGAATTTCTGTGAATTTCCTGCAGACAGATTGAGAAACGAAAGAAGGTTTAATTGCTGCCAACTGTGCAGGGATCTCTACAAATGTTGATTCGTTCCTTTCGAAGATGATATCGACGAGAGTTTCGATGATAAAATCGTTTTGACAAAGGGATGGCCAGACATACTCAGGATAGCAGACTTGGTCTGATCCCTTCATGTTGTTGTACATTTCGATGAACTCAGAAATCAAATTCTTCGGAGGATCAGACTGGTTTGCGAAACATTTGATCCATGGAACTAAGAAATAGAAAATTGTTGGCAAAACTTTTGATTTCACGTATTTCGCGGCGTTGAAGAACTCCGACATGAAATCATTGACATTCTCCGCATTGCATGATGCCAAATCTGTTGATATCTCTCTGACATATTTTGACAGATTATTTGGCAAAATGTCATATTGAATTTTGTCAACAGAAACATTGTGAGAAAACTGGAAAGACACGAACACAGCGTAGATCAAATCAAGAGCAGCCTTCTTCAAAGAAAGAGATGATTCAGGACCAATGATATTGATGAATGCTAAGTTAAGCATCATCCATTGCAATGTAGATGAGTTTACATTAACACTTTGAATTGCATTGTTGATTGTTCTCGATCTAAGTGTTAATTGGTAAGCAGCATCATACATTGGAGAACTGACAGGAACTCTCATGGAATAGACAATACCACTCTTCATAGTAATGGTAAGATTGAACTCATCCATGTGCTGTTTGCTTCCCAAAGATTTTTCAAAGTCTTTAATTTGGTCGGCCATTATAACTCTTACGGGCGTGAATGGATGTCCTGCAATTTCTACATTGTCTCCGATGATTTGGAGAGAGTGTTCGTGGAGTCTTATTTTTGTTGGATCTCCATTTAACACTACGGAATAAACAGCCTGTGCTTCAGAGAATGACTCGTAAGTTGAAGGAGGAATAGATGTCGGTGTGTTTCCTAATATTCTAGTGAGTTTTGCAACGGAATCAATCACTTCAAATCTCTGTGGTTTTGTGAATAACTGCTGATTCTCTTTGACGAAAACAGCAAATTCGTTTGGAGGTTCAATAATCAAGTACTGTTTGATGTTCTGTGTCGAAGGAGGCATTATTGCGTATGTCTGCAACATTGTCTGATTAGGAATACGACTTGGATCGAATCCTGTCAAACACAAACATACATAACACTGTTGTGATTCGTCTTTTCTCAGTGCTTTGAACAGTAACTGCGCAACAATTCTTGGATCTCTAACTGACGAAAGTTTGTTGAAATGAATGTAAATGACGCCATTTCCATCTGGAGCTGTTTTCTCGTCCTTGTAAATGGCTTCTTCAAGTTGCTGGACTTGGTCGGGTGGAAATGTCATGTTCATGAGCTCTTCGTAGCCAGATGCGCCGGCTTCATCTGATTTGAACATCTTCTTAGCAGCATTCGATGGCTGGCCCATGGCTCTGATCTTTGTGATGAATCTCTTTGCGTTCGCGTGGTCGTCGCTCGCTGGATCGAGAGATTCGATTAATGGAGTTAAGTTTTTGAGAATTGGATAAACTTCGGAGTGGATATTAGCGATTGTTTGGGCTGCATCGATGGTAATTGGTGGTGGTTCGTGGGAAACTTGCTTCTGAACGAGACCTCGGAACATTTGATTGATGGAATCTTGTGTCCACTTGGCGAGATCGTTGTAAGGAGCAAGATAAGTGTATTTGTCATCAAGTCTGCCCTTGAGAATTGAAGACATGATGACATTTGAAGTTTGCATGAGAACATCTCTTGGTTGATCGCCAACTGGTGAGGTAATTCCAACCATTGAGACATTGGAGAAGGATGGGATGATGAAACGAAGGAAGAGGAAGGAAGATAAGATTGAATAAGCAAATTCTCCGACTTTTTCAAACACCTTTTCGAAGATGATCTGTGAGGCGTAGGTTAATGAGTCTGGCATGGTTGTCTGGCCATCCAAAATGGCTTGGACCGTTTTCTGAAGTAATTGTCTGAAATTCTCGGTGTTGACCTCTATCGTCTGGCCTTCAGGGAGCTTTGCCGGGTTCACAATGAAGCCAACATTGTTTTCGCACGATGCAATCACTTCATCGAAAATTGGTCGCAAGGTTTGTTTCAGCCAATCCATGGCAACGAACCTCGGCCAGTGACCTACGGCTCTCGCTGGTACTTGGTTGCCTCTGAAAATGGTGTTCTTGTTCGAATCATCGATAGGTTGTAATTCGACATCGACCATTCGGGCAAAGTATTCGTACGCGCGGCCTGAGAGAAGGGCGGCTTCGAGGGCGGCCTTAGCGAAATGCTCGGCTCTGGAGTATTCGATGTTATTTCCGATAATTTCGATTAATTTCAACGAACCAGAGAAGAGAATATCTACGAGAGTGACTTCTTCTGTGACTGCTTCTGCTGTTCCGACGACTCTTATCTCTGGAACTTTGAAAACTGCAGCAACTGATGCAAGAAATGCAGTTCTAACTGAATCGGTGTTATCAAAACCCATAGAGAGACAGTGTCCGATAGCGATGGAAAGGTTCTGCTTGAGAAGGGCAGCGAGAACTGGAATAATTTGTTTGGCAGAATTTGGTTCTTTCTCCAAACGGTTCTTGATACTTGCGAAATAGAACAAGAACTGCTTTTCTGCCTCTTGGGCAGCACCTTTCGGATCTGCGATATCAACGCACTCAATAAGGGAAAGTTCATCGAGGATAAGGGCCAAAGCTTCATGAATTAAGTTGATGAAGTCTCTGGTACCTTCGTTAGATTGCGGAAGCCATGTTAAAATGGTCTTTGAAATAGAATGGCCCATCTTTGGTTCGAAAGGCTTTCCTTTCTCGTTAGCGAGCCTGACCATGGCGAGTAATGTCCTCAAACAGATCAATTTTGTGGATTCTCCCTGAGTAACATCGCATAATGAGACAATCTTCTTTCCTAGCTGGCCAAAGATACCCTGGTTGATCATTTCCGGTGTCCAGTAGATGATCTGTGAGCAAACACCACGAATAAGGTTAAGAATATTGTTCAAGAAAATAATATTTTTCTGATTCATGTTGAAAGTACCATCGTTATTTGAGAATTGTCTGAAATATCCCAAAAGGATGGTCATCAGAGGGTTGTAGTGACGTGGAGCCAGGCATGTCGGAATTGCAGACGTTGCAATTTGTCCGATATCGCTATCGTTCTGTAGAAATACCTTCATTTGGTTGAACAAGTGAATTGTTTGGTCAAAAACGATAGAAAAGATCATCGAAATTACAGAAATGAATTCTGCGTCCAAATCAAAGCCTGTAGTATCTAATTCGAGTTCAGGAGGCTGTACTAATGTAATATTCGCATCGAGTTTCTTGCAAATTGCCATGAAATAGCTGAAAAGTGCGTTATACACCAAATTAATACCAGGAGTTGGGTTTGGAACGGTCTTGAGGATGTTGCAGACACCGATTGGTATCTTCTTTGGATCCTTCTTATCACGAGCGTCCGAAACCAAACGTTGATAATCATCAACTGGCATTTTCGAGGAAAGTAAATCGGGAGCGACGTGTACGATTTCGACGAGTGTATACATCATGCTAATACCGATCGAAATGATGTTCCTCTTTGAAGAAGCGAAGAACATTAAAGCAAATGTTTCCAATTCTTGCAAAAGAGGCAAAAGAAGCTTAGCAAGCTGTTCTGTAATATTCGCTTCCTGTTGGAAGATTTGAAGTAACGATTCGGATATAGCGTGGATGATTTCTGGTATGTGCATATCGAAATAAGCAGGTTTATACATGCCCAATGTAGTATAGCGTTTGAGTAAGAACGAAATGAATCTCTTGTAGATGAGGAGTGTAACCTCGTCGAGTACTGATTCCTGTGTAAATTCTGTATTGAAAAATGCGACGTAAGAAAATTGTTGGTTGACCTCTGGATACTTGGCCACGTAAGAGAATAATATCTCACAGATGTCAGGATCCGAGAAAATGGCGGTTCTCATGAAGAAAGGATAAGCTTGGAAGCCTGTGATGATATGTGGGAGTAATGAAGTGGATTTCGGATCGGGGATTGGTTTTCTGATAATCTCCAAGGTCTGCGGGATAAGGCTTTGTATGAAACCTTTCGAGAAATCAGGGAATGGATTGGCCGTCTTACAAAACCTCTTAATTATGAGAGCCATTGTAAGAGAATGGTTGTTATCATGCTGTGTGATATATTGGATGACATCTTTTGTGAAGAACTGTGGGTTATTGAAGAGAATTGCGATTGGGAAGAAAATCTTCTGAACTTTAGCGAAATCTCCGGGTTGATCCGGTAAACTTGTGAAGTTATTCTTCACGAAGTTGGGGAATTGGAGATGTAAGAAGCGTAAAATGATTTTATGAGCTGATGAAACTGCAAATGCATGGAAATAGACTAAAATAGACTGTATTGTAGCGTTGGATAATTTTGATTCTTTCTGGGCATAGAAATCTTTGTATCTTTGGATGAAATCTAAGCGAGGAATTGTTTCTCCGGAAGAAAGTTGAGAGTTTGGAAGAAGAATGGAAAGAGCTGCAATTGCTGGCCATGCAAAGGGATTATTTGAGGTATTCCATGAGGAAATCTGGCCTTGAATTGAAGCCGCCAACATAATATCACTTCTGAGTGTAAGGAAATCGGAAAATGCGACTGGATCGCGCTGGAAGGCAGCAAGTAATGTCGATGCCATCATCTGGCAGAATGGTTCTCTGTATTTATCGGTAATAAGGTTAACGTTGGAAGCAATAGGCTTTAAGAAGTTGATAACGTGATCAATGGAAGCAGGCATATACTTCCATGGTTTAAGGCTGATCTGTATTACCTTAAGCGATGCACCTGCGACGATATCAGATTGATATGCGTTTAAAAAGTAGGTATAAATCAAAGAACTGTGAGAGCCGATCGCAGATAAAAATGACTTAAACGTTTTTTGAACGAATGTTGTATAAATATCAAAGTCATTACCGAAAATTATTGTTGATTGGGAAATAATTTGACGTCCGAGCATTTCATCTGCAACTTCTTCACCAGGAGAAATTGGACGACTGTTAATGCATGAAGCAGCAAGAGTATAATAAATACAAAGTCGATTTATAACAGGGAACGGAAGTCCGCTTGTTTTCTTTTTCAAAATGCCATCGGTAGTATTAAATATAAGCTTCAGAGCACCGATAATACGATTTGCACTGAAACGGTGCATCAAAATTAATTCTTTCTTTGCAAATTTATCGAGAAATCGATGTGGAGCATATACTTTGGATTCGATAGCTTCATAGGCGGTAACTGGATGGTCATTTATAACCTTTTCTATTTTCGTTGTAAGTTGCTGGAACAAGTTAGGTTCCGAACTTTCCGCCATAAGTTATGAAATTTTTTGAAGCGGTTTATGATAACTTTCATATAAAATTGATTGGGGATAACAGTAAATTGAGTATTAATTATATAATGCGGGAAACGAAATATTTCAAGCTAATTTCAAAAATACATTAAAAGTGTCAAAAAAAATAAGCGGATAGAAATTGGATAATTAGAACGTCATGTTTATGTTAAGCATTAATAGAATTATCTGTCGAGAACGGTTTTTGTTATAGACCGAAAATAGATTTTTTCGGTTTTCTCTTCTGTTATAGACCGAAAATAGATTTTTTCGGTTTTCTCTTCAAATAATTGAAAGAATGATACTATTATATGTTTATTATATTATATAGCATATAATCATGCTATAGCCGAAAATTATAAGTTTTGAGAAGATTGAATATAACACAAATAAATTTGAATGTAAGTTAAATTGCTTGTTGTTTTTAATAGCTATTTAATGAGAAATCCAATATTGCAAAATTCAAATTGAATGATTGAAAGAACAGAAAAAGTCATTCTTTTCAATTTCGAATATGTTTCATTGTATTTATAATTATATGGCAAATAAGATATTTAAACTTGATTTTTGAAGGAAAATTCACAAAATTGAATAAATTCAAATAATTTTTATTCAAAAATAAACTAGTTATTTGAGTTTAATACTAATTATCTATTCAAACTACAAAGTTTGTAATTTAAAATATTTTGTGAGATCAGATTGAATTAATTCAAGGTTCTTTTCAATTAATATTAATGACCATATTACGCATTTTCGAACATTCTAAACCAAATATATAAAAATGGGAGACGAATGTTAAATTTGCTAGACATGGGGGAGTTGTCTGCAAAGTTTTAGCTCTTATCTCTAACAAAAAATTAATTTTTAAAAAATGACCGAATACGTTTCACAGCGAGAAAAAAATAAAAGGCAAGATAGAATTTTCTAGACATAAAGAAGTTGTTTACCGAGTTTTAGCTCTTATCTCTAACAAAAAATTAATTTTTAAAAAAATGACCGAATACGTTTCACAGCGAGAAAAAAAAAAGGCAAGATAGAATTTTCTAGACATAAAGAAGTTGTCCACCAAGTGTCAGCTGTTACTTCTTCTCAATACTGATATAAAATAAAAATCTTTATTATTTATTTAACCTTTATTGTTTCATTAAACTTCATTTATTTTATATTATAGTTTTATTCTTTTAGCTACTTGTAAAATAATCTAATTTTATATCATCATTTTACCGGATTATTCTTCAGTACATCGATTGTGTATCTAAAATAATATCATTATCCTTATTCTGTTTTTTCCAAAATTCTTTTAAATATCTTTTTTGGTTACATTACTTTATACTTTTTACTTTTATTTTTTAATTTCAAAAAAAATTTGGTGATTGTTCTATTCTGTTACAATGTGCATTATCATATTCTAATGAATTATTCATTACATACATTTAAAAAAACTTGTTAAAAATGAAATTAAAAAATTATGTTTATTATTACGCTGTGAATGTGTCAACAGCGGTCATGCCTGTATCTGTATCCCATATTTGCCACAACCTTTCTGTATCTGCATTTGTGTATTTCGGTTTCAGCTGATACATTTGATTTGGCGTGTAATTTGTTCCAGTTAATGGATTAATTGGGAGATCTTCATGCGGTGTGTTATTATTGTACTCCCAAATAAAGGCAGGAATAGCCTGAATGCTTTGGCAGCGCTCCAATGTCGGCCAGAATCTCTCAATCTTCCCATTTTGGTAGGGAGAATGAGAGTCTGTATGCCGCCATTGGACGCCCCAAAGATCAAGTAGATCTTGAAAGGCGCCCCTATTTTCTGAACCGTTGTCGGTCCAGAAACAATAAGGGGCGCCAAATTCAATGAAGGCGGAAGCCGCAAAGTTCGCTGTCGTCGCTGCCAGCATATCTGGTATTTGTATACACGCTAGGACTTTGCGGCTAAAATCGTCGATTATGCCATAAATATACTGGCCACGAACACCACTAAAATAATGAACATCTGCGTGCCAGATAAGATTGGGTGAAAGCGCCCAATATCTTACTGCTGTTTCTGGCCCGGCATGCTCTAATCGCGTCTTGGTGAAATGATTTTCTTTGAAGTATCTGCGTACTTCTCTATAAGATACATCAAT